ACCTACTTTATGTCATGTTGTTCGGAGGGCTGGGCATTGTTCAAAAGTTTTTGATACTGATACCAATACAGATACCTAGACTTTGATACCAACCCCTGAACAATACCTTTTCAGTACTTTTTTTCAAATTACAACCAAGGTGTGGCTTAAAACTGGAAGTGAACTGAAATGTGGAAGTGAGTATATTTAAGGACTGCAACAAATCACAGACTAATCAAGAATCAGTAATCAGTCTAGATCTTGAAACAACCATGCTTATTGGCTTAAAGATGCTTATAAGAGTGCTTAGGCATTTAAAGTTGGTACTGATTGACATAGTATTTTTCAATATTGTGTTGTATTAAAGTGATTTGGTCGATACCATAAGTACTGAATTTAGATACCCAGTCTGATTTGTGCTAAAAGTAGTGCTACAAGCAATTCTACAAGCAATTTTGTCATATTTCAGGCTAGATTTCTTACAGAATCAGAATGAAGTGCCTTTTTCATATAAAATATGAAATATCATGTTGAATGGTTTATCTAGGGCTTGAGCTGTAATGCATGTCTTCTTAGTATGTATAGCCGTCCCTGTATAACCTGTCTATTCACCTAATGCTGATGGTAGACATCATATTCACCTTACGGAGAGGCTGAGAGATAGCACGGTGATAAGGGGGTGGAGGTCCATTCCTCATCCCCCATTAGGCTGCTAGCAGCATCAGAGTGCAGCAGGTTTGCAGAACACTTCTAATGGACATTAATATTTCTCCTGCTGCCTGCAACGCCGGAGAGAGTTACTCAGACATCTGTAGCTTCATGCTGAAGTAGGCCAAGGAAAGCAGTAGGGGGTAATGAGGAAACTCAGATATGGATTCCTCAAAGATGGCTGTGAGCTGTGATCTACGACACAACGCCTGCAATAGATTGCATCGTTTACATTATATAATTACAGATGTCTAAGAGAGAGGCCTGCAATGTCAGTCACTGCTGTGCTTCATAAGGGGAAAATAAAGAGCGCAAGGCTTTTTGTCTGTCCGACATGTCTCTCACTATTTAAACTCATTTTGAGCCAAGTAACTCTTTGGTTCTGTAGTAATGTAACTGTGTATCAGGTCATGTAATAAAGCTCTCCCCAGTGATGAAATCTTCATGAAATTGTCAGAAGTTAAAGGATTTCACAGAACAACGTTATGGAGAATAGTGAATTTATATTTATTTAACTTAAAAATTCCATTTAGTAGAACTTGTTCCATGTGGAAAAGGGTACATGATATCGCTTTGAACATCTTTCTCATTACACATTTGTGAATCAGTGAAGAGCCGTTTTAATATTTTACGACCTCAGGGACTCTTAGGATGCTAACTTAGAATGCTGTGTAAAATATAAGAGAAATCTGTTTTACCAAAGACTGGAGTGCCACCATATGCGCATATGATGCTCCGCCAAATATGCAAAAATTTTAGACACCTAAATTAGATTTGAAAAGCCGTTTTATCTGAGCAAGCTTTTGTTTGCTAATAGTAGGAATATATATATATATATATATATATATATATATATATATATATATCACTGTTGTCGATGTAACCCAATTTTTTCCAAGTAATTTTGGGCTGTTACTTTTGGTCCGTTCTTCATGAAATGTACAGACAATGTAAAGGCCAACAGGCATTTTCAAATTATGTCAAAAACTGAAAAAAATATAAAAATAGAGATATGAGGTTTTGTTCCAACAGCAGCGATATATATATATATATATATATATATGTATATATATATATATATATATATATATATATATATATATATACATATATATATATATATATAGCCACTGTGTCACAAAAACCTTGTATCTTCATTTTTGTTTTGTTTTTTTTTTGTACTTTTTTGCATATTTTAAACACTCTAGTTGCCTTTTGCATTGTGTTGCATTGTGAACCAAACAAAAGAAATACTCAAAAATTACTTTGAAAAAATAGTTACAATAACTTCCATTGCATATTAGGAACGTTTTTTCCGTTTCCTGTAAATCAGCAGATATGTACATGAAGAATACTGGATATCTGATTTTCTTCATGTACATATCTGCTGATGCCCACACAAAAACAATATAATAAATGTAAATATTGTAGCATTACAGAAAACTGTAACATTCATTTATGTTGATTTACAATTGCAGTGAAATGAATAATATGCTGACATTTTAGAATAGGGCAGCAACAACGCCAATCATTTTTTAAGCAAATATCTGCTGATACTGATATGATTCCAATATCATTGTGCATCCCTAATAGTGCCCGTAAAAGAGGTTCATTGTTGTATATTAGCATTGTCAATGAGTGCTTTCATTTCACACGCAGACTCAGAAATCATACACCAGCCAAAGGCTGCAAAAACTCTGCAACAGTATAAAAGGTCCCTCCCTCTCTTCTGGCAGAGTCTTATTGTCCATCTGCTCTTTAAACAGTCGTGTTCTGAAATCTAGTACATAGCTTATATATCACTGGGATATTGCTTTACTCGCTCCCTCTTTTGTTGCTCTCTGCGGTACCACCAACATTAAATTCCATCCCCGTCCATTTGTGTTCCTGCCACTCAGCCCTCCGCCCGCTGAAGCGTAACCAACACCTCGTTTTGGGCCTCCCTCTCTCTCTTTTAACTAACTGTGAAGTGAGAATATGTAAGCTTCATATTCCTCCTGGCAGAAAGCAAACGCCCTGTCATCAATCACAGGCTAAGAGAGCCAGCCAAGACTAATGTTGTACTGTCAGAACCACTGTGGGATATTAGCTTAATAGAATGAGCTCCATTGTACTCACTCGTGCTCAGTGGGTTTTCGGGGAAGGGGTCTGCTGTGCACCTGCGGAAACCGTGTCACGTGTTTGAGTTGCCTTTGTTTGTCGCTATTACTACTGTATTACATGCAAGAACTTAGCCTGATAGTGTTCTTTTGAAGGGCGCAGTCCTCAGGTGATTGGTTTGTAATGAAGAGATGAAGGATTATGTCCTGCAGTCATCAGCAGGGAGATGGAGGGAGAATTCTTAAGAACATTTTATTGATCGCTCACCATGTTACATGTCACACCCTCCTACAAACTGCTTTCATATAGCGATCTTGTATAAATGTCAGCACTTGTCAATCAATAAGATCGACTTTTCATTTAAAAAAAGGTTCCCTGAACGTTTTCAGCTTAGAATCATAAAGTTCTGTCTGTGTTCTTTTATAGCACAATTACTTCTCAGATCCAGGTCATTGTCTTGAGATACTTTTGACTGAATGTTAAAATCGTACGGTATTTGGTCTTTTTCTGGCATGGACCGCATAAGACCTTTTCATTCTGAGCACAATGATCATAAATAAGTAACATAAATGAAATGTAGGTAAATATGAAGGCAATATAATACAATGTAGTAGTTTTTCAGATACTTGCACAGCTTTCACGAGCCACATCAATATCATGAGCTTGTTGATTAACATTTGAGAATTATGATGAAATATCAAGACACAAGCACCATAACAGGTGAATTTCATAGTCTAAATCTATTGTACTACTTCTACATCAGAATTTAACACAATAGGAAAATTTATTGAACTATATACACTATATGTATATGATAAAAGCAGCATGATTATAAGATAAATATATTTTGCTATATCATTTATAATGGGGAAAAAACAAGAGGCTCAAACATGTTTATTTATAAGTACGTATTTCCTGTAGTACATAAACATCAGAAATATTGTCTCTCTCTCTCTTTCTGTCTCTCTCTCTGCTATTTGTACTTCTGCTTCTGCCTCTCACTGCAGTTATTCTCAGTATTCTTAGTAAATGTTTAAAATGTACATTTATGACTTGATCTTTATCTAGCCAGCGTGCTGCTTTGCAGATAAGGCAATTTAGCTAATTAAGCTGGATATTAGTTAGCAAACTGGCTAACTAACGCCAGCTAAATACAGAAGGCAAATTTGTTGACTTTAGTGTTTCATTTTCAAGCAGCTCATAACATTCAAAGATGTCCATGTTACCTGATCAAATATTGATCCTTGAACTCAGACTTTACTTAGATAGTTCTCTGTTTTGTAGTGATGATAATTTAGTTAGCAGGCTACCAACCTGACCAAGCTACCAAACTTAGCTAGCTAACATTAGCAAACGCTAGCTAAATAACTGCTTTAAAACTGAATAAACCTATATTTTGAATCAGTACTAGTAGTATCAATATTACAATCCTCTTGAATAACTTTTTGCTGCTAAGACTTCTTACTAAATCGTTTTAAAAGTCTACAAGTAATTTAACTAGGCTTCATAGCCGAGCTACTACCTGTAAAGAGCTTATTGCTGAGCTTGGGCACACTGAGCGGCTGCAGACAGAACTTATAACGCCAACTGAGAATGCCATTTTTAGGAAGGTAACTTACTTTTTTAAAATACAGACTCTAAGATGCTTGTTTTTAATTTCTCCACAGCAACTATAATCAGCACTAAATGATTAGCTATATGCACATAACTCAGTTTCAATAAAGTATGTCAGACAGAGCCTTATAATTGCAAGCTCACACACAGTGTCAAAGCACTACATTACTAGGAATTGTCAAATTCCCAGTGGAAAAATGTTCTGTATGATACAAGTTATTGTGCTTTTGGGTGTTGGCTGGAAAAATAATGCATCTGGAATTTCTCATGGCCTTTGTCAGCGTGCTCAGATATTTCTGAGTGGCGCTTTGCTCTTTGTGTGTCAAACAAAAGCAGAACAGTGAGAGGCCTGGCTGCCCAGCAGCACCAGAGGCCCATCAGAGTGAATTGTGATATGCCTTTCAATCTGTCCCTGCCTGTCTACGGGATTTCAGACAGAATAATAACAAAAACAACATCCTAACATTTGACACTTTTCTTCTTGGCTAAGGCACTCTATTCCGTCTAATAATAGTTTCGGAATAGACAATAGGGAATAACAGAAAGTCTGCGGAAGTTCTAGCACTTTACAATATTCTCTTTATCTGTCTTTCACCCAGCATGCTCCTCTGGATTCTTCAAACCGTCCCAGGGAGACCAGCAGTGCCTGCAGTGTCCCATGAACAGCCGCACCACCAACGAGGGAGCTACCAACTGCGTGTGCCGCAACGGCTACTACCGGACGGACTCGGACCCTGCACAGATGCCCTGCACAAGTACGCCCACATGCTAAATGCTTTTTTTTGTACTTTGTTTGCAATAAGTTGAACATGACTTTTATTTTGGGTTTAAAATCTAAAAGCAAAATGTGCTTCTTGAAGTGGAGAGCTTCAAAATGGAACAAAAAAACAACAGTGTGATCTACAGCCACATCTGTTCAATACGGAAATCTCTAAATCCTCAATTAATTCATATAGCATATGCATGAGCATGCAGAGCTGTGCTGTTTCATCTTCAGATGCGGTTGCCCTTTTTAGGAGCTGTAGTTAGTGGACCTGGAGTACTTTGAATGAGAATGTCACTCTTTGGTGACAAAGAAATAAAAGCTTCTGTGCGATTTGCATAATTCCCTGTCCTTTTTAGGAGAGCAGGCATTTGTGAATAAGAGTAGCTCTCTGATACCGGTCTTAATCTGAGTGCTTCAGATGAGGGAAGAGGGGGAATACTTTTCTCTGAGTGTTGCTTTGCATTATAATAAACACAATGCTCTTTTCATCACATCGCACATATAAGAGTTAACAGAAAAGCTAGATTACTTTGATTTCACTCTTACTAATGGAGCAATCATAATGGACTGAATGAATGAAAATGAGCTCATAAAGACAGGAGTTTTCCAGGCAGGCAGTGTTGATCATGTATCAACCTGCGTTGCATTGCTTGTTCCATTGATTCAAAATTCAGTGGTAATATTAATACATCTTGAACATTTGAGGGATATTTGAAATGATGTGTCCAATTCAGCGTGTTCTGTAAGGATCCTGAGCATCAAGTCATAATTTATAGCCTCTCTCCACTCTGGCGTGGCTCAGATGTGTGAGCATAACGGCAGTGACCCGTAGACCCGGCTCCCCCGGGTACAGCCGCCTTTCTCCCAGAATGCCCTCGAGAGGCTCTGGTCGGCCTTGCTGACAAGGCGTTTTAACTGTGTTTTCCACAGCCGTGCCATCCGCACCGCAGAGGGTGATCTCCAGCGTGAACGAGACGTCGCTGAGGCTGGAATGGAGCCCCCCACGCGAGAGCGGCGGCCGCGAGGACGTCGTCTACAACATCATCTGCAAGAGCTGTGGCTCAGGCCGCGGGGCCTGCACGCGCTGTGGGGACAACGTCCAGTTCGTCCCACGGCAGCTGGGCCTGACCGAATCCCGCGTCCACATCAGCGACCTGCTGGCCCACACGCAGTACACCTTCGAAATCCAGGCCGTCAACGGCGTCTCTGACCAGAGCCCTTACTCACCACAGTTCGCCTCGGTGAACATCACCACCAACCAGGCTGGTAAGCGACTATACTGACTGATTGGGAGTGGTTTAAAGTGATGGTTCCTTCTCCATACATTGTTGATCAAGACATGTTGGGTTTTTGTAGTTTAACACTTTTGTTTTGTACTGCCTTACTAATTAGCTGAGCTGCCTTACTAATTAGCAAGTGGTATAGCTGTTATCTAGGTGGCCCAATCCCATTTCTTATTTTTACCCCTCACTGAGTATAACTTTGCCCCTTCGACCTGAGATACAATGGGTAGTGGTCGAAATCTTCCCCTACAAAACGGGACAACCCTCATATAAAATAAAGAACAGTACTTAACAGGGTACTAGCGGTGCTCTGTAGGTGACCCTGCCAGTCTGCAGTGACAGCAGAGGAGGGTAAAGTTTATTGTCCACCCCTAATTCTTCAGTGATATGAAGCTGACTGCTAGCTTCTTGTTCGAGACATCAGCATACTACTAGCGATTTTTTTATGCTTGTTATAAAGAAACGGACCAAAATACATTGAAATGACATTAAACTGTAGTAATAGAGTAGTTTTGTACCTTTTAACAGAGACAATACTCACATTTGTGGGTTTCTTTGTTCGCTTGCACAGCCAGTTTTTCCTTTTTTCTCATAACACTCAGTTTTGGAGTGTGCCTCTGAAAAACCTCCGTTTAGAGGGCCATGTAGCCCTAACACTTCACCCTACCCCTCAATCACAACAAAAATTAGGACACCTTACCCCTAGGCCTGAACAGGTAAAACGGAGGGGTAAGGGCTAAGTGGTAGGGGCGAGAGGTGAAATGGGATTGGGCCTATGTCTGTTATGAGTACTCGATTAAAAGCAATCATTCAATTCCTATTACACTAAGAATGAGAATTATTCTCTTACAATAAGAAACTGGGGCTGATGGACACACATTTCTGCATTTTTTGTGATGTAATGGTTTATTTATATATGAAGTGTTTTCAAATCTTTTTTGATAAACTCTTTTGGAATCTTTAAAATACTCTGCGTAATATGTTATTGTTCAGCCCATTGTTATTCTTTGAGGATTAAGAAAAAAAACACATTGCTTGATAACTTATATAATTGATAGTGACAGCCCTACTATTATCTGTAAAAATAGATAAGTGCACTGCTTGCAGTCAAAATGAATTGCTCACACTGATGTTCAGCAACTATTTTTGATGTGTTTATCCTGCCTGTCCACTTAAAGGAGGAAAAACACAAGAAATGACAGATATTCCAATAAGACAATGCAAAATGCCATTGAGAGAACTTCAGACATGATTTAAAATTCATTGAGATCTTATAGAGACCCATGGGAAATGTGTGGAGAAAAATAATCTGATTGAATAGTCTGTAAACAGCAGTGAAGAATAAGTGGGAAGCAGTTCATTTAAATCATACTTAAAAAAAAATTAGGAAAGTATGACAAAGCAATGTGAGGTTGTATTCCAGACTAGATAAACTACAAAATCCTGATAAACGTAACATTGTCAAAAAGAAATGCTCACAGCTTATTTTTTGTAATCATCACTGACAAATCAAAAACATTAAGGCACAATAAGAAATACACATTCTGGCAAAAAGTGACAGAATCATTCCATTATCAACCAAAGTGTCAAATAATGAATAATAATGAAAAGAATAGCTGTCATTAGATCACATATTAAATAACATATAAAATATACATCAATATAAAATAATGTGCTTTAAGAAAATAATCAGCTATTGAAAATGTAGATTGTGCTTTAACAAATTCATTAAACTGACAATGCTTTCAAACAACACCTTAAATGTTTACAAAGCTGCCCTCCACATGGCAGACTGGGATTTGATTCTCTGCACAGTCCCTCCTCCTCCTCTCTCTCTTCACTTCTTGCTAAATTGCTATCGCTAAATAGCCAGTGTTAGCATTAACAGGTGGTTTTTTACCAGTCTAGAAGAAATGTTGCAAGTTCAGCATCAAACTTCGTTCCTTTACTCATGAAGAGCTGTCTCCAGCAGTGGGAAGCAATTCCAGTGTTAACTCTTGTTTTGCTTCTATTTATGTCATCTCTTTTCTTTGCTGCTGAACATGGTTTCTTGCCGGGAGCAGGCAAGATCAAATATTTGAGGTATTTTGATGATTTAGATTTGCATGATGCCAATTGGTAATGCATAAGCTTCCATTACTTGTTAGCCAGAAAATAACTTTATAACGTCCAAAAAGTATAGTAATGAAGCAAAATTGGGACATCAAACATTGAATAATGGAAAAAAGGGTATACATTAGATTTTTTGCTGAGTAGTCCCTTTAGTTCATCTTCAGAAATGAAAGTGGTTTGCACTTCATTAATGTATTAAGGTTACAGGCCTTTGTTGTAGAATCATTGAGACTTCCAATCGCCATGCTTTGGTTCAAAAGTGCATAAGCAAACTATCTTGCACTCTCATTTTTCAACACCTGATCATACATCCTATTTCCTTATGTTTGTGAGAGCAGAGTGGCAGTTCACACTGTTCTCATCATATTGCCGGGTGCGTGGATTGAAAAAAAGTCAGTAGAACGCAGCGGTTCAAAGGAGCATAATAGAGTTTAATAGAGCATTTTAATGAGAGCTCTGCCCCTGGTTGTAATGCTGTGAACTCGCTGGCCTTGGCACTGCAGGCTGTGGCTCCACCGGTGTGCCTGTCAGCCCACATTACTGCCTCAGCGCTGCTGTGAAACTGCACCTCACACCACCAGCCTCCTCTAAACTCAGAGAGAGTCTACTGCCAGGGCCTGCTAGTCAGCTAGAGCCACGGCCAGAGGCTGGTCCAGCCAGCAGGAGGCCTGCTCTAAACAACATGGGGGAGATATAAACTTCCACACTCAGGGACATATTAATGCAGTTGCTCTGAGAACCAGAGAACGTAATGATTCTTAGGGAATGCTGAATGCATGTGCATAAAGTTACAGATGGCTAAGTAAGAGAACATGAAAATGCAGCCCAATGAAATGTTTTGATGTAAAACAGCACAGAAAAATGTTTGCAAGCTTTGAGAAGTTGCTTCTTCACAGAGTTTCTCAACAACATTTCTGCAGATGTTGATAGAGTTTCAGCTGCAGCATATTAGCGCTTATGTTTACGTTTGTGGTTTAATTTCTTTCCAGGTTTTGTAACTCTTTTAGATGGTAGACATAAAATTTGATTTTTCATCTGAACTGAAGTCCCCTCGTTTTTTGCACTATGCATTTTTTCTCCAGTGATGTTGATGAAACGTTTCTGTTGAAATGTGCATGATTTACGAGACCGGAAGCAAACTAGATTCCTGTCTTCTGAAAGTGTTTTGTTGTGTTTTAATGATGTTGTTGTACTTTTTTGATATGAGGAAAACTCTGTACTACAGTCTTTATGGAGAGATATTAATTACTCCTCCCCTCGTTGCTCACTAGCAGCTAAATGCAGAGTCCCAACATTTTACAAACACACACAGAGCCAAAAGTGTCCTTGTTAATCTGATAACAGAGCTAAAAGAAAAAAAACATTTATTTCAATATATTTATTAAATATGTATGTTATATCAGATTCAATGGTTATTTCACTGAAAAAGTGTTGCTTTAAATTTACCTGATTCAAACATGTATTTTGGTTCCATGTGGAGCCAAAGTACACTTTTGAATCAAGTACATTCAAAGCAACACTTTTTTCAGTGTAGGGGCAGAAAGAGGCTGCAATCATAGTGTTGTTCTCCTCTCCCATCAAGTTCTCTCCAAATATCTAATTAATTTTGTGTGAGTGTATTGCTTAGATTTACTCTTAACAATAAAGGAACCAAGAGGAGTTGTTTGGAGTAAAGCCACAGAAGAACAATTTTTGGTTTCCTAAAGAACCTTTCAATAGATGGTTCTTTAAAGAGCCATTTCTGTAAATGAGATGTTAATGTGAAGACATCTTAAGTTTACAGTTTAAAGAACTTCCACATAATTTAAAGGTTCTATGAAAAACACTAAAATGAAAGGGTCATTCTACAGTAACGTCCACTTTTTATCTATCAAAATGCGTCAATAGTGTTACAGATCGTCATTGGTGTTACGCATAAGAAAGGTAACACCAGAGACATTTTGAATGCATTTTATAAAATGGCTGCTACAGAGCATCAAACCACATGTTGTTAATCATTGAAGGTATCCACTAAAATATGCAATGTAATCTATTTGTATTCTGTTTTTTCTCAATTACATATGAATAAAGTAGGTCACACCAGTGACTTCAACTAAAAGCTTCATATGAAATCATGAGCTAAATGAGAACATTTCTCATAACTGAAAAGACACAGTGGACTCAACATGTGCTTTTCATCATAGATCTTTAGAAAAAAGGTAAAAGGAAGTCAGCAGTGTGGTTTTTATTTCAAAATAAGAGATTTTTTACACCGTAACACCAGTGACACAACTCCTGGGGACCAGACCTTTCATTATATATTTTATAATATTTATGTAGCATTTGTTATCCTTATGTCATTTAAATCATATAGATTTAAATGACATCCCATATAGTTTATAGTTGAAAATTGCAGAAAAATGTTTTTTACCTCAAAATATGGCCTCACCCTTTACACATGGCTATGAGGACGAGCACCTCTGTGGTGCTTGGAATTCTGTATAACTGATTTAAAAACCAATATTGCTAAATTGATGCTCAAGAAGGTGTGATTGTTAAAATAACTTATTGATTTATTTTAAAATATACAAAATACATATATTTAAAATACACTGTAGCCCTAACATGCTTTTCAAGAGTAATGTATCTGTAAACGCTAGGGACACAAAAATGGATGTTTCCATAGAATGACATCATGTAAAGGTTCTTTAGACCTTTTAAAGTTTTTTCAAACTCACAAATCTCTTCTTCAAAAATGGTCCTTCAGGGAACATTGTGACATTGCTCAGAGAACCCATTATGGTACCTTTTTTTAAGAGTGTAGTTCTGGATCTTCATCTGATAACAATAAAACCAATGAAAAAAACAAACCAAGTTAGGCTACTATGGCTGCCAGCGACACTGTCATGTTCCACAGACAGGGCCCAGCATGCTCCTCAGGGTCGAACTGTGCTTTTAACACAGAACACTGCAGTACTGATAGCAGACATATACTTTCTAGCTAACTCTTATGCAAGAAAGAAATGCTTACTGCTCAGTGCAGTCATGCATGCCCTACTAGTGTTTATGTGTAAATTACTATTGATTACTAGTAGTGAAACACAGCTTATTCAGTTTAATACACCCACTAGAGCTAATTTACAGAGCTTCTAAAATTTACATGCACTGCCAACCACAAGGATTTAGCAAGGAGTGCCTACGAATGGATTATTAGCATTAGCGTTGGGAAATTGCTTCTGCTGTGTTTCTGCAAATGCCTACGGCAAAGTTCATACCTTCTGGATAACTTCCAGCATTTGAAGTTAGTATTTCCTCCCATATACGATTAAAACCTCTCATGTGCCTGTTTGAGAAACATTATATGACGTGTAGGTCTATACAATAAAGTCTTCTTTATTGGAAATGGTTTAAAGCTTGATTAACTAGGATATTACTTTGTCTTTCACCACAGTGGAAACTCTCTTGGTGAGCAGAAAGATTTGCAAATCTTTAACAGATGGAAACTCTCATAATTGGCTCCTCTGGTTCTGTTGCAGAATACCACAAGGACATATGAATTTGTGTTTTTTAATGTTAAAGCACTGCTCGGTTTCTCATAAACTGAAGACAGCGAGAGAAGCCGAGTGACAGAGTTCCGCTTACGGCACTCATGGAAAATGGATCACTTCAGCAGAGCTGAACGAGTTGGGGAAATATGAAAGCTCTTTAGATTTAAAGCTGCATACGTGTGGATCTTTCTGTCCCTGAAGTGCTGCCATTTCACTGCTTCAAAAACACGAGGAAGGCTGAGAACAATTAGGCTCAGATGCAGAATTTAATGCCACCCATATGATTGGCACTGTAATCATTACTTAGTTATACGTGAAAATGTGCTTCTTTCATGAAGGTCGTTATCAGTCCATGTGATGAACAGAATTTGAGAAGTGTCTTTCCAGTTCTCTTTTCTGCCATATCCTGTTTCACATTTCTATAAAAGTAACCAGAATAAACCCCACCTTGCCTCAACAGGACACTAGTGCTGTACCTGAATGTGTCTGGTCATGACTCATTAATAAGTGAATGGACCTAAAATCCATCTTTAAGCACTATGGCAGGTGTGGTCAGTTATTCCCCACATTTTTACTGACTGAGTCATTGGAAGTTACTTGACTCGTCATTTTATGGCCTAATCAAATCCACCAACATATGGAAAAGAAATACATGTAAAGTGTATTTTCAACTACAGAGGGCTCGTATTAAAAATTGTCCTCACTTTTTTGAAATAAAAGATTTTGATGTATGTAAACATTGTTAGTTTCAAAACATTCACTCCTCATGTCCATACGGTCCATATATGGAAAATACAAGTAAAATGTAGGGCATGGGGTCCTTTAAATGTATGAAAACAGTCAGAAAATGTTTTTGTTTCTGAATGCACTTCAGTGTTTGAAATACATTTTGGAAACATTACTGTTATTTATCGTTAACGCTTTAGAGTCTGTTTTTTTAATTCACAAAAACAGACAAAACGCATATACATTATCATTGAAAAGTTTGTAATCGCTTATTAATAATTGCTGTTATTTATATTTAACTTAACTAATAACTTGTGTAGGTTGAAATAGTATAATCTAGACACAAGAAGGTATTTTTACACGCACACACATTTTCTAAGCCGCTTATCTTTCTGGGTCGGGTGGGGGGGCTGGAGCCTGGCGGTCAATAGACAGAAGGCACAAGAAGGTATTTTTAGTTAAGGTTTAATTTAATATTTAACTTTTTTGAGAACATCAAGAAGTTATTAACTGATAAATAATATACTGTTTTTATTAATTTACAGTACTACTTGATACATTATCTGCCTTGAGATTTGATCACCATTTTTCAATTATGAGGCTTCATGGATGTTAATTTTATAATAACTTCATTCTCAGCGCAGAGGTTTCTCAGTCATTACCGAATCATCTGCAGCTCCGTTCATCATTGTGGACACATTTTGTCTACATTTTTACAGCTTCCTACGAACTACTTGAAATCTATGAAGTTGTAGAGTTTTAGCATCATAATAAAACCACATTGTACATGTTTCTTTTACAAACTGGTTCTATATTATTGAAAACAGTGGTTATAAACCTATGATGGTGCATTGAAAAAAACATATAAAATGTACAGATTTTACCAGCTTTAAACAGCACTGTGGGTTTACAGGAGTATTCTTGAAAGATGAATATGTACATATGATATAACTTGAGGTATTCCTAAATGTGTCTTGTATTACTTCTACATCAACTTACATGTCAAAATCATGCAAAGTCATTGAAGTGAATTCAGTGATGGAGACCTTCGTCTTCATCAGTACTAGCGTTTTCATGGAATTCGCGGTGAAAGAAAAAGGCTAACGGCACTTGGCCTGCTGCTTTTGCACGCTCTGGTGTGTTTAATATTCCTGGGCTCTACTCAGCAGCCTCTAGAGCAGAGGGAGGTTTACAGCCTAAGGCTTGGAACTCCCAACGCAATCAGCCAATGGCAGAGAATCACCCCCCTACTTGATGCCAACGATAAATACCATTTACAATTTATTACCATCACAATTATCATCTGTGTGCACTTAACATGGATACGGTTACATAAATATGAAAAAAGAGAGAAATCAATTCACATTTATTCACTGGACATCATATCAATAAATTTAACGGTTAGTTTGAAAACAACTGGGGTCAGAAAATGCAGGAAAATAATATGACCTAATATCCTTACGCTTGTCCAGCAAGCCAGCATTTGTCTGGAAAATAGCATCCCATGTCTGTCTGCAGAAAATGTATGCATTATGCAGGCAGGCATGCCAAAGCAAAGTCTCATGTACTCTGCTGCCCACTACTGCTCCAACTCGATCATGATGGTCACAGTGGCTGCCTTAAACACACAAAGATCAGATCATTCATTAAGTGGAAAAGTGAATAACCTGGCAGTGTATCTTCCAGCTTTAGCGCTCTGCCTTTTGGCTTCTCTGTTTCTTTATTTCATAAAGTGAAATGAAGTGTTACTGTTTGTAGATTTCCAGTGTCTGTATTTTCCACAGACAGAATTCTTACTCTTCAGTTTGGTCTAACGTAAAGACTCCCCTGTGCTTTATACAGAGCTGATGCCAGATAGCAGATTGTTCCAAGAAGGAGCCAACTATCCAAAGCAGAAATGTTGATTTCTGACTTTTTTGGAAGGTATACAGTACTGTGCAAAAGTCAGAAAACATTCTTCAATTTCCAGTGAAATTGGCTGTAAAGTAGAAGTTATTCCATCAGAAATATATGTATTTTTCAGAAAAGTACACAGAAGCCTTAAATACTAAATATAAAATATAATTTTTAACTTAGTGTGTCCATGCTTTATTACAGCTTCCTTTTTTGGGAGACTTGCTTTTGAGACTTGGTTCTCAAAGAAACCTGCAGGGATAATTTTCCACGCCCCCAGAAGTTGGTTGCATTTTCTGCATCTCACGATCCAACTAATTCTAAGCACATTCAATGATGTTGAAGTCTGGACTCTGGGGTGGACAGTCCATTGTTCTGAGAATGCCAGCAGCTTATTTTTTCAAACAGCTTCTCGGCAGCTACATATCCTTTCAGACTCGTAGCATTGAGCAATCTTTTCACAGTGGAAGGATGGATAGAAACACCTGTGGATCTTTTTTTTACATCTGAAGCAAGAGTGGAGCTTGACTTTCTCCTCTCTCTCAAAGATGAAAGCTTTAATTACTGTTAAGGTGACACTTATGGTGGTCTACCAAAACTTTCTTTGTTAGAAGTCCCATTTTATCTAAAATTTTAAAACATTTTTTGAACTGCAGCTTTTTTTTGAATTTCCCTTTCACTTTCCCCTTCCTTATACAAATGGCCTATTTTATATCTAATCTCCTAAGAAATGAATAAGTTGTGCTTCTTTACTGTTTTGACTGGAAATTTAATAAATGAAAAATGGTGTCTAATTTTGCACAGTACTGTATCTATTTTGTTTCTTTTTATACTTGTTTTATGGGGAAAGTGGAAAAGCTTTTCAGGCATTATAAATTATATGTACGCTGAAATACAAATGCACCCAAATGCAAATGTACAGAGTAAGAATGCACTTATGTCAAAATTCTGGGCTTATGTCTCAGTTTTCACATGTGTATCTGTCAATGTCGAAGACAATGCCGATTTATAAAATAAATTGGCACTAGATCCAGCTGGGTTAGCACTGCAGAGAAATGTCCTATTTTTCTGTTAAGGTTTATGAATGCAGTATGCATTAATATGCATAAAACACAGATGTTTTTGCCTCAACATTCTGATTTCCAGAATAAAATAAATGCTTCGTCAAATATCAATTTGAAACATCAGTCAAATCTAAATTGCCAATACTGATATAATTCCAAGTTCATTGTCCATCCCTAGTAAAAATGCATCCGCGTGCAAAGACACAAATGCATGAAGACACAACAAAAATGAAGAGAGCTGTAATTTGGCTGCTAAGTAGAGCTGAAGTAATGAAAACTATTGATATAAAAGTGATTCAAAATTTTGAGCACTACTAGAGATACCATCCATTTCTTAAATTTCCAGCTCTCTTTTATTTTCTGAATGCGTATTTCTCTCTCTCTCTCTTCCTTTTATGTCTGTATCTACACAGCGCCATCAGTGGTGTCCATCATGCATCAGGTCAGCAGGACAGTAGACAGCATCACTCTGTCCTGGTCACAGCCAGACCAGCCCAATGGGGTCATTTTGGACTATGAGCTGCAGTACTATGAGAAGGTAATCACACTGTCACACACTCGCATTTATTGAACCAAGATGTTGCTGTATTGTGCTTTAGAGGGCTGGAACAAACCCACTGCATCTTCTCTTCAAGACAAGCTTTGAAGACTAAAATATGGTGTCTTTGTTGCATCATGGCTGTGATTTAAAGTTCGTGAAAGAAGATCTTGATGTACTGATCTCTTCCAGAACATGGCTGAGTTGAACTCTTCTGTACTGAGGAGCCAGACTAACACAGCAGTGGTCCGAGGCCTGAAGCCAGGGACCATCTATGTGTTCCAGGTGCGGGCTCGGACGGTGGCGGGGTTCGGACGCTTCAGTGGGAAAATGTACTTCCAAACTATGACTGAAGGTATTGATCTGTGTGAAGCATAAGAAGAGATCTGTTAAACACTGAGTTGCCAGTTTATTAGGTACCTTGTACATCATTGTCCATTATATCAGGTGCACTTAGCACAAAGGTGCGCCTTGTAGGGTTACCATTACTGACGGCCACCCATTTGTGGTCAGTCCATCTGTGGTCCATCAATGGAAAGGAAATGCCATAGGATACTGACATTGTAGTGACATTTCAGTGGGTGTTGCATCAGGCATCGCTGAGTTGCTGGGCTTTTTGCACATCTCATTGCCACTGCTGGGCTGAGAATAGATCAGCAAGCAAAAATATCTAGCCAACAGCAGTCTTGTGGTCAGAAACTAACTATGGGTGTAGGATGACTAAGGATGACTAACACAAACTGTGTATGGCAGAAGAGCTACATTTGTATACAAAAGTTCTAGCGCCCCTCGTAAAACTATGTTTTGTTAATTTTATAAGTGAAAGTGAGTTGACACATCTTCTACAGAGACCACACTGCATGTTTTAATGCACAAGCATTGTTTATTTGCTGAATGTAACATATTGGAAAAAAATTGTGTGTGGCTTGTGTGAAAGTTACGGCACATTTTGTATTTATTGTTTTAGTTTTTTCCAGTAAATAAACAGAAATTGTGCATTAAAAGTTAGAGAAAAATGTCATACTTTTGCATACAACTGTAGAGTCTTTAGCTCTGGGACCATCAAATGGGCACCAAAGAGCCAAATTCAGCTCATGAGCAAAAATGCATGCTTTTCTGTTCTATTAAAATGATGTGGAAGGTACAGCACTGAACATGGTTCTAGCAAAACATGGGGATGTGCATTTAGACTAACTTTTCATACTGGAGAAACTGTAAGAGGCTTCTCGGTTATATCCTTGACAGAGCGTCTTTGGCAGGACACTCACATAAAGCAATTGTGTTTTATAGAAGAAAAGTATAATATAATATACTTAATCACAAACATGAGCTATGAAACCGTCACATTTTACGTCCATATTTTCTCTGAACGCAACAAATACCCAAATATTGATTTCAACGTTTGAATACTGGCATCTGGAACAGTTGACTGAAGACTCAAGTGGCCAGTAAGTGTACAGAGTCTTTAAAAAACCAAACACCACCACTGTGCCTGATCCACTTGTACCAGCGCAACACATACTACCACACACATACTACCATGTCAGTGTCACTGCTGTGCTGAGAATGGTCTACTACCCAAACAATATTTGGTCAGCAGTGGTCCTATGGTCAGTAATCAAATACAAACTTCTGCACAATTTGATGGACAATTACTTATTTATTTGCTAAACAACATATTTTTCCTAAATGTTAAGCTCAGCAAATAAAGAGAAATTGTGCACTAAATTTGAAGAAATATGACATGTTTAACTCTTTTACGATGTAGGCGATGTGTTAACTTATACTTCAAATCAAAAAAAGATGTAATTTGACTGGGCTAATTCAAACTTTTGCATGCAACTGTACCTACATTATGCATCTATATGGTAGCCATACCTGATTAAATGGCCAGTGAATATAAACTAGACTGTTTTTCTTTTTCCTCTAGTTTTATGCTTCTGCTTTTTTTGCCTCTGTCAACATAAAATCATCCCAGTCATATCATATGGCATCTTGACAGCACAAACCCATTAAAGCTTTGTCGGCGATTAGTTTGATCAGTTGCTGCTGTCTGGCAAGCTGCAGCCTTGCTATCCTAAATCTCTGCCAGTCACTGAAATGCCATTGACTGCATTCAGATGAAGCATGTCAATAGATCTGTGTGCCAAGAGCACAGCCAAAAACAGATGTCAGTGCTCCAATCCCAGCATGCTCCTGGTTTTCCAAAAGTGAGCAGAACCACACTGCACTGGCATGATGCTCTTTCAATGCTACTTTCACAGAATTCCAATGAACTCATAGAAACAAAAAGTGTGCTGTTTGGCACGCATATCACTCAAGAGAGTGGCAGTAAAAAGTAGATTTAGTGGAGTGTGTGGTAATAATGCTAAATGCCAACACTCATAAATTGCCTGAGGAAAAAAACCTTAGCATAGCATATCATAGTTTAACTTTAGATAGACGTTATGCATACTGGTGCTTTGTGTTTGCATGGTGTTGACTTTATGGAGTGTGAATTGTCCAGTTGGACATCTGTCTTATACTGTATATATGTCATTTCTATTGTGTGTGTGTTTGTGTAGAGGAGTATAACTCCAGCCTGCAGGAGAAACTGCCACTCATCATCGGCTCTGCTGCTGCGGGCTTTGTTTTTCTCGTTGCTGTCATTGTGCTCGTCATTGTCTGCAATCGGTGAGTTATTCTAAATCCTTCTCGATGGAATCTTAAGCCATGAAATATTCAGTTTGCCTCATTCGATCTTTCATGGCTCTTCAGCTTTGTTTGGCTGTTCATCTGTCTCTATATCTCCTCAGGAGAGGCAGTGACAGGACAGAGTCTGAATACACAGACAAGCTGCAGCACTACACCAGCGGCCACAGTGAGTAAACCTCTCAGTCTTAAAGTACATGCCCTATGCCTCCCTGATTCCCTTAGACAACATTTACAATCACTAAACTTTTCAAGCTAACTTTGGACATGAAATCTGAGCCTGTTATTTCTCTGAAGTAGCAGCACAAGCCAATCAATAACAGCAGCAACAGTTAGGAAATAGCACAAGAGTGTAAAAGCCTTTCTAATTTTCTAATGCCATCAGGTTTTAAGTCTGTCCATCTTCATACAACTAATCTTATTTAATTTGTAGTGCTCTGTACCCTATCACTTATACACTGTTAAGCCAGTTTGCCCAGGATGTAGCCTAATAAGGGTCTAGTAAAGGTCTGGAACAGGAAAGCTGCAACTCAGGATTCCAGTGTTTTCCTTTTGCCACTTTGATGTCAGAGTGTATGAGTATTATTCCAAACAAATGTACACATTTTGCTCCATTATAGATATTGCTGTCTATAGTATATTGGCTACTAATTGATTAGAGATATCTGGTCTCTTGTGTTTTGACTGGCTTGTGGTATTTCACCTTACATGTTCTGTTTGGCTAATTTTCCCTCGTGCATTCTGGTTGAGTATTGGTATCTGACCAACTGCAGTGTAACTGGCTAGGGGTAGTATTGTCCCTCCTACATTCTGCTTGGATGGTAGTATGTGGCCTCCTGCACTGTGATTGACTTGTAATATCTGGTCTTATGCATTCTGATCGGCTACAAGGATTTAGGCCTATATGCAGTTAAAGTGAATTTAGGTTTTATATTATTTGCAATAGATTGTTCTCATATATAAACAAAACAACAAAAATGGACAGATGAGCCAACAACTGATTGGTTGAAGGTTCAAATCCCAGGGCTGGCAATGCACCCCCAGCTGGCCAAGGCCTGTACTGCTGGTGACACTGTGCTGCTCCCAGATTGAATATAGTGAGGCAGCAAAATGACAAATTTGACTAATAATTTAAGTATAACAATACATAAGAATAAAGTACAACATATTTTTCAAAACATTTATGTGATTCCATTTGAGCAGTCATTGCAAACTTTTCACTGGCAGCCTCCATAGTACCTTCTACATACTTATATACTGAAGTTGATCTTTATTTGATCTTTACTGTGCACACTGACTGCCTTGACTGAATTAAGTATGTTAAGTAAGTAACAGCACATCAGTAGAATACAATAGTGAACGTATGTGTTTGTCTCAACTTGATAGTTTAGTTAGTGATGCATTTTGTCCAAGGAAATTCTTAAGTTCTGCTGTTCATAATTGATATTAGAGCTCCAATGTTTTCCTTCCAAGTGTCACCAGGAATGAAGATCTACATAGATCCTTTCACTTATGAGGACCCCAATGAAGCTGTACGGGAGTTCGCCAAAGAAATAGACATGTCCTGTGTGAAGATCGAACAAGTCATTGGTGCAGGTAAATATGAGCATAAACTTAAATTTTAATAAATATATATAAAGGTTATCTTCATTACCAGGTGCTATATATTGTCACTGTTGCAAGAAAACATTCTATCTCAGAACAGAAACAGAAACTTTATAAAAAAGGAAAAAGGTCATTAACTTTGCATGTGTAACTTAACTTGAGAAGTCTGCTATTTAAAATTTCTACTAGTCCATTTGTCCTGAACATATATACAATATAAAACATATTGAAAAATATCAGAGTTACACAGTTTACTTATGACAACACTGTTCTGTATGTAGGCTACTATCCTTCATATTACATGGATGTGGTTCTCTGATAGGTGAGTTTGGGGAGGTGTGCAGTGGCAACCTGCGCCTGCCTGGGAAAAGAGAGATCCTGGTAGCCATTAAGACACTGAAGTCAGGCTACACTGAGAAGCAGAGGAGGGACTTCCTGAGCGAGGCCAGCATCATGGGCCAGTTTGACCACCCCAACATCATCCACCTGGAGGGGGTGGTGACCAAGAGCAGCCCTGTCATGATCATCACTGAGTTCATGGAGAATGGCTCACTGGACTCCTTCCTGAGGGTGGGTCTTAGTCATTTTAGTCATAAGCATCATTTTCTTTCAGTTTTTGTTCATCTGTTCAGCCTGTTCAGGTTAGTAACATGTCATTTGAAACTAAATTGCTACATCTTTGCTATGTATTAAAACACACTGTTAAACCATTAACCAATAAAGAGTGTTCTGCATTATATTGACCTAAGCACTTTACTTTTGTTGGACCTTGATTAATTAAAATAGCCACAGAAACAAACACTTCAAACTAGGCTGATCACAGTGCTCACAACACACACACTTTCTATTTGGAAAATAGGATAAATCAGCAGAGAATTACATAGGATAGCTATTGTTAGCTATATCCTCTTGCAAGCTTACTTTCTATCTTACTCTGACATTGTGTAAAGCCACTCGTCCCTCTGTGGCCTCCAGCTGGCCTAGCATCCCTGTAGACTGAAGCCAGATGTGGTTGACTAGAGGCACAGCTGGATGGGACGACATTACAGGTCCAGATGTAGTGCTGTTGGGCTCCAATAACATAGCCTAAAGAGCCAACGATAGATCTCTGCAGGAGGGATAAACAACTTTTTCCAATAGTTGACTGCAAAAGCTACATCAGGCTTACTTGATCAAAAAGTCTGTCTATTGTAATAGAACGCCTGCAGCCCTGTCATGTTATTTTACTGTCTGTGTTTTCAGCAAAACGACGGGCAGTTTACTGTGATTCAGTTGGTGGGCATGCTGCGTGGCATCGCTGCCGGGATGAAGTATCTGTGTGATATGAACTACGTCCACCGGGACCTGGCTGCTCGCAACATCCTGGTCAACAGCAATCTGGTGTGCAAAGTGTCTGATTTTGGTCTCTCCCGCTTCCTGGAAGATGATACATCAGACCCCACCTACACCAGCGCCCTAGTAAGTGTGCTCCCCCAAATCTCCCTGCAAGGGGTCATGGCACAAGTCATAGTTCAGTGGTATGGATATGGTGTGGACGCAGTAAGGATTACAGCTTTAACTGAGACTGAAATTTTGTTCCAACTCAACACAGCCCCAGTTAAATCTGACAAACATGTGTGTGAACTTAATCCAAACCACCAACCAGAGTCCTCATTCCAATGGACGATGACATGGCCATAATGACAGCCGTCATCAGATCATCAGTAAACAAAAAGAAAAAAGAAACAGCTGAATTATTGAGTGTCCAAAGTTCAACTTTAAACAAATGTGTTCCTCAATAAAAGCTCTCTTGCCAAAAGCGTGCAATAGTCAGAGCCCATCTTTCATTTATTTAACTTCCATTAAAATGGCCACTAAATAAAACTTATCTTATTCTGAAAAGATTAAAGTTACCAAAACTGAAGTTTAAAGATGATGTCACTCCTAACAACTGTGCAAGACCTGGTAAACCACCAAAACTGTCACAGTCAGCTTTCATCTTTAAGAGAGAGGAGAAAATGAAGCTTCTCTCTTGCTTCACATCTGAACACAACCACAAATGTTTTAGTATGTCCTTCCAATGTGAGAAGACAGCTCAGCGCTGTGGATCTGAAATGATGTGTAGCTGTGAAGAAGCTGTTACTGAGAAAAGGAAATAAGGAAGGAGGAAAAATAGAGACAAATCAAACAAAGAAATGGGATTCCTTAAATCATGAGAAGCAGAAATTGCAACCAGCTTTTAGGAGGTGTGGAAAGATATCTCTGCAGATTTCTTTGAAAAACTTATAGCAATACTCCCACAAAGAACCGAAGCTGTAATAAGAAGTGGACAAACTGAAAATGTTGCTATTTAGTTGTTGAGGCTTTTGTATAATTTTCTGTTAAATATTTGCTCTTTACTTTTCCTGATGCTGAAAAATGAATAGCTTGCACTATGTTTTGTGACTGGATATTAACTAAATGAAGAGCAGGGTCTAACTTTACACAGTACTGTACACGATGTGTTGTTCTTCTGCTGGCCCTGCAGAGCTTGAACCCAAACATGAAATTTGAACCTGACACAAGCCTGATAAATATTTAAGAAATGATGTCCAAACTCAACAAACCTGACATGAAGAGTGAGGTTCCGTCGGGTTCAGTGAAATGTTTCAAATTAGGATACATCACAGTCATTGATTGCATTCTTTTTGTTAATTATATGAATGTAAATACATAGTGTGTAGCTGTAGAGACTAATTACTCATTGCAAGATTTTAAACGAAAGGGAAACTGATGTTGGGAACATAACCATTCCAGTCTTTTCCAGCTGAGCATGCTTTGTGTCGGCTCAGTATGTGAACTAAATTGCCCAGCAAGTGCTAAATGGCTGTCTTTTTTAAGGGAGGGAAGATTCCTATCCGATGGACCGCTCCAGAGGCCATCCAGTACAGGAAGTTCACCTCCTCCAGTGATGTGTGGAGCTACGGCATCGTCATGTGGGAGGTCATGTCTTATGGAGAGAGACCATACTGGGACATGAGCAATCAAGATGTAGGACATTTTCCTCCATTTTGCTGTTTATAGTATGCATATGTTGCTTGCATTTATAAGCTTAGTCTGGAAACTATATTGTCTTGCTAAAACAACATTGACCTCTAGTGGACAAAAAAACAATGTAACAGTGTAAATAATGCATCTGAGACAACTGTCCACCTTGTTAAATACTAATGGGGTCAAAGTACTAGTGTTTTTATTTATCGACACTCTTGTGTTGACACACTGTAATCTCTGTGCTAATCCTTTCAGGTAATCAATGCCATAGAGCAGGATTATAGGTTACCTCCCCCTATGGATTGTCCCAATGCATTACACCAGCTAATGCTGGACTGCTGGCAGAAGGACCGCAACAACCGGCCTAAATTTGGCCAGATTGTGAACACCCTGGATAAAATGATTCGCAACCCCAACAGCCTGAAGGCCACTACCCCACTCTCTTCAGGGTAAGCTTAAGTAGATTGGAGAAGTTGCTGTTTTTGGGGAAATAAAAGCTATCCAGTAAATAATGTTCATAGAATGCCTTTGGTAGAGGCATGCTAGAGTGGTCATCCCATTCATAAATGTGACATTACACTTGACATACACTTTATAAACAAAAGTATTGGGACACCTACACATTACATCTACAGGAGCTTTTATGAATCCTATTCTAAATCCATAGGCAGTAATATGGAGTTGGTCCCCCTTTGCAGCTATAACAGCTTCCACTCTTCTGGGAAGCTTTGTACAAGATTTTGGAGAGGGTCTGTGGGAAGAGCATTTGTGAGGTCAGACACTGATGTTGAACGAGAGTTCCTGGCTTGCAGTCTCTGTTCTAGTTCATCGCAAAGGTGTTTGGTGGGGTTGAGATCAGGGCTCTGTGCAGCCCAGTGAAAGTTCTTCCACAACAAACTCACCCAGTCATGCCTTTATGGACCTTGCTTTGTGCACTGGGGCTCAGTCATGCTGGAACAGAAAAGGCTCTTCCCCAAATTGTTTCCACAAAGTTGGAAGCACACAACTATTCAAAATGTCTCGGTCTGCTGAAGCATTAAGATTTCCCTTCACTGGAACTAAGGGTTCTAGGCCAACCCCTGAAAAACAACCCCATATCATTATCCCTCCTCCACCAAACTTTACAGCTGGCACAATGCAGTCAGGCAGGTAACGCCCTCCTGGCATTTGCCAAACCCAGACTCGTCCATCAGACTGCCATATAGAGAACCGTGATTCATCAGTCCACAGAATAATGTTTCTGTAGTTCCAGAGTCCAGTGGTGGTGTGCTTTACACCGCTCCACATGACGCTTGGCATTGTGCTTGGCGCTTAAAATTGATGGTTATTCAAGGAATTTTTTAGTAAAGAAAATGGTTCTATATAGAACCATGAACACCCAAAGAACACTTTGCATGATTAAAGGTTCTTTGCATTGTGAAAGAGTTCTTCAGACTGATGTGCTGCAGATACAGAAATGTGCTGTAGATGATTCTATGTAGAACCTTTTTGAAAAGTGTTGTATATAGCACCAAAAAGGGGCTTCTACTGTTACAATGTCAAGCTTGTAATAATAGAAGAACCCTTTTTGGTGCTATATAGCATGCAAAGAAGCCTTTAATCATGTACAGGGTTATTTAAGTGTTCATGGTTCTATATAGAACCATTTTCTTTACTAAAGAACCCTCGGAGAACCATCATTTTTAAGAGTGAGCTGCTCGCCCATAGAAACCCATGCCATGAAGCTCCCGGCACAATTCTTTTGCTGATGTGGATACCAGAGGAGGTTTGGAACTCTGCAGTTTTTAAGTCAGCAGAGCGTTGGCGACTTATGCACTGTGTGCCTCAGCACTTTGTGACCTGCTCTGTAACTTGACGTGGTCTGACACCTCGTGATTGAGTTGCTGTGGTTCCTAAACGCATCCACTTTTCAGTAAAACAGTTGATCATGGAATATCTACGAGGGAAGAAGTTTCACAAACTGACTTGTTGCAATGGTGGCAGCCTATTACAGAACCTCGTTCGAATTCAGTGAGCTGTTTAGAACGACCCATTCTTTCACAATTGTTTGTAAATCACCCTGCATGGCTAGGTGTTTGATTTTATACACCTGTGGCAATGGGGCTGAATGAAACATCTGAATTCAATGGTCAAGAGGTGTTGTCAAAAACGTTCGTCCATATAGTGCACATTTGATATTGGAGGTGACTGTTGCATTGTATGGCCTCACTGATTATATGTTTCTGTGGTGTTGTTGCAGCATGCACCTACCTCTGCTGGACCGCAGCACTCCAGACTTCTCCAGCTTTAACAGTGTGGATGAGTGGCTGGACGCTATCAAGATGGGCCAGTACAAGGAGAACTTCGCCAACGAGGGCTTTACCTCCTTCGATGCTGTTTCCCAAATGACAATGGAGTAAGTTTCTTTATTTTGAGATTATTTTGTTCTTTGCTTAAGTACGTCCACAATGCCTTATTATTAGATCAGATGGCAATAGATATACATATAAGTAAGTAGTCCTGTCACGATTATAAAAGTTTAGCTGACAATTCACTGTCACATAAATGATTTTGATTAACAATTGAATTGCCATTCTTTGGTCATTGTGTACAGCTATTAATGCATAATCTTAAATAGACTGATGAGCTTGCTTCCTAGCTGTTAGCACTTAATAGCTCCCAGCTGAAGACAGGAACAGCTGGAGCACAAATAAACAAACATTGCTCACCGCTGCCCTCTGAAGGTGTCATGTTGTTATAGGGTTTCAGTTTTTGCTGTCGTAAGACCATAACATGTCTCAGTAAAGACGTTTTCTGCTTTATTTGTTACAAAGTAAACATATGATTGTGAAAGGTAATTGAAAAATCATTTTGATCAGCTAAAGGTGAGACACTACAGTTGAATAGGTTAATAGATATAGATAGATTGCAAGTTGGTTACTTCTAATAAAAAAAGTATTGGAGGTATTGTAAAAATTACATTTAGATGTGCAAACACATTATCTACTTTAATATGCATATATTTGCATAATTTAGTCTTTGGATGAAATTACAATTTAAATATTTATTTCATTCTAATAACACACTCCAGAGAAAGGATGTCAAAGGATCATCAAAAGGATGATTATTGATATGTCATTGTTTCTTTGTTTAATCAAGAAAACAGTATACACTGTTATTGTGTGTAAAATGTTTTTCAGGTCATTTTGTTGTACGCAGTATATATTCAGCTATATGTGATGTATTATTCCTATACTTCAAATATGGATAGGAATGAACATGAAAAATTACATTATATTTAAAGCTGGGAGTTTTGCCTGTAGTGTCCTCTCAAAATCTCAAAAGCCAGCTTGAATTGATTTTTTTATAAAATAATTCACACTGTAGAAGAATATAGGCAATAAAAAACAATATTCCAAGCTTTATTTTTCCACTTGAAAATAGCTTGAGAATTTCATTTGAGCTAAAACAAAAATTTCAGTCTTCATTAAATGTTATTATAATAGATTAGAGCCAATTGTGATAGTCCAAAATTAACGCCATCAGTTTTTACACTTTGCATTAACATTTTTACATCCCTAGTTTGGCTCCATCTCAGTTGACTCTCTTTTCATTCCGTCAGTGACATTCTGAGAGTGGGAGTCACTCTAGCTGGCCACCAGAAGAAGATTTTCAACAGCGTGCAGATGATGCGAGCTCAGATGAACCAAATCCAGTCGGTGGAGGTTTGACCCTCAGAGGTGGAGGCTGGGGCTGGGGGGAGCGCACACTCCCGCCACAGCCCGCTCCTCCTCTCAGACTGACTCCCTCCTCCGCCAGCCCTGGCTTCTGAGCGCAGCCCGTCCTGTGGAGCCGTCCCCGCTAGGGAAGGACCCCACAAGGCAAGGCTCCCCACGAGGGACTCCCACACACCACTGCCCCCCCGCGAACCACCAGCACGCAGCAGGCGGGATGGAGTTGGCCACTGTTGGCCGATGACGTCTCGGTACTAGTCGTCAGAACCTCTTCACTGTTGTGTACTGTGTTACGTTGACGACAGTGGTGATGATTATAATAAAAGCAAAAGCAGATTCAAAGACAAATTGTTCTTACTATGATCATCACCATTCGTTTGGTCGGGTTTGATCCATGACTAGCGGAATCTGTATCGATAGATTGAAAGGTTACCCTTTACAAGGGCAATAAGTTAAAAACAAATTAGCTCTCTCCTCTGGAGGTGTGCTGAGACAATTGTTTGTGAGAAGAAAATATGTACAGCAGCGCAATAGCGACAGAGAGAGAGAGAGGAGGGAATGATGAGTCTGGTTTGGAGTCTGAAATGGACCGTGGACTAATGGCAAAAAATGAGCCTCTTATACTTCTGTCGCTGCCATATGGTAAGGAAGGATCCATGTGGCAGCCCATTCCCGAGAGGACTGTTGTAGAAACTCTGTGTGTGTGTGAAAATTAGTGACAAACACAGGCTCGGAATACTCTTTTTAATGAATATTGTGGTGAATATTTTTTATTTTCTTCATGCTTTTGGTATGTATTTATTTATTTTGTACTTTTTAACATACAGTCTCATGAACCCTGTAGTCATTTCCCAATAACGTACCACGTGCTCTTGCATCATGCACACATATCAAAGGCACTTAGCTTTTCAGACTTCATCACTGTTTGCCGCTTGCCGTTCGAGTTGTAGGACAAGCGGACCTGATTTGTTTTGATGTTAATCGATATTGCTTTCTTTCCTAATGTTAATATAGTATGTACACCTTAGTGACAAAGTAAATGTTGCCATGAATTTCTCATCAGATGTCATGTTTTGCAAAGTTTCAACTGTTCTTTCCCTTTTCTCCCCAAGACTCTCCTGTGTGTGTATATATTTTCTCTTCACATGAAGTAGTATTACTTTAATAAAAGACGCAGCCAGCCGTGTGCTGTTGGCACGTGGAGGCAGCTGATGAATTTGAAAGACGGACTGAAAGGAGGGGATAGCCTCAAGGGGGACGGACCTTAAGACACTTCACAGAACACTTTGTTCAGTTGACTTTTTTTAAATCTATGTTTTATAATGATGCAACATTGTGATTTTTAATACCGACATGTACATTACCTGGTATAGTGCAGCTGACTTCATCTGCGTTTTAGTCACGTGTTCAAAGTTTTATGGCAGTATCATGACGTGGTCAGAATTATTTCAAAACCATCCTCAAACAAGCTTGCAGAAGTTTTTTTTTTTTAAATAACTAGATAGGTTTGACTTCTGAGTAGTCTTGATTCCGACCATCCTCAGTTAAAATTTGATGTCTGGATATGGTAGAATTTCACTGTGGAACTGAATGGATCAGTGGTTCCATGCACATGTGACAGATTTTTCTTCTTACAGCAGTAAATGTCAGTGACTGGTTTTTTGAAACACAAGCTCCATTCTTGAAGATGGGCAGGGCCATTCACTGGTGCAGCTTGGTCACTTGGAAGTCCAAGCTTTTAAATAGTTTAAGAGGTACGTTTTTACAAAACTGTATAACATAGTTGCCACTGTTTGTCGTAAAATTCTCTACAATCTGTAAATCTTGGTTTTTGTTCTTTGTCATACATCCAATGTGAATTTAGAAAGAAGTCAAACTCGGACGTCAGATGTTTCAAATACTGCACATTACTAACCTAAACTTAGTTGTTGATTTTACACTGTGACAATCATGTGTCTCCCTTGAACTGAATGTGCTTCCTTTCACCTAGTAAACCAGTCTTCCACTTCTGACCGCCTTGCACGCTCACGTTCTCTGACGTCTTCTGCTTCTTTGTTTGACTGCAGAGTTCATCACCAAGATATGTGCATCTTGTTATATTTTTCAGTATCAATTTCTCATTTTTGCCATATTTTGCCATCTCTTCATGTTCCCCAGGTACACTGGCCTAATGGTCTCACTCACGTCCAAGTACCTATTGCATCTTGTAATAACGATAAATGAAAGGGAAATCAAAAGAATTGAAAAATTACATCTGATAAAGGTTGATTGTTTTAAAGCATGCTGTCCTGTGATGTCGCTTGTTTCGGTCTAGTCACATAACCTTTAAGGTTATAGGTATATTTATTGCACTTTTGAAAGCAGGATGAATTGTGTAAAAGAGTTAGGCCTACATTTTGCCAAATGGTATTGTTACCAGGATCATACTCTTCTCATGCCCTCAAAATCCAGCTGTTCTACAGAATGGAATGAAGTGCCATTTGTGGAAGTTTTTCTCCCGCTGGTCAGCAACTTTAGCCACTCACTCAATTCCTTTGCCATATTTTCTTAGAAGAAAGAGTTATTTTGTAAAGAGGGAGATCTAGCAGCACAGTGTCTGTGGCTTTTGTTCTGTATGGGTGTGCAAAGCTTTGAGGTTGAACCTATCTAACTTTCTATGATGATCTTTCTGTACAGTCTGTGTATGGTCTGGATTATATTAAAAGAACACTTAAGAAGCTCATTTGTTAACATAACACATTCATTTTCTTTGTGGTGCTCCCAAGAACTTTGCCATGCAGTGGACACAATTAGAAACTCAGACTCTGTTGAGTGTGAAATCACCACCAGTGAGGTGAAACTGAAGGTATTCATGTCCCTATTATCCCCATCCAAGCATGTCCTATTGCGCTCCTTTGCTTTTTTAGGTTCCATCCTTGTCTGTAGAAGTCATCATCCTTTTACTGTTCATTTAGCCCAAACACATACACAGTTCTGTGACTTAAGCTGGAGTCCCTGGAATTTGTATGTTTTCCCTTAACCCCGTGAATGAGGCTCCTGTTGAATTATGTGCAGTGTTATGGGTTCATTTTCTAAAAATGGAAGAAAAAAATTAAAGGCTGATGTTGATTTCCTTCAATAAAAAAACACTAAGGGTTGCTGTGAGTTTCTAGGGATTTCCATTTCTTTGCAAATGAGGGTCAATGAATGAATGCATGACAAAAAAATAAGTTACAGTCTTAAGTTTTGTGATTGAACAGAGTGTCATGCTCCTTTCGAACACCAGGGGGAGTGCTAGATTGCAGAATGATACATGATTATCATGTCAAGCTGGTTTATGGTTGGAATGTTTGCTGAGGCCAAGTGCAAGCAGGGAAAGAGAATCATAAAATTTTATGCTCATCCTGTCCAGGACCTTATATTTAATTATCTTTTCAGGGAATATTTAAAGGTGTTGGCTACTTTCAAATTGCCTGTGATCTGTAATCATTCCAGCCCGTTTGCTTTGGGTGTGCCAAAGTAAATGACACAAAATAGCTGGATTAACTCCTTCACCTCTCACAGAAGCGCATACTCTTCCTGAGTTTAAAGATGAACCAAAGCTAATTTTGTTAGATTCCCCCTCACTGTGAACGTTCAGCTGTCACATCACTTTAAAAGCGTGTGTTACAGTGTGGTATTAAGCGGAGGCCTCTAGCAAGGTCTCTGCTATTAGGATTAATTACAGTTTCTCTGATCTGTTCCCTGCAGATGCTGTTGCTTTGCTTCCTTTTTAAGGCACTAGCAATCAAGCAGCATTTCTCCCACCCTGTAATCTCCTTCAGCTCCTCTGGAGGATATTTACAGAGAGCAGGCCCGCACATCCGTCAGTGAGTGGACCCCCATAACAGCTGGGCCAAGAAGCCCCAACCACTGCTGCCTTTCCAGTCTGGAACTGCTGTAACTGCCCTCCCAGTGTCTGCATTTTGATAGATGGCATGAGATGCATCTTAGGCATGGCTGATACTGCATTGACACTTCTGATCCTGACATTTGCTTTTGATCTTGTATAAAAACATCATGTTTCCTTAACCAGTTATCCTAAAATATATTTTTTTAATGAAATTGATGTTGCAAAAAGGTAAAACAAAAATGATGCTAGCAAATAAATGTGGAGCACAGAAGCACACACACAGCTATTATCCAAATACATGGTAATCAACCAAAGATTGGGTTATTTTAATCTTTAACATCCATAATTTCTTACAATTGTTATTTCTTGAATCAGCATTTTACAGTAATGCACTGCTGTTATCTATGCTGGTGATGAAGATTTATCCCCACCACTTTTTGCCCATGATGCAAAAAAGATGTATAAGAACTATAACTAGTATAACTATAATATTTCCATTATAATTTATAATATTATTGTCATTTTGGTATAATATCTTTGTATTAATGTCTTATAGTAAACTGTAACATTGTGTACAATACACTCAAAGGTGGGCTATATGGTAAAATATATCACAATACTTCCGGAAGTTTTTAGCGACACACGATACGTCACAATATTTATTTTTCCTGACATCTTATAGTTAAAAATTCTATCAAAACCATGAATCCAATTCAACATATCACACACTGTGCTGCACCAAATCCAATTAAACAGGCCTATAATGCTTTAATTTAAGTCAAACATGCAGTTGGGATGTGATTTTTAAGTGCTGCTACCGTCATATGCTCAGAAAAGCATATTGTGACATATTGTGATGTAATTTATCACAATAATGACAAATATTTTCATATTGCCCAGCTGTAAGCATCCTACAGAAATTCACTATATATTTTATTATGAAATTCCCATATTGTTCTTTTTTATATGGAAGAAATGCCAAATGCAGCTCAGAGTGGACGATATCGGCCCTGTTCTGTGGAATTATGAATGCTCATGGACAGACTAGCCCCCTATGGAGCCCTGCTGGTGACCTTGCAGTATGAATGAAAGTAAGGTAAGGCTTTTTAGTAACTTATTAGTGACTTAGTAAGGTGTGGGAATGAGATAATTAAGTCATGGCCACAAGATCATGCCTTATTAAGCTGTGGTCAAGGCCATGCATTAGGATCTTGTTCCCACGCCTTACTAAGTCGAGACCTAACTATCTCGTTCCGACGCCTTAGTCGTGGCCATGCATTATTTTTATTTAAATATGACGTCACCGGCAGGGCTCTGTAGCCCCTCATGTTAAGTAGTAGTTTAAATTATTTTCCACAGAAAGTCTGTAAGCTTCCCGCTGAGTTCACGCAGCTTCACATTTACTCTCATTTCAGATTCAAAATTCAACGGAAACCTTACAAATCAGCGCGAGCCTAAGCCAACGGTGACGTTAACCGAGCGAGTTAGATGGACTTACGTGCTAGTTGTTGATGTATGAAGTGGTGCCGTAAAGCGTTAAGCAGTTCTCGCGAGAGGTCTCGTGCCCGCACCTCCAAATTTTTTAATTATTATTATTTTTTTTATTATACGTTTATTTTAAAAAACATGTACAGGGGTTAATGTACAAATTCGATTGCATCTTGTAAAAATTAAACAAATTAATATTACATCTATTCAAATGAAAAGACAATATGTACATCTACACATAAGCAACAATGAAAAAAAATGATAAATAAAATAAATTTAAAAATAAGTAACTAAATAAATAAGTAATAAAAGTTAAATGCACTTTTACACACACATATGGCTGGCATATAAGACATACATGGATATGAACTGTTACTTGATGTAATGCTTTAGCCTTTTTGTTTAGTTGTACTTCCCAAGTGACAGCGCTAGTGGCAAAACAGAGACGCCATTTTCTCTACCATCAGAATGATTTTGAAGCTACGGAGCCCCGCTGGTGACATCCTGTATAAATAAAAATAATGCGTGGCCACGACTTAGTAAGGTGTGGGAATGAGATGATTAAGTCGTTGCCACGACTTAGTAAAGCGTGGGATGTGTTAATAAGGCGTGGCCACGCATTATTTTTATTTATACAGGATGTCACCAGCGGGGCTCCGTATGAAACTGTTATTTTGAGGTAAATATGTTACATAATGTTGCTTTGAAGTAGAGAGGTGTAATAGCAAGTGTAATTCCAGTTAAAGTTTAGCTGCTAATCTGTCTAAACTAGCCAGTTAACTGCGTGGTAACGTAGGCGGCCAGAATGCTGAGCACCTGTTTGAGTGACGGAGCTTCTCAGCCTTTATCTCTGAATATAAAGTACACGATTTTAAAACATCTCCCTGTCAAGCTGCAGTCATGATTTTATTTGGCAGAGATCAGCAGTGGAAGCACTATTTTAAACAAGTAACCAAAATAAATGCAGGTTAAGTGAAAGCAAGAGGAAAACGAATGAAACCAGAGTAACGGTTGTCAAGCCCATCTGATAAACTCAGCTTTGTCTACGTTTACTGACAGGAGTAGATTGTTAACTGTACACGTTTCTGAGCAGATCGGAAGTGCGAATCATGCTAAAAGATGGCTGAAGGGTATTGCGGGCATTTGCAGCATGTATTTAAACATATTTCTCACACTTTTATTATACATTGTTTGCCTCAGTTTCATTAATGTAACGTTACATGACACTAATTGACAGTTTGCTGGAATTTGCTCAGAATGCACGCTAAATTTTTTTGCTGGCTGCATTTTTAAAATGTCAGCTGTAATTCAGTGCCAGCATTGTAGCTTGTCCATTATAGTGTTAAAGAAACCTTAAACAGCAATAGTGACAAATATCAGTTAATATCTGCAAAGGATTTATAAAGATCTATTAACAAGATCAACATGTGAAAGTAGATACATCTTAATTAGTGAAGCTTTGACTGTCATGATCATAAACTTCAGAAGAAGGTAGGGGAAGGTTGTTCTGTGCCATTGCTGTTAGTGTATGTTCAGTGTACGTTCTGGGTTGCAGCAGGGCAAGAGAACCTTAGTGTTGCCGGCTATGATCTGGTGAGAGGTCCCACAGTGCTGCTAGAGTAAAACTGTGTCACCATGTTCCAGTGCCTCTGTTGACAGGTGCTCTTTTTGAAGGTGTTGGCACCCTGTCACCTCATGCACACATGCACCATTGCACAGCTACACGTGGGAAGGCCATCTCAGATTTCCTTTCTCTGTCCTGGGCTTAGATATAAAATTCAGACCCGATCATCTCCTCTATTGAACTCTCCTGGACTGGTCTCCATTGGTGAAACAGCTTCATACACTGTAATGACCCACTTATCAGCTGCAATTCATGGCAGACATTGTAGCTTTGAATGCATTATAATTTTAAAAGAAACAGCAGTTGTGACAAATATCAAATTTGCACCTGTCACAGCTCAGCTAAAACAGTGCTGTTCAAAGCTATAATAATACAAAGTAGTATGCATTGTAGTATTAAAAAGTACATGTTTTTCTTGCATGTTGCTGCAGCAATGTGTTAAAAGTATCAAGGTCAAATGCATCGACTTCTACAGTAGTTCTTATAACTCATCTTCACGCACAGCTGCTCCACTGTCCTGTACGTTGACTGTATTCTTAGACTGTAAGAGAATGAGGTGGCATGGGTGGCACCGCTCCCGAGTTTCCCACTTTGGCACTTCCTCCAGAGCAGCTGTCTAATGCCTACTGTGTCCAACAGCATGCCGCACCTGACATTCATCATTTATTTAGATGCCAGACTTTAATTGCATATGGGAAGCCAGTGTGGCTTTCCCCACACGGCAGGCTGACCCACTGGGAGGATATCCTGTACATGTGATCTACTAACGAAAATGACATTTCTTCTGTTCCTGGTGCTCAAATTGTGTACAGTCAAATTAGCAGTCGAGTCACCACAATGACTGACAGGTGATGGCTACAGTAACACAAGAGTATTTTGTAATTGCACTGTTCAGTGATTTCTATGTTTTGCAGCATATGTGATGTAAATGAGAAGCTGTCTGTGCTCCCAGCATGTGTTGTTGGGCTGGAGATTTACAACAGCAAAAGGGTGCTCACGAATCTGGACCCACAGCGAGACGGAAATAAACAACAGCTGGAGAGCCAACGAGGAACGGTGTCATGGGAGCTGGTAGAGAGAGGTACCGTCAGAGCCTTTTGTTGTCTGAACTGCTCTTTCAGTCCGTGCTGTAGTTCAGCACACAGCTGAAGGCTTTCTGAAGTCTCCTGGTCTCGGTAGCTGTGCGCTCTGCAGGTAAACAGTAGTGACTGTTGCTCATTACAGTGTGGTCTAGGGGATGCGTGATTTACAGCCTATGTGCTGTATTAGATTTGCAGTTTGCTGGAGAACAATGAAGTCTATTCCATTGAGACTCATGGTCATTTTGACTACTCTCTCTTTTGCTCTTTCAGGACAGTAATATGTATGCAGATGGCTCTGGGCTCACGCTCATCACCATGGCAATGGAGCTGGAATATGTATTTGTATGCTGACTGAATTGCGCCGAGAAGACAACAGAAAGAGGAGCTAAGCGTTATCGTCCACAACCACTGCTGCCTCCTGGGCATCCGCTCATTCCAGGATTTTCCAAGCCAGTCGACTCCAGCCAGCCTTGGGTCAGATCTGTTATAGCCACCAAGCTGAGCGTTGTGCGTACTGAGGCAAAGGAGAGGATGGACCAAAATGGAGATGGTCCATGCAGCTGGCAATTGCACTGAAGATCCAGGCTTAGGCATCCGTTAGGCATAAGCAGCGACTGTGGGTTAAAACCCAGCCAACCAACACCTCCCCTTTTGTCACATCCTCTCCCTCGCTCCTGCCCCACCCTCCCTTCACGCCCCCGGCTCTCCCCAGTCTGTGGTTTTGCTCGTTTCTATTTACCTCTCCACTAATCCCCCGCGTGTCTCTCTCTCTCTCTCTCTCCCACACTCTCTCTCTCTCTCTCTCTCTCTCTCTCTCTCTCTCTCACCCCCTCTCTGCCTCTCCTCCTCTTTCTCGCTCAGAGCCAGCGGGCTGCCACTCGACCCACACTGCCTGCTACATGATCTCTTGGAAAACAGCGTTCTGTGTCTTTGTTGCTGTTGTTCGAAGCCGGAGCTTTTTTAGCTTGTGATCTAACAGAACAGAAAAGATGCCTTCGCAACGACTCTGACTCCTTCTCCTTCCTCATGCTCCCCCCTCCCTCCTCCTCGTCTCCTGCCCCCTGACCCTTCCCTGCCTCCACTGTCCTTTGCCCCTTTCCGAACCCCCCTTCCTTAATCCCCCCTGTTCTCCCTTTCACCTCTCACCCCCCTCAACAATGTTCTCATGTGTTCACTGGCTTCAGTCTTTCCTAGCCTTGCTGTCCTCTACCTTATTTGCTTGGGGCCAAAACTGCCCATCCATCTGCTTGTGTCCAGACCATCACACCGTGGACTGCACCGGTCAAGGGCTCACCCGTCTACCAGACTCCATCCCTCTGGACGTGCGGAGGCTCCTCCTGTCTAACAACTGGATACCTTGGATCCCCTCTGATTTCTTAGTTCTCTACAGTGACCTCGTCTACCTTGACCTGAGGAACAACTCCCTGACCAGGTTGGAGCCAGGGACCTTGGGTACGTCGTCCAGGCTTGTCTACCTGGACCTAGGAAGCAACAACCTGACTGAGATCCCTTCGGGGACTTTTGGAGAATCCCGCAGCTTGATCAAGCTGCGCCTGGGAAACAACCCCCATTTGAGGATGGTGGGCGAGGGCGCCTTCTCAGGCCTCACCTCCTTACGGGAGCTGGAGCTGGAACGGAATGCCCTTTCCAGCCTGGACGTCAAGGTGCTGAGCCAGCTGCCTTCCCTGCGAGTAATACGCCTGGAGGGGAACCCCTGGGTGTGCAACTGTCATTTTGCCAAACTGTTTCTCTGGCTGATGGAAAATCGTCACAAGCTCCCAACTGGTAAGCTGCTTAAAACCCTTTTTTATTGGGTATTTGTATGCATGCTTTGATCTGCAAACCAAACTGTCATGCTCTTTGAGACACACACAGCACCCAAATATTATTAGACCGAATATGCAGGTTGATCTCGCCTCACAGAGCATTGCAGATGTTCTTTACCAAATGTGAGTCGACATCTGATGTCCATATAACACAAATTCATATTGAATCCTCCATGTTGTCATGATGCATGATGTCAGGTTCCAGTTGCTTGTCAGATATAATATTTAATACGTGCCATATTTGTTGTGGGGGTTGTTTTTATGGATGGTGGAGATGGTCACTTGCCATCACTGATGGTCAACTGAAAGTGAAGTACTTCATACATTATCAGACTAGGGTACTGTTACATTAGATTAATGTTGTCAGTATCTCCAGTGTAAGCCTCTAAAAGATAACACTTGTGACAAAGCACAACACCACTTTATCTAGAAGACGCTTTAATAATGTATGGGAATTTTTGAGATCAACACAAAGAGATCAGCATAACAAAATGCAATTTTTTTGCTTTTTTGCATAATTTATAGAACATATGCCATATTGGAAAAGTTCAGTACCTCTTCCATCGACTTGAATGCTTTGTATTTTCTTGTTGGGTATTTTGTAATTACAGGATGTAAGATTGGCTGAAACTGAAGCTGATGTTTGTAGACAAGCCAACCTTAGTTCATTAGGTCACTGATCATTAGTTCCACAAGCTAAGGTCACGCAGTATCAGATTGAGGTTCAAGGTCTTCTTGTTTCTCAGAGGGCTGACCTGACAACATAGACTTTGTGTTTAGTGGATGAAGAATGAGGTTCAATTCACTTCTCTCACTTCACTCTCTCTCTGTCCTGAGAAATTTAATAGACTCTATGTTTACATTTGTATGATCAATTTATTGTCAAATAGAAATTCTTCATTTGTTTATGTGTGTAATCAAAAATGAAGACTATTTCATCTCAAGCTAAAATGAAATGTAGAGTTGAAAGAAAAAACAGTGAAGATTACCTCATGATACCTTTATGACAGTACAATTTTTATGGAAAAAAGTGTTAAGACGTTATAGTCATCATAGCTTTACAAAACTTGATTGGATTAAATGGTTGCTTAACTTGTACGACCCTATTGAACCTCACCACAACCCTTTATGTGAAAGTGGAAGTTTTGAATATTTGAATAATAAAACCCTGTGTAAGAGTAAAACCAACAGCATCTATATCCATTAAGCTAAGACTACTAGACTACAGTGTACGTCTAGTAGCATTTATACATGTTAAGACACAACATTTAGAACACGTAAGCAAAAATACTATGAAGTATTACGTCACACGTTCGTAATGGATGGCAAATAACACTTCTACAAACATGATCTTTAACATTTAACACGCCTGCATGCTTACTACTGAATAAATGCAAAAAACCACGATAAGCAAACACCATTTGGCACCAGGTGAGTGTCCTTACTTAATTTAACTGTCTAATTTGCAGTAATCAGTTAATGGACTAATTAGGTACAGGACCAATTTAAATGAGTCATGAATGCATTTATGCCAACCTCTGTATACTAATTTATTAATTCATTCTATTTTAAAGATACATTATTTAACCAAAAGCAAGTTTGACATCAACAGATCAGGCAGTTATATGGCTGACAAACACAAGTCAAAGGACATTGTAATCCACTGGGAGCTTCAGGAGGTGAACCTGGACAGATGTAACTGGTTAAACTTTCATATGATTAATAGATATTTATCTGAGGGGATGGGGAAGAGAGAAAAAATTGTTCAAATTAATTGACTTACTTCATGATGCACTGATGGCATGGTCTTGACCCGCCCTTTTATTCGTACAAATGATCCAAAGGTCACCAACTGAAATTCAGCAACGTACTTGTCATCCATGAGCATGGGTCAAAGGTGAACACATGGCATCCATAATTCAATGCAACATCGAATCTGATACTGATGACAACGCGCTTCTAACGCACTTTAGATGCTGGCCACGAAGTAACATGAACTCCGCTCTCCTAAAGCCAAGAACTGACGAGACTGACTCATGTGCTATATGTGTGAGCAAGATATGTAATGTGCTGTGCATGTATGTGACGTGTGATACGTGACTCAAACATGCTTTGGGTCTTCAAAGACTCACAAGTTAGAAATGACTGGAGTAGTTGTTATGTATCTCTTAATATTTCAATTGTCTAACATTAAACGTACATTCATTGCACTCCTAGTCATTAGATGTATTGGCAAATTAGCTGCATTGAATATCCACACATAGAGACCACCCTTCAGAAACACATGTGGATTTTTTTAGATCTGAAGAAAGAGTGGAGCGTGGTCTTCTCATATCTCGCAGAGATTATAGCTTTAGGTACTGTTTATATGATGGTGACCATTTTGGCGGTCTATCAGCTCTTGCATGACTGTTAGGGGTCCCATTTTCTCTGTATTTGTGTTTCATTGTTTTTACTCCAGTTTTGGAAACTCTGTTTTTTTTACACTTATTTTCCTTTGACTTTCCCCTTCCCTATGCAAGTAGATGATTTGGTCACACTTTATTTGGCTGGTCCCCTATAGATGATCTACCGATACCTATATCATTAACAAACTTTCTGGTTATACTCAATTGATTATCAAGAACATTAAAGGTGGGGTTAGGTTTAGGAACAGGTTTAATAGTACCTTTCACACGCAGCTTCATGTTTAGTTGCATTTGATAGATATTTGTTAAATGTTTGTTAAAGTAAACTGAGCATCTACAAAACATCTACAGTGGACCATGCAAAAAACGTGTTACCGGTTACTTCATATCTAATCTTTTCTGAGAAATGAATAACCTGTTCATAATGGCCATTTTGACTGAAAATGAAATAAATGAAGGGTGGTCAATTCAAATGACTTTAAAAGATTTAATGTTGAACTATGAACAAAGACAAATAATAATTCTAATAACAATAATAATAATTTCAGCTGCAGCCAAACTGTTCTTGTACATTAAAAAAGGCTACAATCTCAGATGGATTGCTCATGCAGCGGATACTAAATACAGCATGCATGGTGGCAGTAGTCTTCTGCCTCAGACCATAGCTCTTGCAAGCTTTCTCTAAATGGGTGAAAGCCTGTGTTGTTGTGTATGTGTTTGTGTGTGTGTCTGTGTGTGTGAGATTTGTGGTGTGTGCTTGGGGGGGAGCTCCAGCGTAAGACACTTATGGTCTGGCATGCTAAAAGACTGGATGAGCTTGTGGAGCTTGGAGGACAGCCACGTGATAAGCACAACAAAGGAGGCTGAGGTCACTGAATCTCTTGCATGTGGAAAACCCCTTCTGGTTGGACTGACTCACCACACTCACTGCCACACACGCTTGACGTTGATGGCAACTGACTTTTGCCAATGACAGCACGGCAAACATAGCGGCGTCTCTTTTTATTACATGGGAGAAGTCTATCAAATATAGCGCTATCTCTGCTGTTGTCTCCTTTTATTATAAGAGAAAGGTTTAGAAAACCATAATGAAATGATAACTAGTCTCATCATTATATTCATATTAACTGCTAGTTTGTTGTATCTGTATGAATTGTTGTGTATGAAAGAGACTCTTGTATGTTAACACCCTGCATATTACTCGTATAAATGTTTTCATGACCATGTTCCAACCTCTATTATCCATTAAGAAGTAAACAAGATGATTTGTTATTGTGCCTTTAAAACTGATATATGCAAATGATTTCTGTTCTGATTAGCTGCTCTGTATTTTGCCTAATTTAAAAACAGTATGGGCTGAAACACTCCTTATAACTTCAAGGTGAATGGGTGGGTCTAAACTGCTATAGGCTGAAAAGGCAGATATGTGTGAATGTGCTGGTTTTTTATGACATCATGGAAACACTGAATTTAAAATTGGCTGTTTTTGCAGCTTAATTTCCATATATGGACTGTATGGATGGAGCGTAAATGGTATATTTTGAGACACGTGACAACATCAAGCAATTTTATTTGAAACAATGAGGAAAGTCAGGCTCTTTAACTAGTGCAAGATAATAATTATCCTTCTTAATTCTCACCTCTTAAAGAAAAAGGTTTGTCTCACCAAAATTTTCAGCAGAACAAACATAGCTCAGGAGCTGTGACCCTGTATATTTATGGAACCAGCAGCACTCTTCAAATCCTCGTTCTGATGTATTTTTGCATAGACTCCTGGGGGATTTCAGTATAAATGTGATTAATCAGAGAGGTTCTGTGGTGTCTGCCGTGCCATTCTGTTCGGTTGTGTTTGTCTGTCAGCGTGACTGTATTACGTAGGAGATGTTCCACTTTAAATCTGTCATCTGTTGTCCGATGACCACGCCGTTGAAAGCAGATTAAAGTCTCCTTCTGTGAAAATAGAGAGCAAACTAGAAAAATTTAACAAATGAATGATGGCCTCGAAGAGAGAAAACACAGAACTGGAGAGAATCCCACCCGCATATCATAGTTATGTAATGGGCATTATGAGAGGGACCGCTTCTTGATGACATTGTTTGAAATGAAGCTATTCATGTGCATCAACAATTTGCTGACTTCATGCTATTTCCTTCACTGCATGTAATCCCGTTTTCAGAAATGCAGTCCTGCATTTGTCCTTATCTGCACAGAGGTAAAGGACCAAGAATTTGGTGTTTTCAGGCGGCTTTATTTCTCCCCATTGGTGGTAGATTGCTCTGACGTAGCTGTCTGTGAAGCAGGGCTGTTTTTCACCTGATCTCACGATAGATGTGTCAGAGCACATGAGTCCTCAGTGCTCTGTCGTCGGTGCTAACCAAGCCGAAGCAACACGCATTTGGCCTCATTCCAGGTGCAGCCTGTCTGTCAGAACCTCGCTTGATTGTACTGACATTGAAGGCGACAAAATATTTCTGCCTATGGCAGAGGACACTCGAGATTCAGTTTAGTCTGTGTGTTATAATCACATTGTTGTTACTGTGCATCAGCGTACGTGTTATCATTTGAAAAGAACTGTTTAGGAAAATGGCTGAAACAGACAGAAGCCTAAAAAAAGAACAATGCTTCAAGGCCATTGGTACCTCATGTTTTCCATGTTCCACACACATTTTTTTGGGAGCAAACAGAAATTTTGCACGTAAATAAATAAATGAATGAAACGATGACTTGTTTATTGCACCAGCAAAAAAAAAATGTGACAGTTCTGGCATTTTCTTACCTTCTGGCACTCGTGTATTTCTTTAGATGTTAAAATGTAATGTTGTGGTTATAGTTTGTTTTTGTTGCATTGCGATAATATCATTACAATAAATAAACAGCAAACAAACAAGGACATTAGCAAACAATTATGTAGAAAACTGATTGTAATCAGGTCAAATCACAATCAGATAGTAGAAAGCACCACTAATCATTTCCCTTTAATGCAGTGCCAAATTGTGTGCAGCGGTTTAATGGACGTGTATACATGACAGCACATGATGCTATAGGTAACCTAATTTCTATTAGAACTGCTATGATATTCATACACATTTACAAATTACACACAAAACTAACTGTGTTATTGTAAATAGTCTCCTACTGATTTTTTCCTCACTGCATTTGAGAGTTCATGTTGTGGTTTGGGTCATTTGAGCACCTCTAGTCTGGAGCTGTGCAGCTTTGTCTGAGTGTTGCTGTGTTTTCCTCTGCAGGGCTGGAGGGTATGGAGTGCTCTCTCCCAGTGGACGGGCAGCAGGTCTCTCTGAGCATGCTTTCTGAGGACAGCTTCCGAGAATGTCGGGGGATGCTCACTCTTAAGGACTATCTGATAGTCATTTTCTCCGGGATCTGTATATCAGTGGCTGCCATCATTGCCAGCTTTTTCTTGGCCTCAACTATCCACTGTTTCCAGAGGCTCAAAGCCAACAGGACAGACGAGGAGGAGGGGGAAGACTGAGTGTGAGCTGCTAGACTGCAACTCAGGATCTGCTACACCAACAGGTTCATGGATGTCTGCACGGAGGACTGAGAGATGGGGCACTATGTTTCCATGTCACAAAAGACCCCATATTACCTGTCGGTGATAAAGGTGAGGCTGAAAAGGTCATTACAGGTTGCGTCGACTCCCAGACTTTATGAATGATGCTTGAATGATGCAAGATGTTAGAGGACTTTTATACTTGAAGTTACTGAACCAAGCCTTAAGACATAAACTGTTCCAGTAACAACACTGCATAAAATTACTGTGTTGTAGACCCCTTTATTCAGGCTGTTAGTTAAAGGGGAATTCCACTGATTTTTCAAAATTTTGGGGAAATTAAATAGTTAAGATGTAAACAAGGTCATTCAGAGTGGTTTGATGTAGAAATGTGCCATTCTAGATACAAAGTCATAATTGTTCACAGTAGTTTTGATAGGAACCAAACGTCTAGACTGTCTAATGCTTCTGACAGGTAAGATATCTCATACAAAATTGTTATAAATACATTACTCTGTGCCTGAGATATTGTTTTAGGGTAGTTTTAAGAATTATTCAAAATGGCTTTTTTCTTAAATCCATTCAATGGTGGCGAGCTACACCATTGTTGAAAGGCAACAATTGTCCCTTTTTCCATTTTGTCTTTTTAGATAAAAATATAATGGCTATATTTGTAGACATCATGACCCCTGGTTCCTATCACCACCACTGTGAGAAATCTGAGTCGGTAAGATCCTCTAAAGTGCACCATTTTTTCGTCAGACTACTGTGGATGACACTGTTTACATCTCAACAATTGAATTATGTATGATTGAAAAATTTTGAAAAGCCTGAATTCTCCTTTAAAGGTACTGAGCATAATATTTTAGCACTTCAATTGCAGCATATCGTAAAGGACTTTTTATGTAAATGTGCAAGGCAATGAATATTTTCTATGTTATTTTTGTTAATGAGGAATTGAATCTCACTGTTTGCTAGTGAGGTTTACCTACTTGCACTTTAAGAGAGAGTTGATATATTGCACATAATCCCAGTGAGCCATAAAGTAGACTTTATCATATATCATAAATCATATATCGTAATGACTCATGTCACCAAAGAATTCTTGACAAATTTGTATTTTGTTACACATGGTGGAAGAGATTGTTATGCACACGAAGCTTGACAAAGCTTTGAAAGTCCATCCAGTGATTTTTGTTTATTGGCAGAAATGGACGTAATACTGACAACTACCTAGATGTCCTGCATCCAGTATAAACCATTATGTCTTGATGTTGCAAGCCTGATTGGTTAATGGGAGCCTGTGGTTTAGGAATTGCACAGACAAAATTTTAAGGATTAAACTATAAAATTAAATGTATAATCAATTGTAACAACTGTGAATAGAAAGGGAACGTTTCATTCTTTACTTTTTCAATTCTATTTTGTTCATTTCTGTTTCTACTTTGAATAAATATGAAATAAATGGTGACGCCAAAGTGTTAAACAGTTTTAAGTGTTTTGGCTCATTTTACAGTTGAAAGCCTGTGCAAATACATGGTCTTCGTACAGCACAAATCAGCTATTTGTGCTTTCTTTTGTGTTTGCATCAAGTAAACCCATTCAGATGCTTTGCTTTCCAACTGTTTTTCCCCACTGTGAGCCAAAATTGTGAAAATTAAAAACAATAGTTTTCTATGGCATTGGCTGTTGGTTCTTGCTTCTGTATCTTTAGTTGTGATTTGAGGATGCACTTCTTCTAAGAAGAGACATATAGGAATTATTTATTAATTTAAAATCTCAAAAGTCAGAAAATGTATTTATTTAAACGACCACTTAGTACAAGTTGTTCATATTTCTGCATCAGGAAAAAATCAGAAAACATATATTTACCAGAAAATGACACAGGAGCCTCAACAATTAAGTATTTATATATATATATATATATATATATATATATATATATATATATATACTATAATATATATATATATATATATATATATATATATATATATATAATATATATATATTTATATATATATATATATATATATAGCATCTGAAGCGTGGACACACTAAATACTGAATATTCAGTATTTAGTGTGTCCACGCCTTGTCTTTGTATTACAGTTCCTGTTCTTTTTGGGAGACTCAGTTTTTTGCTTCTTGTAAACTGAACCTCTAAAGTTCAGTTTTCTTACAATCCACGTAATCCCAGTTGCAAATTTAGACATTTAGGCATTCAACCTCATTCCACATCCCAGATGTCCAGTTTTGTGTTCTAGTGCAAATTTTCCTTTTCTCAGTAACAGCTTTTTGACAGCTAAACATCCTTTCAGACACATAGCGCTGAGTTGTCTTCTCACAGTAGAAGGATGCACAAAACCAGATCTGAAGCAATAGAGGAGCTTGATTTTCTCCTCTCTCACAAAGATGAAGGCTTTGAGTACTGTTTATCTGATGGGGACAGGTTGGGTGGTCTGCCAGGTCTCGCACGATTTGCTCTGTCTTTTAAAAAAAATTTAAACTCCAATTTTGAAACCAACCTGTTTTGCCTTCACTTACTTTCCATTTACTTTCCCTTTCCTTATGCAAGCAGATTATTTTATATCCAATTACAGAAATTTGCAAGGCAGCTAAGGTGTGTTGGGGTAGTTGCTTGTGTGAATGTTAGTGTCTCTTTGAAGGGGAACGCAATGCCAAGGACACTTTTTGGAACACCTTTGGTTCAGAAAACACAGCTGTAACAGAGTTAAAGTGGCAGTAGGGTGGACAAATTAAATGCTGATAGATTTGACATATGATCTGACCTTACAGGCTTATATTATATAGTATTAAAGGCTTTTTGTAAACAAATAGCTTGTACTTAATGGCTGTTTTCACTGGAAATTGAATAAAGGAAAGGGTGGTCTCTGATTTTGCATAGTAATGTACAATACCAGTAACTTCTTTGTGAATAAAAGTATACAAAACATTGTGCAGTATAAATAAGACAGTCCTGCTTATCTAACTCTATGTGCACAGGTACTACTGTGTATTAAAATAAAGCAGTACAGGTGAAGTTAGCCCAGTATGCTATCAGGATGCAAAAATAAAGAACAGAAGAAGAGCATCCTCTTTCCTGCAATATGCAGAGCCATGCTTTTAGCTGTTACAGTTCAATGCATGCCAAACATCTGATGCTCAAATTGTGATGTGTGCCACAGCTGAATGATTATCTGAGATTATGCACCCAAAAGCGTTGATTACCATTGCTTAGCAATTATGATGCTTTCACAAATATGAAGTGATTCACTAGGTCAGTTAGTCTGACATACAACAAATATTTTCTGAGAGAAGATGGAAGAAATTGAACGTGTACATCTGCAGTCTGTGGGAGGAATAATCTAACAGCACATGTAGTGTAGCAGCAACAATCTGGCTGTGCATCTTTGATCAAACTCAGTAATGAGAGAGCGAGAGAGACGGAGAAGGAAAAACAGCCTGATCTTCTGTTCTTTACAGCCATTTCTTCCACATCTGTTGTTTTATCTTTGATGCTCCCACATCGCTCAGCAGCACATTATCGTGATTTCCTGTGAAGACTGCCATTTGATACACATCACTTGTTTTGTTTTGTTTCCTCATATCATTCTCACATTTTATCATTTCATTAGGTTCCAAAAAGAGCATGTTGTGGTGTGCATTTAAACGGACATGTCATCTCAAACGCCAGAACAGTTACAGATTGTAAAACGTAAATGATAATCTGCTAAAACTAGATCAAAATCATAGGAGTCTGGAGCAATAATCCTAAATACACACAAGAAACATCAGAGCGTTATTCCGGGTGGTGAGATTAGGCACATGGATGGAGGGAGCTGCTGTGGATGGGGGATGTCCCTGACTGAACAGCAGTGACTCTTGCGCTGTAAAGCAACCTGACAGCACACAGTTATAGCTCTGGGGCATGAGTGAAAGCAAACAAGCTACAAACTCAGCTCCGGTCTGAGCAGCCCTCCTCCACAAACACCCCACAGCTGCGAGACAAGAGCGCTGTGATAATTATTTACGTTCCCCTTGTTTTCTCAGGAAGGTAGTAGGATGAGACAGGGAAATATACACCGACATGAGGATCCTCGTTGGCGGAATTCTTGTCGTCGCCATGGTTACGTGGCCATGGGCCAACTGGGTTGAGAAAAGATGCAGTGACTGAGGCACTGGCGAGTAGATCTGCACTGTCATGAGTCTCACCCTGCCTTCACACTAGCCCAGATTGGAGCTGCAGGACAGAAACTGGCGACAGTGCATTAAATACACATCATAGAAAAACAAATTTAATGTATGCTTGTATTGTAATGTATTTACAACACATGTAAGGCTGAAGCCTTGGTGGATTTTTTTTTATATAAGCTGCTATATTTACTCAATTGCTCTGATTTTTTTTTTGAAAAGTGAAAAAAAAGTGAAAAATGAAAAGATGCACACTGAAAATGAATGCAAACAGATGAAAATACACAACTAAAAGTGTGTATTAATATTTTGTAGGTCCTCCTCAGCCTTGATGACACTATTTTAACATTCTTTTATATATTTTTTAAATTATATGAAGGGAAAAATATACTTTCTAGACTTTCTTCACTGCTGTCCACGGAGCATCAATCACGGTTGGATTTTTCTTCTGTACACATTTCCCACAAATTCAGATATTAGCCTGGTGTTTGTGTGAGCCATAATCACCTCCTCCTCAAACCACTCCCTCACTTGATGGGTGGGCATCTTGCAGCGTCTTGCTGGAATATCCTTTTTTCAGTATTGTTTTTGTGGCTTTCATCTTTTAAGTGAACAAATGGGTTCAATCCAATCAAATATGTCAAAACCAGTTGTTAAACATCATTGTTTTACACTACACAGACAAAAATACATGGACATTTTAATTCTTATTCGCAGGTTTGGTTAATTCATCCACACTGATTCCTAATATGTCCATATAATCAAGCATACAGCTTTGAAATCTCAACAGACAACATTGGTGTATCATGTGTATCATTTGTTTGTCATACTAAAGAAGAAACAATCATTGAATTTCTGCCCTGGTGCTGTAACTGGGAAGTAGAATTGATCACAAGCGCTCACAGCACAGAGCTGTGGGTACAGAAGCATGTAGCACATAAAAATAGTCAGTCCTTGGTTGCAACACCCACTACTGAGTTCCAAACTGTCTCTGGAAGCAAAGTCAGCACAAGAACTGTTGATCAGGAGCTCCATGGATTACATTTCCAAGCAGCTGCACACAAGCCAAGGTGCACCAATGCACAATGCCAAATGTGTTGACTGGAGTGCTGTAAAGCACACCGCCATGGGACTCTGGAATGGTGCAAAAGAGTGATGAATCTCTCTAGAGTGATGAATCACGCTTCACCATCTGGCAGTGTGAAGGATGCATCTGGGTTTGTCAGACGCCAGGAAAAGCATAGTGCCAGCTGAAGTTTGGTAGAGGAGGAATAATAGACTGGGTTTTTCGTGATTTGGGCTTGGCTCCTATAGTGCTAGTAAAGGGAAATCTTAATTCTACGGCATACAGTGACATTATAGAGAATTGGGTGCTGTTAACATGCTTTGAACAGTCTGGATGGGATGTATTAGTTGAGTACGAGTCTGACCTCACTAATGGTCTTGTGTCTGAATGGAAGTGAATTCCCACAGCCATTTTCCAAAATCTAATGGAAAGCTTTCCCAAATAAATTGAGTTTGTTGTAGAATGATAAGGGGGTCAACTCCATATTAATGGCCATAGTTTTGAAATGAGGTGTTCATCATGCCCATTTGGATGTAAAGTTCAGGTGTCCATATTTTGGACATGTTGTGTATGTGCAACTCAGCAGTTCTGCCAGTGTATATTTATTGTCTTTGTCATGTCATTATAATATACGCTGCCTCTGAGCTATATTGGTTAAATATTAATACAGCGCATCTGTTGCCTGGGCCTGGGGTCATTTGATTATTTAAGCAACAAAAAGCACAAAAAGCTGTCATATTGTCTTACTGTATTTGCCTTTGCTATTACCTTTGCTGACTCAAGTAATAAAATGGTACATTCTTGTGCAAAAAAGGAATTTAAAAGAAAAGGCTGAAAAATTCCTAAATTTTTGCTTCAGTGAAGGGTAAAAGTAAAGACAGGACCATGGTCACAAACACAGATGACCAATGGCACCTGTCAGGACTGGCCTAATTGGACAGCAGTGAAGATTACAGTAAACCCTGGACTTAGGACACTGATCCCTCAGCTCTCCAGTCATTATCTACACCCTGAGAATGCAACCCAGATCCTTGAGAACAACAGCAGCGTGACCTTGCTTCCTGTGGTCCTCTACTGTTACTGACACTGATGCTGCTTGACTTACACAGGTCGTAAAGCTCCACCCCTCTGGTGCTGATTACACAAGGGAACAACCACAGATATCCATTCATGTTTCACACCCAAAATGTTCCATTTGCACTGGAATTACAAAATCATTTCAACCTTTGACAACTAAATAGGTACATTATTGAAACATGGAACAATTTCAGCCATAGATACATCCTTTATGGAATCACAAAATCTTATCTTTGCCTTCCATTAAAGAAAAATCTGTCTAAAATATATGGATTTTCTTGCAAATGCGTGTTTATGTACCACACTCACAAGGATGTAAATTCAAAATAGCTATTTATTTTAGGGATGTATCAATATGGGAATTGTGGGCCGATGCCAATATCATATTTATTACATAAATATCTGTCGATGCTGACACATAAATTGGGAATACATCTGCATGTATTAGCACTGAAGCAAAATATATATAAATGTATGAACAAAATGCAGATATTTAAGCACAGTAGCTCAGTATCAGTGAAATATTGGCCTCATCTAAACAGGCCTGACACCAATAACTTTTATAAGCAATTAACTGCGGATAAGATTCTGATGTCATTGTGCATTCCTAATTTATTTGTATTGTAAAAGCCACCTGCAAACTATATAGTGCAAGGGCTCGATGTAAACCCTCCAAACACATGATTACAAACACAAACATGGTCAACGTCATTTGAAGTGCCTTAGCTGTGCTGAAAAATAGAGTAATGAGTGGAAATAGATACACAATATCTAATCTTACTCATGAGCCTAAAACACACACACACACACACACACACACACACACACACACACACACACACACACACACACAGACAGTAAGCACTGCCCCCTCTTCTGTCCAGATGTGGAGGTTTGTAGGACTGTGAGCTGAACAGATGGCCCTTTACGCCACTGAAGGCATGCTGTGGATTATGTGGTGGCACATGACCGGCCAGAGGGGTGTGGAGCTCCACATCTGCTGGGATTATTGTTATTTCATGTTCTCTTCAGAAAAATGTTAAATTTACTTTAAAGATACATTGCAAATAAAGGCAGACATGCCTGGTTGCCCTATAAATGCAATGGGGAAGGCGAGATGACATCACTGCCCTGTGAAGGTCTGGTGTGGTCAGCGGGATTATATCATGGGATCTGTATGGATTACACTGCAGAGTGCATTTTATCACATCTGATGAAGTCATGGGATCAGAGCAGTTCAGTATTAGGAGTTGTAGATTTAGAGCACATGCAAGCTTTGAACTTGAGTCTTTAGTGCAAGTTACACTGATGGTACAGTGCAAATGAGAAGCTGACATACAGCAGCTGGTGTAAAGAGGATTTATTAATACTCAAAGAGGTTTAAATACACACCACAATATGCCCTGATTTCATAATCTAGCACAGAAAGAAGACACCATCATGCACTCAAGTTCTGTTCTACAGTCAGCATCCATGCATTTGGATGACTGCACTAAAACACCACCAAACATTTACCTGCTTAATCTTTTCACTAATCTGTGCCTTCAACGTTTTGTCAGTTACAACAGAAGATAACTCAAAAAGAAAGACTGAAATGAGCATCACTGGTACACCGCTGACCACGTTTTAAAGCTGCCATGGCCTCCCATTCACACTTTTGGTGCAACAACGCCCCACTACGTCCAACACTGGAACTACACCTCTCGAGTATGTCTATATGACTGGTAAGTTAACACGACTTGGTGCCATTTGGCCATTTCAAATCAGCATTTCACACCGTTGTGGTGAGAAAATCAATGAACAGAGGTAAGTTTTATATATTCAGATATCTACTTAAACAAAGTTTTGTTGGATTTGTGCAGGCTTACTGCAAACTTAGGGTAACCATTTTGGTTTTCAAAAAAGAGGGCACTGAAGGTAGGAGGAAGGCAGAGTGCGGACTGTAGAAAGCCAAATCCTGGCCAGAGGTGCCCAATATATATATATATATATATATATATATATATATATATATATATATATATATATGATAACCACTGAATTTGCTCATACAAGGCACATATTTGTTATGGCTCTCGATGAAAAAGTTAAAATCAATTCACAGGCCACATTTGGCCCTGGGGCTGGACTTTGGACAGCCCTGATGTATGGTCATTCTGTGCTGCAAAGGATCATTCACAGCTCTGTTGTTGGAAGATTTTCTTATACAGCTCCTAAACTCTGGAACAGCATTCTAGAGATAATTAGGAATGCAAGCGTGATAGACGTTCCAGATTAAAATATGTTTGTTTAGTCTAGAGTGTTGTGTCTCAATTTCACTAGTTGTTTATAATTGCACTGTAACTTCATTTAAAGTGTAGATCACTTTGAGATTTGTAACTAAAATGAAAAATGTTACGTATATAAAGAAATTATTATTATTATTATTATTATTATTATTGTTGATGTTATTATTATTATTATTATTATTATTATTATTATAGGCCTTTTTATTCTTTCTCTGAAGTATCTTCAAATGATGATATTTTCTTATTAGTGTAAATTAATTAAAGTAATCTACTGTGTACTTAGTTCTATTGTGGTCATAATTCATAATTCTTTCTTTCTTTATTTGTTTGTTTCATTTCTTTTTTATGTTAATTTCATGCCATAGAGTGCAAAACTGTTGCCCTTATTCTCACCACAGAGCTTCGGCAGTTTATTTTAAACCAGAAGAACCCCACCTCCCCTTTAATGTTTCAGTAAAGTGAGACAGTGGTTTCATGCTTCTCTTTGTTTATTACAATCGCAGCTCTCGTTAACCTCCCAACGCTAGATGTCCACTGCTCCAAAGGCGCACGCGCGGCAAAATCGCTTTGTTTTGGCACGTGACCGGAAAAGCCCGGTTGGAACTTTACTCGTAAATTCGGTTCAGTTTATCGAACCGATTCATTTGAAATATCCGCTTTAGCGAGTCGAACTCCGATTCATTGATTCACAAGTCAAGTCCAGCTTCATTCATATAAAAACGCTGAGCACCGTGTCTGTGATCTTCGCTGCTGCTACATATTAATACAGTCAGACTCGAGATTCACAAAGAAAAAACGTAAAACAGACAAAGGGAGACAGCTAACCTGCAGTCTAAATAGTGAAAATGTGAGAGTTTGGACAGTCTTGTATGGCGAAAATGATCATTTGCGTAGGCGCTACAAAACAAGTTTGATTCAGTTAGAATCAGTTCATCTGGGAATCAGTTCAAATGAAAGATTCGAGCCTTGGCTGTTGGCTTGATACAGGAAACTCAGTGCTTGTGTCAGACTGACATGTAGCTCAGCGACAAATACAAAGAGTAGCCGAGACGCTAAATAATGTTGTCAGACAGCTCGGCTGAACTGCGTTTCGCAAGACCAAGTGGGCAGTGCGGTACAACTTTGAGAGAAAAAGCCAGCTGAGTCGCTTAAGCCAGTTTTACGTCATGTTTGAAAAGTTGCTGGTTGGTCGCCGAGCTATGCTAAACCAGTTAGCAGGCTAAGTGTAGTAGCAGACTGCAACCTTTGCCCTCGCAGCTTTCTCTCACTGCCGCTGTGAAGTTATTTTGCCTGTCATTTGTTTGTCAGCCAGCCTTTGTTTCTGTGAGAGCTGTCAGCTTCATGGTCTAATATGAGGAGGCGACGAGTGCCAGGCTAACGAGCGCTAAGGCATTTCTGTTTTGACAAGGACGGACTTTCTGTTTCGGGGCGCTGGGTAATTACCGCTGCGCTCTGTTTTCGTTTATAGCTAAATGACTTGACACCACGTTACATTTGTGTGGATTAAAACGCTTCCAAACTGCTTGCTTTGAAAGGCCACCGTTCACTCCCGGCCTGATACAATGGTAAGCCGACCATCAAACTGGAGCAGCGCACAGCTTCAGGCGATTCTCAGGATAAAAGTTGACCCCAAACATAATTTTGACAGTCATGTAGGTTAGTTAGCTACCTGCTCGATACTGAACACTGACCGAATTGTCCGCCCACCTGCTCAGCAGAGGCTGAAGATAAAGGGAGTCGACGTTAGCATGTTTTGTGTCAGCTTTGTAGGCAGCTAGGTTAGCTGTCAGTTTGGCTGCTGTTTTTCGTCTAGTTATGTGTCTATTTTTGTCTGTGATCTCTGCCCTAGATGTAGAGACTAGACATTTGCATTTTCAGATGCAATTTCTTATTAGACATGTAGTCCATAATCAACTTTTTGTTGCTGCCTGGCGTCCAGTGTCTTGCTTTGCTTACTGTTTTAGGATCTTCTGAGTCATTTTTAGTCCAAGTCAATAATAATCCCCTCAGTGAGTGTGATAGTTAATAATTAATTATGTATATAATACATAGTGTGTATATTGTAAGGCAAAGTGGAAAATTATTTGTATTAATGTTATGTTGACTTTCCGAACCGATGCTGCACTCCAGTACACAAGCTCTTTTCTCTTGTTTTGTAGACTTCAGATGACCGCAGTAAGCATTGAGCGTGCAGCCCCCATCCGTCGCCATCGAAGATCCTCTTCTGTTTATTCCCAGCTCATCCCAGTCCCTCCGCCCTGACCTCTCATAATGTTGGAGGGACTTGTTGCTTGGGTACTTAACACATACCTGGGCAAATATGTCAGCAATCTTAACACTGATCAGCTCTCTGTTGCTCTTCTCAAAGGTATGGTTTCTTTTCTGCTGTTGATTTGTAGCGTTATGTTTGAGTATCTTTTAATGTTTCTGAACATAGAATGATTTGGTTTTTTTTATTTATGTTCCAGGAGCGGTAGAACTTGAGAATCTTCCTTTAAGGAAAGATGCACTCAGAGAGTTTGATCTACCCTTTGAGGTCAAAGCAGGTAAAGGCTACCTTAACACACCCTGTATATATTTCAGAAGTATACAGCTGAGTCAAAAGATATCTTAATATCTGCTGTTGAGGTCTGTGACTTCCTGTCATTGATTGAGCTTGTACTGGCAAAGAAGTGTCAATGAAAGATGATCAGGAATTTCTGGTTTGGTGACTTGAAAGCGTGTATCTTTAGTGGTGTTCTTATTTGTTCTTACTTTGGCTCGATTAGTTAAAGTAAATTAAAGAACAAAAAAACTCTAAACTGTTAGTGTTCTGAAGAACACCGAGTCTGTGAATAGGACTGGCCCAAATAATTTGAATTCTTGAATACTCGTTTGTTACATTGGTATCTGATTCCTTGTTTATTTGTAAGTTTTGTCTTTTTCTGAAATAGAACAGTGTTTGTTAATATATGGAAACAGTTGAAAATATATAAATTATAGCTGGTTCAATTATATGCATCGTAAATTCAAGCTAGACATCCAAGTTTCATCACAACGTTCTATGCTTCCTATGTGGCCATTGAAGCTAAAAGAGCAAAGATGCCTCAGAAATCATGTGTAGGAGCACTTTAAATTATGCAAAAAGGGGTTAGCATGTCATGAAGACACATGTTTAATGAATCAAATCAAATATGTAAGTATAGAGATCCTTATCTAAGGTGTCATACTGACACAACAGCTGATTTGCGTACGACTGAGTCTTGATCTTTCCATTTTGCTCTTGGCTGTGACTGACCTCAGCTTGGCCTATATGTCGCGCTTCTGCTTTCAGTGACAAAGTAGTGAACTAGTCTAATGAAATAAGCAAACGAGAAATAAAACAAACCTAAAACAAAACTAAATTCATGATGGTGATAAATGAAATGAACGTTCTAATTATTTACGCTCGTACACTCATAGCGACTTGATGTGTGACTCTTAAGCATTAGAGAAGTGACTCAAAAAACCGGATTTTGAACAAGAGGGCCACAATTGGGGATTTTATCACAGCAACATACAGCACAAGAGCAGCTGGACTTCAACCTGACTGTTAAATCCTTGTTGCCTCGTACTGGATAATATGTGATCTGCAGTAACAAACACTTGTAAATTATAGTTAATTAGGAAACTTAATTTTTTAAGGTTGATTTTGAGAAGAGGTTTATGAGTACTCATTTAGAAATTCCAATAAGTATTCAAAGCCTGGAAAATGCAATTTTGGCCAGCCCTAGTGTATAACAGTGACTTCTTCATAATTCCTCAGAAGAATTCCTCGTAATTGTGATGATTGTTTTGGATTTCTAAATTTGTGCAGGCTTCATTGGGAAGATCGTGCTTCAGATCCCCTTCTATCGGCCTCATAGTGACCCATGGCTCATCTCCATGTCTCAGCTGAATCTGATTATTGGCCCTGCCCATCCCCAGGAATATGATGATGCGTGGGAAAGGGAAGCTGAGCGGGAGCAGAAGAAACGGCTGCTTAAAGCCTTAGAGGACAAATGGAAGGTAGTGAAGCATAGCTTTTGAAAATGCTTGTAAAACAACTGGTTCTTCTTCTTCCTTCTTCAAAGGAAAAAAAATATGTTTTTGTCATTCAGAGTGAATGCGAGCAGAAAGGAGAGTCATACTGGTACTCTGTCACTGCCTCTGTGGTCACCAGAATAGTTGAGAATATTGAGGTAACGTTATTCACTGTGATGTTTGTAGATTTATTTGAATAGTCTGTTAGTTTCAACCTTTTGTCATTTGAATGCAATGTATTTTTTTTTCTTTTTTCATGTATGCAGTTGAAGATTCAAGGTTTACACTTAAGATTTGAGGATAACTTCTCTAACCCAGAAAAACCATTTGCCTTTGGAGTTTGTATTAAGAATGTATCAGCAAATAATCCCTCTAAAGAGCCGGTAAGATGAACAGTAGAAGTTATTGAATTTGCCGTTAATAATATCACAGCTCTGACTTCTATAATGGAATTCTCTGCTCACAGGCTCCGAAGCTAATGCGGCAGAAGCAGCTGGAGATAGAGGAGTTCAGTGTGTACTGGGACACGCAATGCACCATGCTTGGAGATCTTCCTCCTGCAGAAATACAGGTGCCGGGTCTTAAAAATATTTTTTTTATCTCAGTGTTCCATAGATAACTTTCTGTATCATACTGTCTTACAAAATAGTCTAAGAATTCTCACTGATGTAAAAGATGATTTTACTCTCCTGATATCCACTCCTTTGTTGCACTTCTTATAAATAGGAGACAATGACTGCATGCATGCAGAGCCGAGAGCATCAGTACATATTTGAGCCCGTTTGTGCTTCTGTGCTGCTGAGGAGGAATGCCTCGAAAGAGCCATTGCGATCTCGCAACACTCCGCGCATTGAGGGTCAGGTGCAGCTTGAGCCTCTGTCACTGCATCTCTCACAGGTACTGCTTAATTCAGCAGAGGCTTAACCCAAAGAGGCACCACTGTGATATGCAGTGACAACTTCTATTGTATGACTTTTTTTATGCATTTTTTTTTTATTAATTTAGGTTTGATTTAATGTCATGGTTAAAGTTTGAACATTTATGTTTGATTTAATCAAAATAACAGGTCCAGTATCAGCAGATAATGGCCTTTCTCAAAGAGCTTGATAGGAGGGAGAGAGAGATGCTTTTTCGCAAGTGGAGACCCAAAGTCCCCGTCTCAGGAAAGTAAGACATACTATGATCTATTTTGAAAAGCAAGCGTTTTTTTCCATCTTGGTGAATAAAATACAATTTATTGCCCTGATTCTGAATGGCTGTATGCTTTCCATAGTTGCCGCCAGTGGTGGATGTTTGCCATCAATGTTAACCTAGACGAAATCAAGGAGAAGCGAAGGCGGGGGAACTGGGACTTTGCCCTTCAGCGAGCGCGCGATGCTCAGCTCTACACTAACCTTTATAGCCAGAGGCTTAAGGGAGTTACTCTGAGTCCACAGGAGGAGGTAACACTCCCTCAATAGACTTATAGACTTAGAGGCTGGGAAGTTTGATCTGGACAAAGCCATAAATCACCAACTCTCCAACAGCCTGTGTGCAATATCTGCTATATATATATACATATACATATACATTTTGCAGAACTCTGATCTGCAGTCTGTGTTTCTCCCTTAAACAGAGTGAGTTTGAGAGGATTGAAGATGAACAGACCCTGGAGGAATTGCAGAGTCTCAGGAAAATCGTTCATGATGCCTTTCGCAAACAGGAGGAAATTGCAGAGGCAAGCTTAGATGATTTATCTTGAAGTTTACTGAGCACCTAGAAGCAAAGCCCTTGTCAGGCAAAACAGTTTTTTTGATATTTAACTACAGTGCATATAGCACGGTCATTGTTTCTGCTCAGAATAAAATTTAGTAGTATGATAGGGCAAACCCTAGGGTGGTGTTTTTCAGTTCTGATCCTGGAAGGCCAGAATCACAGTAACTTCCCTGGTCAAAAACACCTGGTTCAGCTCTTCTGTTAATTGCCAGATTTTGTAGATGTGTTTATTCCATGAAACCCCTAAACTGTGCTGGATATGAGCCTTTAGAACTGGAACTGTAAATGCATGCTGTAAGGCCAAAGCTTTATTGCAGTAGTTTAAATATGAAAGGGGAATTGCACTTGTTTTTTTCCACCAGACCACTCTGAATGACTTTGTTTACATCTTAATGATTTGAATATTCTGAAAGTTTAGAAATTGATAGAATTACCTCTTTAAAAAGTATAATTCTGTTGTTGTTCTTGAAAATGCATTGCAGTAACTGGTATCTCATACTTTGCATTCAATTTCATTTACAGAGTGTAAGAGAGCCCATGTCAGAGCCAACAGCCACCTCTCCATCCAGTTCCATTCCTAAAAGTGGCAGTTCGGGTATGATCCAGTACCTGCAGTCCTGGTTCCCTGGATGGGGTGGTTGGTATGGAGGTGCTGAGAGGGGTCCAGATGGGCAGCCAGTAACAGATGACCTTATGCCAGAAACTACTCAATGGGATATTCTGGGTATCTTGTGATGCTTTTTTTATTTACATTGGAACTTATGTCATACTTCACAATAAAAAAATCTTATATACATATATACTTCTAAAAACACAGTTTTCTCAGTATGTTTCTTTTAAAGTACTAAAATGGTGCTTTATTTCTTTCATGATTAGTTATTTTTTCATTAATATGGCCAACCTTCAAAGGAAAATGGATAATTTACATAATTTATTTAATGTGAACTATTCTTACCATTCACAGCTGAAACAGATGACCTATTTGACCCTTTGGAAGACTCTCAGACTCTCAACACTTTTACCAGGAGGGATCACCTCTTTGCACGGCTGGATTTCTTTCTTGAGAAGGCAGCTGTCACTCTTTTCCAGCAAGACAAGTTGAATCCATTGTCCAGTGAGAGTGGGGTGATTCAGTTGGAGTTTTCAGGTACAATAAATTCTGTACAGTGTGCCATTTTTTTTTCTCCCCACAAGGAAACTGAACCATACAATCTGTAATGTATTTTTGAATACTAAATTCTTTGTGTTTATCTGCAGGGGTGAAGATTGGTGTTGAGTCTCTGCCCCGATCTGAGTCTTCTCTTCTCTCTGTAAGGCTTGGAGGGTTGTTTCTCAGAGACCTCACCACCCAGGGCTCCATCTTCCCTGTGCTTGTCTCACCAAAACCAGTATGTTTCTCTAGCTCAGTGTGTGAAAGTTTACTGCCATTTACTTCTATACAGCCACAGTTTTGCATTGTTTTCATTCTAGTAGGTTAAGATTTAATTTCCTTATATCCCCTCTTCTTTTTAGGAAAAGGTTGCTGTTGCCAACACTCAACCCTTTGGTCAGAGTAATAGTACAGACAAAGGCAACACAGGTGACTGGAAAACAATCTGTACAATTATTTTTGAGAGATGAATAATTAGTGCTCTTCTAATAATGGTTTTACCTTGTGCATGTTATATTTTGGCACCAGTTGGACATGTTATAACCTTATGTTAACTAACCTAATGAATTTCTCTCATACATGTTGCTGTTTTGCAGTAATGTTTAGTGAGCTTTGCTCATTTTATGTGGCTAAAGTAAGCTTACAAGAATCTTCTATATTTTTCAGCGTCTTATATGGAGTCTTCTGCATCCCCTGTCTTTGAAATGATCTATGAGCGTAACCCAATAAGAAGCAAATTTGAGAGGAGACTGGAGGTTAATACCAGCCCTCTCAATATCATCTACAACCCTCAGGCTATCAAGAAAGTGGCTGACTTTTTCTACAAGGGGCGAGTTCATACCTCAGGTCAGCAGTAATTAACACTCAGTTGTTTGAACTTTCACTGTTATTGCTAATTAGTATTAATTTTAGAAAATGTTTTGATGTGACTGTTTTTCCCCAGGGTTCGGATATCAGTCAGAGTTAGAGTTGCGAGTGGCTGAGGCAGCAAGGAGGCAATACAACAAGCTCAAAATGCAGACAAAAGCTGAAATCCGGCAGACTATAGACCAGCTGCTAGTTGGAGAGTTCATTGTAAGAAACTATGTTGTTCCATGACTGGTATAACTAGCAATTGATGTGTGTATTTTTAGTACAACCTTTGTTTTTCTTTTCACTACAGGAGAATAGTAAGCGTTGGACAATGAGATTGGATATTTGCGCCCCCCAAGTTATTTTCCCAGATGATTTTCAGTCTGACGACCCCATGCTAGTGGTAGTTGATCTTGGTCGTATTCTTCTTACCAACTCCCAAGGTAATGAATATAAAATGAATTAACAGCATTTTGTTTGTTTGGCTGTCTGTACAGGCAACTTTGATGATATCTTAATACGTATAATAACTACAAATGTTTTTTTTTTTTTTCTTCCTGTGCTTACAGAGGACCCTAAAACTAAGTCGAAGGCCTCGCAATCAGAAGGAGATGAGTTAAGTGATGAGGAATACCAGACTCCTCTAGCAACACCTCCTGGATCTCCTCCTCCTGAACAGGAGACAGAGTTTAAAGGGCAGGAGAAGACCCCTGACCTCTGTAGCCTTAAATCAGCAGAGGGAGCCCAGTCCTTCAGCAGAATCCTGTATGAGAAGTACTCTTTATCTTTTAATGACCTGCAGATCATGGTTGGTCGCTACAAAGACAACTGGAAACATCTGCAGGGGAGTGAAGTGGGGCCCACCCATGTAGTGGAGAAATTCAATGTGCTCCTGCAGCTGGAGCAGAGGCTGCGTTACACCTCAGACCCACAGCTCCCTGGGGCAGTTCTCTCAGGGACCTTACCAGACCTAAAAGTGCACATTAACCTAGAGAAGATGACTGCGCTGAGAAGCTGCCTTGCTAGGCTAGGTAGTCACGGTGCAGACGAGAGCAAGGGTGACAAGGGAGAGAGCATCAAATCTCCTGATCCTTTAACACTCCGTCATGAAAAGATTTTTCAAAGGGAGGACAGCCAGTGGAAGCTCCATGGCTCTGACAAAAATCTCACAAAGAGTGTGATGACCCTTGAGCAGCACACACGGGAGGTGCTGGTTGAATCCAGGCTTCTCCTTGCAGAATTCAACATCAACTACATGCAGCTTGGCGTTGAAAGTGGAGGGCGGTATATATCTGTCCTAAAGGTATTTGGTACAAATGCTCATTTTGTGAAGCGACCTTATGATGCTGAGGTCTCACTCACAGTCCATGGTCTTCTCTTGGTGGATACTCTGCAGACGTATGGCTCTGATTTTGACCTCCTTGTGGCATCTCATAAGCACCTCAGCTTTGATGTGCCCACTGGCAGTCTAAGAGAGAGCCAGCCTACATCACCAGTCTCACAAGATGGGAAGTCTCCAGAGCCTTCAGAACTGGGTCTGCCTTTTGACAAAATATCTCCTCTCAGCTCATTTCTTAGAGATCAGGAGGCTCTCATTAAACTGGAATATCAATTTGTCAGCTCAGATTGTCCATCCATGAACTTGGATAGCTCGCTTCAGGTCACTTCTATGCAGGTCAACAATTTGGATATTATTCTCAACCCTGAAACCATTGTAGAGCTGCTCAAATTTCTCCAGCAGTCCTTTCCTAAGGAAGAAAGCACATGGACTCCCTCAACACCACAACCACCTCTGCTGCCCAATGGACAGGACCAAGAGGAGACCTTTCAGTCTACTTATGATCAGAATAAAGAACTGACTGTAGAGATCCACAGATTAAATTTGCTGCTCTTGCGAACAGTTTCAACTGGAACTGTCTTGGGTGGGGAAAAGAGGGGCATGAAAATTGCCACAGCCAGTATAAATGGGACAAAGGTCAACGTATCAATGGGTAGTCGTCTAGATGTCAATGGCTCCCTAGGATGCATTCAGCTTGTGGATTTGACTCAAGAAGGCGGAAGGGGTCAATTTGTGGTCAGTATAGGAAATTTAGAGGATAACCCCTCAGCCGAAGTTTCTGGATTAACAATTCCTACTTCTGGATTAACTTCTTCCGAGGCTTTAAATTTCCACCTTTTGGAAAAGTCTCAAGGAGAGTGTTCTTTAGAGCTTCATATGGCATCATTGCACTACAACCACTCGGCCAAGTTCTTGAAAGAGCTCAGTCTTTCTGCCAATGAGGTAGAAGACAACTTTCGGTCCATGCTGAAATCTGCTGCTACAAAAGTATCCTCTGTGCTGGCTACCAAAACAGCAGAATACAGTGGAATGGTTTCTCTCTTTGAGACTCCATCTAGGCGATCCAGATCACAGAGTCAAAGCAACTGGACACTGGACCCCTTTGAAGATGAACTGGATCTTACAGATCCTAAGGAAGAGCCAGGATTGGATTCCTTTCTGGTCAAACTTACTCTTAATGTCAGTATAGAGTCGCCTGTTGTATCTATTCCTCGGAAACCTGGTCACCCAGAGCTTCTTGTTGGTCACCTAGGAAGCATTACCATTCAGAACTTTGTAGCAGGACAGGACAGGACAGAGAGAGAGAAATTACAGGTTGAAGTCAAAGATATAAGACTCTATTCTGTCAATACAAGTCACCTTGTCCTAAAGAGAGGCCATCGCCTTGACAGCAGCCCCAGCTCCAGCCAGTCACCCTCTCACAACAACATTAACTTTGAAGAGCCACAGTTTACTCGGCATGACTTCTTTGAGTATTTAAGCCGTGGAAAAGGTGAGTGTTTCTTTGTGAGAGTGGTAGCACTGGCAGCATTCTCAAGTCAGATTTTTTTTATACCTTTTTTTTTTTTACCTTAGATAGGAAATCCATGTTCACCAAGATACCTTATTGTATTATGCTGTAATGTGACAATGCTGATTGTCAAAAATATTGACATATGTGTCTCAAATGTGGCAAACTATAAAGGAAGTAAAAAGCTACAAAGCTTACTGTAGAGGCTTTAGAATAATAGCTTCAGGTTACAGACTTTCAAGTTGTTTTCAATGGGCCTGTCAGTCATTATCCAAGATGGTAGATGAAACATTACACATTTTCAGTTATGGGCAGAAATGACAATGTTATGTTCTCACATTTAATTAAGACTTGCTAAACAGCACCTCGTCATATTTACATTCTCTTTTAATGTTCTCTCTTCTTCAGCCTTTCACATTCTAAAAGACACCACCATCCAGTGTACTCTTGAGAAAGTTCCCATAGATGAAGAGACACAGTTCACCTTCCTGTCATGTGATGAACCATACCACGGTACAGGATTACTGAGAGTTGAGGGCAAATTTGTAAATGCTGTTCAGGTAAAGGAGTCTTGCAAAGTTTGAGAAGTCATGCGAGTTAATTCAGCTATTCTAGTATTACATTTTTATGCTTACCTTTATCTTTTTTCTCCAGGTTTTTCTCTGTAAACCTGTGTATGAACAGGTTCTTCAGACTCTGGATAACCTATCAGTCATTGAGGACCAGAGAGCAACTCCCAGTCAGCCACCAACCCCCCCACCCCCAACACCCTCCTCCACCAAACCACATCGCTTCCCTGATCCACAGGGTGGGTTGTTTGCCCGTGACCCACCTCTTATCGGTTTGTCTTACTCTTCTATATCATCCTCCCTCTCAGCCCCACTCCCCCTCCAGGACACCAGCCCTCCTCTGCAGCCTCCCTCTTTCACCCAGGTCAGAGCCATTTTCAAAGTATCTGAGCTCCAGGTGCAGCTGAGTGCAGACCTTAGCCAAGGATCTCAGGGTCTGGTCAGTCTGCGCTTCCAGGACCTGGAAGGAGACTTCACTAAGGACCATCCTCACTCCCTGTCAGTCCAGCTGGCCCTTCGCTCCTTGCTAATGGAAGACCTTCTGGAGCAAAATCCTGAGTCCAAGCACAAGCACCTTATGGTTTCCAGGGGTGCCCCCAAAGCATCTACCTTCAGCCCTAAAGAATATCTCTCCCAGTCATGCCCATCAGCGTCCAATGCCTTGTACCCAGAGATGCCACGCTCACTGCCCGCTCAAATAGAGGAGGCCCAGAATGTCTTCCAGTTTTATCAGAGACACCCCAGTACTCCTTCAGCATCGAGCCGGAAAACTAAGAAAGACCCAGAATGCCCCAGCACCCCTCCCCCATCACCTTCTCGGAATACACCATCCCCTCATCCTCTGCCAGACTTCGATGACTCTTTGGTTCACATAAATGTGCTTTTAGTGGACAGACGACACCCTGAGTTTAAGACCCGCTATGGCAGTATTGGTCGTAGTGTAGATGTAGACTTCAACTGCCTGGATGTTCTCATCACATTGCAAACCTGGGTTGTCATTTTGGACTTCTTTGGCATTGGTTCTACTGCCAATAACCATGCTTTGAAAGTGCCTAGTTGTTCTCCTCAGCAAGTACCTGGACACCCACTGTACAACACAGCATCTGCTGATTTAGCAGACTTGTGCCCTGAAATAAATGAGGAGGAACTGGAGGAGAAGGTCAACACCAAAGTCGACCTGAAGGTAGAAAAATATGCATTGATTTCGTAGGGATAGATTTGTACCAATATAGATATTTTTTATACATATAATTTTACATATAATTAATTTTTTTCTTCTTTGTTCTCCTTAAACAGGTCCATTCTCTGTCTCTAGTGTTGAACAAGAAGACTAATGAGCTTGCTAAAGCTAGTGTCTCAAAATTGTTTACGCACTTAGAAATGATTGGTGAGTTAGTTAAAGCATCTTTTTTCAGTGCAGGAGCTGTAACTTGGTAGTTTTTTACACAGATGTATATAAACCCTTGTTAATGTACATTTATTTTAGATGGAGATCTTGCCTTGCAAGGAAGCCTGGGCAGTCTGTCACTGAGTGACCTGACCGCTCATGGTGACCTGTACAGGGAGCGCTTTACAACACGTGGTGGAGAGGCACTTGTCTTCAATATATACAAGTAATTAGCTTTTACTGACTCCATCAAAATGTATTCTGCACTTCGCAGCAGTGTTTCAGGTTAGAAATTGCAAATTCCTTTATTTTTTGCAGGTATGGACAACCTGACCCTTTCCTAGAACGGGAGTGTGACATGAAGGTGTCTCTGCAAATGGCGTCAGTGCAGTATGTGCACACACAGCGTTTCCAGACTGAAGTGGTGGCTTTCATTCAGCATTTCACCCAGTTGCAGGATGTTTTAGGCAGGCAGAGAGCAGCAGTGGAAGGCCAGGCTGTAAGTAGACCATTTTTGTTCCTTGTTTGTTTAATGTTAAACTTTGGACATGATATGTTTGAATTACATCTTTCCAGTGTGTATCTTTGTAACATGACCGGTTGTAATCAGCAGCCAATTTGTAATGGTGATTTCACATGTCTCTACTCCAGTAAGATATAGTTAATGTGTTGGTCACCTCAGACTCACCTTATGCAATGTTATGTGCTAGTTATTTTCTTGCTGCCAGTTGTGTAGTCCTTTAAAGTCAATGTGAATAGGAAATTAGAGTTCTTCTAGCAATCGCAAATGATGACATTTGACATTTTGATGACATCTGAACTTCGTATTGACCTTAATTATCATCATAATAGCACTAGCACCATTGCTGGCAGCTTAGCAGTTCATCCAATTCTTGAAATGCTGCTGGTGTTGTTTTCTTGCAGGGTAGTGCAATGGAACAACATTGTTACACATGTTGGGAGAAATTGATCTTTTGTGAATACATAAAAGCTCACAGCTGATGAAAGTTGTACTCAGTTATTCATAGTTCGTTATTCCTGAGCTATCCTTGCTAAGTGGCATGTGCAATATCAAACTGCATTTCCCACCAGCCTAAGTAGTGGTTCACACTTTCTTTTTCTGAAGTTTTGTTTGCTCTCCCTTTCTTGGGGGTTCAGCCTGCACTTTTCCAAGGCTGTGTTGGGCTTTGATTTTCCCTGTTGCTAAGCAACAGCTAGCGACTGCTCATTGGCTAGGTAAAATTAGCTTGCTTGCTAATTATAGACTTAGAAACTTTAGATGAAACTAAAGAAGCTGGTCTTTGTGAATCCGTGAAAAACTGCTAAACTTTGTTTAGACTGGTCAGCACAGAAAATGACGTAGGGTACTTGACTGCTTCAAGCTGAACTTTTTTCAACTCTGACTGCCTGAAACACAAAACACAGCCGCACAGGGTGCATAAAAGCTGAGGCACCCAGCAAAACAACACAAAAAACGCCTCCTCCACTGAAAACAACAGAAACAGGCATCTTGGTCACAAAAAAAAAAACACGTCTGGTGTGAACCCCCTCAAGCCATCTGCAGAGAATTGTTGTGCAAGCTGTTCTGGAGTGTCATAGTAGTTTTCGTCCATCAGGTAATTCAAACAGTACACCCTTGAAAACGAGGGTTCTTCAAGGGTTCATTTGTGAAGGGAAAGGTTCTGTTTAGACCCGTTAGTTCTATATAGAACCATTTCATGCTTGAATGTTTTCTTTCAGTGGGGGGAGGCTTTAGTCTTACAGTGGTACAATAAATACTTTACACTCCTTAAAACACATATTTATCAATTCAGATCTCTGGGTAAGTAATAAATAATATATTTTTCTGCTTTATGGCAGAGACACTGGGTGGGGAGGTGCGGGGCAGCACCAGAAAGGGTTCTGCTATTGTTACGATGCCAAACTTGAAACAATAGAAGATCCTTTTAATGCTATATTCAAAAAGCACCATATTCAACGTGTTCTCCCTCAATCTGAAGAACCATTTTACCATGCAAAGAACTTCTCGTCTATCGTCAGTGGCTGACAGACAGCATGATATTGAGCCAGCATTGTGATGCACTGCCCTGCCCAGTGTCTCTGCCATAACATAGAAAACTACATTTCTAACATGTTCCTCACCTGGAAACCTGAACTTTGAGAATATGTATTTTGAGGATTGTTGAGTATTTATTGCACCTTTTGTAATGTGCGTTACTATTGGCATGAATTTCCTCGCTCTGAGAGTATATCTAGTATTAAATGCAGTGTACAAATAATTTACAGACAATACACAATATACACTCTATACACAGTATACAAGCTATATGCAGATTGTATATAGACAAGTAATAAACAGACAATGTACATATCATTTACATACAGTACACAATATATAAGCAACTTACAGATTATGGAGGGGCAAGCAGTAGATTATATAGCTGCACTTAACAGCTCTACAATTACAAACTATAGCCCATCTGTTTCTCTGAATACTTTTTAGCCCCCCTTTTTGCTGTTCCTCAATGATTCTAATTATCAGTGGTCAGGACTCACGCAGGACCACCACAGAGCTGATGTTATTTGGGTGGTAGATCATTTCAGCACTGCAGTGTAGTGCTGCTGGAGTAAACACCTCAGTGTCACTGCTGGACTGAATAGTCCACCGACCAAAAATATCCAGCCAATTGTGCCCTGTGACCACTGATGAAGGCCTAGCGGATGACTGACATCTTTCAACTCCGACTAAACTCTGCAGCAACAGATGATTTATTGTCTTTGATTTTACATTTACACGATAAACCAACAAGGTAGGCATGACTGAGCCGACAGAAAGTGAACATGTTTAAAAACTCCAGCAGCACTGCTGTGTCTGATGCACTCATACCAGTGTAACGCACATTGACACGCCACCACACAAATAAAGTAAATAAATAAGTAAAAGAGGACTAACAAATTATATAATAAAAAACAAATGAACTGTGGTCTGTAATTGTAGAACTACATAGTGCACCTATGTGGTAAGTGGAGCTGATAACATGTACAATGAGTGTAGATACAACTTAGGTGTACTTAATGAAGTGGCTGGTGAGCTTATACTTTTTTTTTTTACTCTTTTTGAAGTATTTTATGTAGTTTTTGCCTTCATTTTAAAAAAATGTTGATTTGTGCTACAACACTTGCAACCTTTATAGCACCAGCGCTATATACTCAAAAAAAATTCATACTGCCCCATCTTATTATATACTTTTATATAATCAACGCTTCCATTGTAATGATGGGCTGTATGGCTCAGGTAACTAGGTGTTTGAAAGCTGCCAGTTGGAGAGGCACCCTTCACCTTCCCTCCTGAGAGGAGGTTACCCAGGAAGTTGTCAGCTCCCATTTCTGTCATTCCAGAGACACTGAGCTCTGTCTGCCCACGCTCTAATCTCCTTTCACATGCCTCAGGCCAGGGATCAGGAGCTTCTCATTAGGATACGGCTCATATTTAACTTTAGTGCTTAATTGGATAACGTTATTAGAATCAGAAGTAATCCATCTGTTACTGATACTCCAGTTAAACCTTGATTTATGTTTGTCACTGTTTGAAGCAGCATTTCTATGATTAGAAGAGAAATTCTTCATATATTATTTATTGTTTTCCATTTAGTTTCTATATGTGATGTGTGTAATATTCAGTATGTCTCTCACCAACTGTCAGTCATTTTCCTAATTAGTGTAAGCTTTTTGAAAAGGCAGAATTTGGATATACTCATGTCCATCCTTTCCACTGTGAACAGACAGCTCGACACTGTGGGTCTAAAAGGATGTGTAGCTGTCAAGGAGTTGTTACTGAGAAAAGGAAACAGAATGAAATGAAGAAAAATTGTAAATCAAACAAAGAAGCTCCTGATGTTCTCAAAACAATGGACTGACCATTTTTGCTAATTTTATATCTTCTGTGTCCTGTAGGTACATGAGCGTCCACAGCGAGCTTCACGAATGCTTTTGGACATTGAGGCAGGGGCTCCTGTTCTCCTGATTCCAGAGAGCTCCCGTTCAAAGCGCCTCATAGTGGCCAACCTCGGCCAGCTCAAAGTGAGCAACAGATTCCTGCCGGCAGGCAGCCGTGGCACCTTCTCTCTCAGAGACAAGGTAGAGAAACTTACCATGGCACATACCTTTTTCCCTTCTCTGGTGAGTCCTGTTACCCCACATGAACATTTTCATATGCACGCCCTCAGACGCTCTACACCCATAAGATGCATCTCAGGAGCATTTTCCCTCTGCTTGGTTGAGTAGGAGAGTGTTCCTTATGGGGAGGTATTTCAAGGTACCTACTTTTTAAGGGAAGTTGTTTTTATAGCCCCACACTCCTACAAAACAAAGCTTTGATGAAAGCTCTCTATAGATGCAGTTCCAACTCTTTTCACTGTGCATGGTTATTAGAGGATCTCTTTAATGGACAATTTAAGAGCCAGGCATGTGTCTTTGTAACATGAATTCATTTTTTAAATAACATTTACTATATTTTAACTTTTTTTTTTCTGAAGAATTTGATTTTGCATGCTAATTCGTACAAGGATCCCTCCCACTATAAGGTATCATTCATTAGAGGTTTTTGGTTTTGAGGTGTTTCTCTTTCACTGCAAATTCGTATCGTAATTGTCACTCCTTTAGTGACATGCAGCTGCATAGAGGTGGGCAATATGATGAAGTTTATTGTTGTGATATCTTGCATCACAGTATGCTTTTCTGAGCATATTGTGGATATCGACATTACTTACAGATCACTGAGCAACTGTCTGTTTTATTACAAAGAGATCATAATTCGCCCTGTTTAACTGGATTAGTACAGTACAGTGAGAATGTGAAATGTTGAAACAAAATAATTTTTGATAGCATTTTTAATCGCAGTACTGCTGGTTTTTTATCTGTTCCAGCTTATCAAACCTAAAAAAGCTAAATATTATATTGCTTACTGTGTTTCATGAAAATGTAATAATGTTATAGTTTTTGCCATATCACCCACCCCTACAACAAATATATTTTCTAATAACTTGCCACTCTGAGCATACTGTGTGAAATCTGAAAGCATTTTTCTGCTACACATACAGCATGAAATCATTCATGCTCTGTAATAGTGCACAATCCTATCACAGTGCTGTTTACTCAGCTGTTATTTTCTCCAACCGTTTACAAACATTCTCTTTATATCTAATATTTATATTTCTCATTTTTTGCTTTTTCTCATCTGTATTTTAGCATTCTATTCAATACCTGAACCCTGGTAGATTGTATTTTTGTGACTTGAGTGATAATTTGTGCTGATGCTCTTTTCTTTCCTAAAGGATCAGGTGAAAAATGTTCAGCCTGAAAAATGCTCTTCAAAAGTAAGTGAGGAAGTGTCAGCAGACAAACTCAAAGCCTCTAGCACCACAACCTCTGGCTTCACCCTCAGCAGGCCACAGCCTGCCATGGGACACATCCCTGAAGCAAATATGCCACCAAGCCCAGGTTAATAACTATAGGATTGCTGTGTGGCATAAATCCAACATAAACAACAAAGTTATTTTTTATTTTTGAGAATTGTGTTCTGTGTGCTAGATAACCTGTGGCTTTGTGTTGTAGAGGATCATGTGTGTCTGTTAGACTGCATTGCCCTGGATCTGGAAGAGATGGACTTATTTGCTGCAGAACGGCTGCCCTGTGAACCATGGGACAGTGGAGGGAAGCACCTGGACACTGACTTGGTGTTTACCTCCTACTCAGTGCGCAGAACGGGAGGCAGTCTGCTGAAGGATCGCTGCCGCCTCAAACTTAAAGTGGAACGTAATCTAGACAAGTAAGTACAAACAGTGCTACACGCTAACCAGCTTGTTTTTTTTCTTCCTCTGTGTTTTTGTGAGTTTTTGAGCACAAAATAGCAGAGCAAGACTCTTAAATCAGAATTTATATCTGACCATGCATGTGCTCAGTTGGTGTGCTTTGGTGTTCATTAATGTGTTTTTGTCTATATTCAGAGACAGCGTTTCTAGGTGGATGTAACTAAACTATTAAGCACAACCTTGATGTTTTGTATGACTCGCGCATTATCTACCTCTTTGTTTTAGGGAGTTGAGTCATGCAGTCCCAGACATGTCCATCCATGGCAGCCTGTCATCTGTACACTGTTCCCTGGACCTGGAGCGGTACCAGCTAATTCGTGGACTGCTGGAGCACAACCTTGGAGAGCCTGTGGAGGAGTTCCTTAGACCGTACAACCTACAGGATCCCAGCAGCTATGTAATCTACCCCCTGAATTTACATTACATCTATATAAATTATCTAAGGTTTGGTATCATTTGGGTTATCAGGGTCTCTAACTGTATATAAGATTAGTAAAACAGTGTTTATGTGTATGTTTTGGTCATCGTAGCATATAGTAAAGTTGCCAACAGTGAAAGAAAGCTGGGTCCTGTTATTGTGTGGATGAAATCATGCCAGCTGGTCTCCAACTTTTTCAATTCACTTGCAACCATAGCACTGTTTTTAGATGAAATACAGTATTGTTTTGAAACTGCATCCACAGATGGTTTATTTGTAGCTCCATCTGCTTTGCAGAATATGGGAAAAGTGATGTGTAAACCTTGGTGAACTGCTGATGCTGAATTAGTCACTCTCAGGAGACTCATTTGAATGCTTTGTTAATGTGTTCGTCTCTGCATTTGTCATTGACAGACGGTGCTGAGTGGTGACGTTTATACAGGCCTCTCTCTCTTAGTTGACATGATGAATGTCAGTCTGGAGTTACTTGATGGACCTGCATCATCTGGGCCTAAGCGGTCTTTGGCCAGGTGTTTTGTTCACCTCCTGTTTATTGATATGTTTATTTTATATTATATTAATTACTTTTATAGCTTACTACAAAGAAGAAGTGACCTGTATTTTTTCCCCTTTATAGCTTTGACTTTAAGAAATCCAAGCTGCTATTTGAGAGTTTTTCAAACGGCTCCAAGTCTGTGAATTTGGTGTCTCACTCGCTCCTGGCCTACGACACACGCTACAGGGAATCCAGCAGTGCCTCAGAGGGCAAGCACAATGTATTTGACTGCATTCTACAGCCCTCTAAAACTGGCAACAACCGGGCATCCCTGCAGTTGGAGCTACATTACAGGTGCCTTTCCTCACATGATGATAAAGATTTTGTGCATACTGTAATTGTGATAATCATATCAGAGTCTTAGATTATCTTTCAGATTATCTTGGATCTTTTTCTCCAGTATTCTATATCTTTTCAGATTTGTCCAGTGTGTTCATCTTGATTCACACATGAGCTAAACTAGGTCCTGTGTGACAACTTTTAATCTGTCTGTGTCCTAGATCTACTAGGGACTCCTCGTGTTTCACTGTGGTTCTGAATAACCTGCGAGTGTTCCTGATCTTTGACTGGCTCCAGCTGGTCAGGGACTTCCTGCACATGCCAGTGGAAAAAGGGGCAGTGCCCACCCGCCAGCGCTGGCCAAGCGGCAGCAGTGACCCGGGTACCACTGGCGCGGTCATGCCCAAAACCGTCAAAAGTGGAGTTGTTACAAAACGCTCTACTGTTCCTGTCACCCAGGACAAATATTTGGAGGTCAAGCTTAATGTGACAGGTAAAGATTCCTTTGGTAATGCTTTTGTGGTCATGCAGTGTTATTTTTCATGGGAATTGAGTGGGCTACTTGTTTGCTGTTCTGTCCAGGGACAGAGTTTGTAGTTGTGGAAGACTCTTCAAGTTTGGACACCAATGCCATCATTTTGAAAGGCACCACTGTTCTCACCTACAAGCCTCGCCTTCTGGACCGACCCTTCTCCGGCAGCTTGGCTGGCATTGAGGTGAACCCTTTAGCCTAGGACTGTAATGTTTACTACAGTAGCAGTGAAAGACATTGTATTTTGTATTGTGAACGTTTTCTTTAATAGCTGCTTCGTCTTCATTCCCATCTGTTCAGGTGTTCTCGTGCCGACTGGGCAGTGAGCAGGAGACAGCCCTGTCTATCATTGATCCTGTCAATGTGCAAGTGGAGCTCTGCGGCAGCCCTACCTACCAAAGCAGCTCAGGGCTGCTGGATGCCTTTAACATTGAAGACTTTCCTCCCTTGCTGGAGGTTAGAGTATACTCAAGTACCTCACAAGTTATTTCTACGTTCCTACAATGTGTAGAGGTGTTCTGTCCCAATTTTTGCCCTCTTACTACTTAAATTCTTGGTCTCTGTTTGTTGTCTCCACAGATCCAGTTTCCTGCTCTGGCTATCCGACTTTCCTACAATGATGTGCAGCTATTCCTAGCAATTGCTAAGTCTATACCCACTGGCTCCCCTAGTGTTGCTGACCCTGATTCTGCTTCCCAGACAGCTCCATCCACTGCCAGCCCAGACACTACCTCCAAACCTAAAGACAGCTTCAGGCATCGAACAGAGGCCCTGCTAGGTAGGACCCACAGAAGACAACCGTAGTGTGGCTGGGAGTGTGAAACATCAGACAGTAATTCTATCTGAATGTACTTTCAGAAAATCAGCTGACACGCTTACAGGACCTGGGATTCAGGAAGGAAGACTGCAGGAGGGCTCTCATTCACTGCAAAGGTGAAATGTCATGTTGTAAAGAGTCCAAGTCATGCTTTTTAAATTGCCTGACTGACTGAGGAAATGTGATAGATGTGCTGGGGAGTACAGTGAAATGTTTGTGCGTGGTCCTGCAGGCCAATTGGATCAGGCTGCAACATGGCTGCTGGAGAACGCAGAGAGCATGTCTGGAAGGAGCAGGGCCAACTCTGATTCAAGCTCTCACTCTGCTCCCCCACTCTCTGGGGTGGAGATTAAGGCTGAGAGTGTGTGCATCTGCTTTATTGATGACTGCTTGGACTGTGACATCCCCCTGGCTGAGCTCACCTTCTCACGTGAGATTACTCTTACTGTGCTGTTGGAGAAATATAGTCTGATATTTTGTATGCTTGTCATATCAAGCCATTAAGAAGCTTAAAGACCCAAACTGAAGACAGGATGTTCTGAACGCTAAGCAAATGGTCGCCAGGAGTCGGATTCGACTTGATGACACTAAATAATAGTAAAAAAAAATAATAATATTATGCAGTGGCGGTGCAACGCATATGCAGCCACATCTGTTTTAACATTTATTGTTATTTTATGCTTTGTCAGCTTGAGCAATGATCATAAAAGCATTTAGAGAGAACGTTTAGGGCACTTTTTGAAAGGTGTTTTTACCCCTATGCATCATCAAAGGCTTGTCAGTACTGCAGAGGATTGGATCTACCCAAGAAGGGAATGCGAGCTTCACTCTGTCTGGAGATTACTACAACAGAGAGCTCTCAGGTGAGCTGGAGTCAATTCAAAGGCTTTATGCTAAGCTATGGAGTTGATGAAAGCTTTCATGAGTCATCTCCAAAGCACTTTTTTTCTTGTTTGGAACAGTTTAGGGGCAGAATATGTAGTTTAGAGACAAAACTGAACATCTAGAGAGTAAACATTCAAGACATTGAGGTGGTGTTGACTGGTTTCTGCCTCTGTGTATGTTTGCAGGCTGGGAGCCGTTTATCGAGCCCTGGCCATGTGTCCTGAACTGGCAGCAGCAGGCGGCAGGCCGGCTCCATCCTCCTCGCCTGAAGATGGGAGTGCGAGCCAAGCAAAGGCTGGATGTGAACATCACCTCTGTCTTACTGGGTAGGCAGTCTGGGTCAAACCCCCTCACTCACCTGCCCTCTTTTCTTTAACTGTTTGCCTCCATATTTATGAGTGGTGTGATGTTTTTCTCACCCTGCTGTCGGCCTGTCGTTCTGACACACAGAGCAGTACAGCACCACCAAGACTTCGTGGTTAGCAGATTACTGTAAGGAAGACGAGCAGTCGCCACAGTCCTCCGCCTCCCTGTCTTGGATGGGCTCCTCTGTAGACCCCCCCTCCTTTGGTCAGAGTGAGTAGCAGGCATGCGGTCAATCTTGACTTCCCGCCACGACTGGAAAAAGATTCTGTGTACTTTATCACATGGGGGAAAAACATTGCTCTCCACATTCTACCTCATGGAAATATTATGGAGAGAATAAAATGTTTAGGGACACTGAGATTATATGCCTTTTTAAGTGCTTTAGTTAAAAACTAATTTCTTTTATCAAGTTGGGTGCACGTCAGTAACATGCAGAACATATGCCTTTCAGTCACTTAACAGCATCACATGGCATGACGTTATTCAAGAAATCTTGTCTAATACAGTAGTTAAAGTTCTGGAATATATCCTGCGAATCACAACCTTTGCTTTTCTAAGTCCACTCCTATCCTACATCTTCCGTGCATGTCTTTCTATCTCTCTTTCTCCTCTGTCCTAACCTTCTTTCTCTGCTGTCAGGTGTGCCTCTTGCCCACCTTAGAACTAGGAGCACTGCCAGCTTGACTTGCCTTGAGCAGCAGATTCATGCCCGAGGTACTGTTCATAGACTGAGCAGTGGAATTTTAAACAAGCCAGTGTCTGATGTTGTAGATTTTAGCATAGCTTCGCTTCTACTTTCAGCCCCCAGTTATTCCTTTTGATCTTTCTCTTTGTTTTAACCTTCTGGAGTTATTATCCCAATTGCATGTTTGTTTTCGGCCACCATCGTTTACCTGCACAGTTACTCCATGGCTTCCATCTGGAGTATTGAAGATCATAAAGTCATACAGATATGGCTTTGAAATTGTAGTTTGTGAAACTGTGTTGCTTTGTCTGTGTGTATTGAAATGGCATGAAAACATGCAAACTGCAGATGCATATGTTACATTCAAGTTATGAATGAACATGATCCAGTCTTGATTTGTAAAAGAGACCCAAACCATCCATGTGTGCATTCACTTTCAGTGTTTGTGGAAAGTTTCTGTTTTGCGTGCAGTTTAAAAACCTCAAATGTTAATACTGGTTCTCCTCTCTTATTGACTAAAAGTAAGGTTTACCAATGGTGCTTTTCCTTGTGCGATTTCAGCGGACGTGAAGCTGTCTAAAAGGAGGCAGCCTTTTGTTCCCTATGCCTTACGTAACCATACTGGATGTACTATGTGGTTTGCCACCCTCACCACCACACCAACCAGGTCAGAAAGTCTAGTGTCAAATGGTAGAAATTTTAGTTAAAATGAAAACTTACTAAGATGTTTGCATCTGTGGAAATTCACCTGGATCCTCTTATGTCCACAGGGTGGCACTGTCTCACAGTGGTAGTGCTGACTCTATATCAGACGTGCGTGGGCCCGGGACGGATGACACACATAACATCAGTCAGTGGAGAGAGGTGCTGCCAGGGGAAGAGATTCCGTTTGAGTTTGAGGCCCGTGAGAAACTTAGACACAGGTGTGTGAACTCTTCTGTATTGAAATTCGGTTGGAAAAAATACAGACCACAAAAAAAAGCGGTATGAGCGTAACCTATTTAAAGGAATGGTTTGACAATAAAAAGCATTTTTATGCAGTTTTCCACATGCCTCACATGCAGTCAATTAGTTAAACATCAGTAAAGTCAGAATTATGCTTCTTTAGTTTAGAACTGGAGTGGGGAGGCTAACAGTGCAAACAAACAGTAGAACTCAGTAGTTACCCAAATAGCCCAAATAATTTCTATAAAAATACATCACCCAAACTTATTTCAGCCAGCTCAAACTATATACAGATCTTCATTTAGGTCACGCAGACTTGTCAATGTGGTTCAGGACTACACTGTGACTTACTGTGGCCTGTAAAAATATGTAAAACTGCGGGCAGCAACTTTAGACAACAATGAAGAGTAGTGCTAATCTGCAATTAGTATTTGTGACTTTAACCTCATAAATACAGAGGAATCTGATCCAAGATCAATCCTCCTTCATGAAAACAAGCTCTGGTGTTGTATGAAACTCAAAAGTTATTTGCTCAAAACAGTGAGGTTTTGTTAATTTTTATAGCTTACAGTAAGTCATGCTTTTTAAACCACATATATGTGACGTTAATGAAGACCTGGATGTGGTTTGAGTGGGTTAAGAGGAGTTTTAAAGATGTGTTTTTGTGGAAACAATTTTTGGGTGACTATTGACTACTAGTGTTTGTTAGAAGCATTAGCCCCACAGTTCCAGTTCTAAACTAAAAAAAGCAGAATTTGGACTCCAATCACGTATTAGATAATCAACTACATTTATGTAATTTTTTCCATTTATAGCAAGTCCAGTAAAGTACTATACACACTTTCAAATATTTACTTATGCAAGACTACAAATGTATTAAATGATTGTATAGATTTAGGGAAATCAATGTAGACGCTGTTTGTCACTTTTAGTATATCAAGGAGTGTAAAATTACAGGAAAAGTTGGAGCACAAATGGCTTAATATACTCTATATTTGGGGAAAACTAGCTAAGGTTCTGGAGTGTAATAGTGCAGAATTGAGTTCTTTGAATGGAGCCTGATGTCTCTGTTTGTCCTTGAATCCTTGAGTTTAAGTCCGTTTTTATGTTCTGTTAAACATGGGGAAGTTGCTTTTGTAATAGCCCATCTGTTCTCGATTGGTCTTGATTATTGTCCTGTCCTCAGACACACCCATGAGCTGAAGCTGCACCAGCTGCTGGTGCGTGTTGCAGGCTGGGAGCAGGTAAAGCCTGTATCAGTGGATAAAGTCGGAGTGTTCTTCCGTTACGCTGCCCCTGATCGCAATAACCCCTCTAACACGGTGAGTTTTTGGCCCTATTAAAATACAAGCAATCATATCACAGTATTAATCTCTTGGATCAGACTAATCTGATTAATGTTGGAATGATTCATTGAAGTACTCTGTACTTGATGATTCTCCTCTTATTACTGAGGTCCTTGAACTCTATCAAGGGTTTCATTTTTAATCTTTTCTTTGATGTTTTTATTGTGATCTAATCCAATTCGCTGATAATAGTTAATTGAGCTGGAATTCTAACATTTTAAGCATCTTCTTTGATTTTAGGTTGGCAGCCCAATCAGCAGAACCAACATCATACATCCCCATGTATATGTGCGTATATGCATTGATTTTCTCTGTTAATTGATCATTAAGTTTGTTAGAAGTTGAGGTCTTGATTTTCAGAATTTAAACTTGTTTGCAGTTCTCAGCCTTGCCCCCTGTCAGAGTGGTCTTCTCCATCACTATGGAGGGAAGTGCACGCAAGGTCATCACAGTGCAGTCCGCTCTCATGGTGAAAAATCGTTTAGAGGTCCCCATGGAGGTACGACTGGACAGCCCTTCAGCTCCAGACAGTGAGTGTCTTAGTACAGTTTTCCTGCTTCTGGCTTGTGTAACTTTGATCACTCATACGCTTACAGCAAGTAGCCCTTTTTAATGACTTATTGACTTGTTGTCTCCAACAGAACCAGTTGTGCTTCCACCTATTCTGCCTGGAGAAGCCCTGGCTATCCCTCTCCACTTGACCTCGTGGAGGCTTCAGGCTCGACCCAAAGGTCTGGGGCTGTTTTTCTGCAAGATGCCAATACACTGGACAAGCGTGGAGCGCCCTGGAGAGATCAGCAGCAGCAAGAGGGAGTGCCAGTCAGCTGACTTTGATGACCAGCTCAAACGCAGCTTCAGGTAGACGCAGGGAGAGGTTTGGAGAGGTTTCATCAATATGCTTTTTACATGCAAAGCACCTCATGGACCTGTTTTGTAACTCACTGACTCATTCATTCATTCGTTAATTCAATTTTAACAGGATTGGGAGAATTCACAGTGGGCTGCTGGGCGAGTGAGAGAGAGAAATGTAGTGTCGTGTCTAATGTGGGCCTATATAAAAAAAAAAAAATGAACGGAGACCACCCAGGACAAACGGCATGTGATGGGTGAATACCAGAGTGCACATATCTAAACACGTTAGTGACTAAACGCGCCGTCCCAGAACGAAGTATAATGATAACAACCAGGAAAGTTTGAAGGCTAGACAAAGAAAGAGAGATGGAAAAAAGTGTGTGGGGGTGGTGTTTGATAAAAAGTAGAAAGTTACTTAAATAAGATGCAAAGAAATGAAGAAATAACAGCACACAAGTTATTTGGATTCCAAAGCGAGGTTTCGTGGGGCCAAAGTGCGGAAGGGGTAAGCTAGTCAGTTCATTCAGCCTCCTTGTGCTCTAAGGCTAAATATGGCCAGCTTAATGTTTATGTACAACTACCCACTGGCTAATTAACTACGTAGCTAACTAGCAGTCACTCCAATATTCAGCCAAGCTGCAGCGTCTTTGATGTGTTCACGCTCATGTATTTTAAAGAGATAAACCGTGTTTACCTTTGTTTGGAAATATGCGTCCTCTCACTGTAACTTTGATAGCAGATAGCAGGCTTAGTCCTGGGTGGGAATTGGGAAGGTCACTGTGACTGTAAGGGGCTGAAAAAAAGTCCTGGGCTGAATTTAGTTACCAGTCCAGCGCTGCTTTATAGGTGAAATTCAGGTGATTTACAGAATTTTGCTTAAACTCACTGTTAAAAAATCTGATTTCTTCCGGAGCTTCTCCGCATCCTCATACTTCATATTTGGTAGCTTAGTTGCCGATGGTGAAGGATTTGCCTGTTTGTGTGACATTTGACGCTTTGAAAGGGACAAGCTACTTCTAAATGCGTTCATATAACTTCACTGCAGTATAGGTGTTTCCCAAGGTATCTTAGGAAATGATGGAAGGGGAGGAGGTGACAACAAAATACATCGGCATATTATAATATGTGATCTGCTTTGTATTGCATGTAAGAACAGCTATTCATTAAGTACACCTCCTTGTATCCACACTCTTTGTCCACTTTATCAACTCCACTTACATAGATAGATGCACTCTGTACTTCTACAGTTAGACTGTGGTTCTTCTGTTTCTCTGCATACTTTGTTAGCCCCCTGTTACTCTGTTGTTCAGTGGTCAGGACCACCACAGAATCACCATAGAGGAGGTATTATTCGGAGGGTGGATCATTCTCAGCACTGTCGTAGTAGTGGCACATTAGTGTGTGATGCAGCGATACATGTGGATCAGACATAGCAGCGTTGCTGGATAAGTTGAGATAAATATTCTTTTTAATGTTTCATTACAAGAATGAATTTAGCTTAGGAAGAGTTTCTTCTCACATTATTTCACCACAACCTGTGTAACTGACCTGGGTTATGGTAATGTCCACTGGCAAAAAAAACAGACAAACAAAACAAAAAATACTAATACAGTACTTGCTGGTGCTTCGCATCAGGTTTTGTCCTTGTTTCTGAGATATAAATGTTTTTTATCCCTTGGTTAGATTTTGTGTTGTTATCAAGAAAGAGAACTACCCTGACCAGCAGCCTGCCAAAACTGTCTCTGGTGGTGCCAAGCAAATCTACCGGCAACCAGGACACACCATCTACCTACTGCCCACCTTGGTGCTGGCTAACCTGCTGCCCTGTGACCTCAACTATTACATCAAAGGGACTTCAATCAAGGGAACCATGAAACCAGGCAAAGAGGCTGTGCTCCATGGTGCTGACACCTCACAGAATATAGAGTTAGGTAAGCTGGAGACTAGCTTTTAAAAAATAAATACATATTGAAACATTTATTTCAGAATAGCGTTGGAGTGTAGATAAACATGGCATATTGGGCTCAGATACATGATCTTTCTCAGGTATTCTTCTGGAGAACTTCCCAGTGTGTAAAGAGCTGTTGATTCCTCCTGGCACTCAAAACTACGTGGTGCGCATGCGTCTGTATGACATAAACAAACGACTCCTGTGTCTCACGATCCGCATCATTCTCCGAGCACAGGGGGCGCTCAAGATCCTCATCTCCGCTCCCTATTGGCTTCTAAACAAGACTGGTATACCGCTCACTCCTTAATCTAGCTACAAAGGTGTATTGACGCAAAGAGCGAAATGGTGTAATCCGCATGCAATTGTTTTTTTTCTTTTGCGTTATGCCCTGCAGGACTGCCTCTGATCTTCCGCCAGGACAATGGAAAAACAGATGCTGCTGGGCAGTTTGAGGAGCATGAATTAGCCAGGAGTCTGAGCCCACTCCTCTTCTGCTACACAGACAAAGAGCAGCCTACCATGTAAGTAAAAGAAATGCAGTCAGCACGCTTGTCTCTCTGTTGGTTAGTCTTTCTTTTATTTATCAGTTGATTCTGCTGTTACAGATTTGCTCACTTTCTAGTATTCACTTTTCTCTGTGTGGGTCAGGTGCACTATGCGTGTTGGTAAAGGGATCCACCCAGATGGTGTTCCCGGCTGGTGTCAGGGTTTCTCTTTGGATGGAGGGAGTGGAGTGCGAGCAGTCAAAGTAATCCAGCCTGGGAACAGACCAGGACTCATCTATAATATTGGTGAGTAGAAAATCAAATATTTCTTCTATTGTTTTCTTAATCTTACCGTTTGAGTGTTGTAAGTTTTAACAGACTTTATTTTAATTTCTTTAAGGAATCAATGTCAGAAAGGGCAAGGGACGTTACCAGGACACCCACATTGTGACTTTTGCACCTCGCTATCTGCTTGACAATCAGTCTTCGCACAAACTGGCCTTCTCACAAAGAGAGTTTGCTAAAGGAAAGGTAAGAACTGAATGAATATATGCATTTAAAACATCCTCTTGTCGGCAGTAGTTTCACATTTTTCTTAGCTCCTCAAATAAGACAAATCTTTTTTTTTTTTTTTCTTTTTGGGTGAATACATTTTGTAACTTAGGAATGTAGTAAATATTTTAATATTGTAAAACCATATGTTCACTGTAGGGCACAGCAAATCCGGATGGCTATATCTCCACCCTGCCAGGCTCCAGTGTGGTGTTCCACTGGCCGAGGAACGACTATGATCAACTGCTTTGTGTCCGACTCATGGACGTACCTAACTGCACCTGGTCTGGAGGATTTGAAGTCAACAAACCAAAGTCTTTCCATGTCAATATGAGGTGCTCTACAACAATAATGTATTGGCTGCAATGACCTAAATTTCAGTCCTTAATCTAAATAAGTATCTTAATTGCTGTAGGAAAGTAGTAGAAATTATGGGAGAAATGGTAGACTAAGCTTTTCTTTCTGTGGACTCTTCCTTAGGGACACTTTGGGAAACTGCTTCTTTCTCCGAGCTGAGATCACCCTGAAAGGGGCGACCTATCAAATCTCATTTAGCGACACTGACCAGTTACCCCCACCCTTCCGCATAGAGAACATCTCCGAGGTGAGACCAAGGCTTTACATGTACTCTCATACATTATGACTTTAATTGTTGTTTCTGTGTTTAATTTTGCTTCTTTTTCCTGTTGTGTCCAGCTTAATGTAATGAATGTGTGCCTTGTCTCTGGTAACATGAGATTTTGACTTTATCTCAGGTGCCTATTCAGTTCTGGCAGCATGGAGTTCCAGACATAAGATTGCATACGGAGGTGAAGGCTGGGGCAGTGTTGGACTATGCATGTGATGAGCCCACTCTTCCACCTTACCTCACTCTGACTGTGAAAGGGGCTGGCTCTTCTGAGGTCTCTGCTGACATGAACTTCTTTAGAGAGTACAACAAGCTCTACTATGAGAACTTCATCTACATCGCTGCCACTTTCACCTTCTCTCAGTGAGTTCTTTGTCAGAAACATCAAACTTTCAACGTTCATACGCTGTGTAATTGTGTCTTGTGAATTGTGGAATGAGAGGTGGCTGATATGTCAAAAATATAAGATCACGATACTTACATACCTTGCATACCTATTGCAGAGACATTTTATGAAACACGATATACATCTTCTGCATGCATTTTTTTTATTATTTGATAAGAACGAGTGAAAAAGAACCAGTTGTGCCACAATTAAAAAATACAAAAAGTAAAAAAAAAAAATATCAATACAGTAATTTTTGGTCAAGGTTTCACATACCGTGCTTGACTACATCCCATTAAACAGGACTAATTATGCTCTGTTTGTAATGAAACAGTTTAGCAGTGTTTTTTAGGTACTGAAGATATTCATAATCTGCTCAGAAAAGCATACTGTGACGCAATGTGATGTAATTTATCATGATAAAGATAAAGATTGTTATATTGCCCACCCATAAATCGAATAATCTTTGCATGTGGCAGCTAGTGACACTAGTCTTTGTGATGTTTTGTATATGCTTTTATGTTATCCATAATTGAGGACTTGCTGTGACTTCAGGGATGCAGGTAAAAGACCAGGTGTAATGAAGCGTGTGGCCAGCAGTGCTGAACTGGTGCTGGATGTTGAACCAAAGACACAGAGAGTGATACTGAAGAAAAAGGTGTTGTGTTATCGCTTTAAAAACCTTTCCTTCTCTCTGAGTTTCTTTAGCAGACTTATGTTTTAACAGTCTTGATTTTGTCCTTTTATTCTGTAGGAGCCAGGTAAGCGCTCTCAGCTGTGGAGAATGACCGGGAAAGGAATGCTTTGTCATGAGGGTTCCTCTCCTCCTCAGAGTAAACCGGCCCAGCCCCGACCTCCAGACTCTTCACTGGTGCTGGACATTGCTGGGCTGGCAGCAGTCACAGATAACAGGTCAGCACTGCTTTAAAGTGCGAGTGTTACAGGAAACATGTATGCATGTTGAATGCATTTGTTGAAAGACAACCAAAAATTAAGTTGGGCTAGATGATAAATGAAAGAATGATTTGAAGTTGCAGACCTACTTTAAATGAATCATATGAATAGTCCAAAATATTGAACTCAAGCATGTCCTGTTTTGAGGGTGTTGTTTTTAGATACTCCTATCATGTTTCATCTTTTAGATCCCACACAGGCCTTGCAAATTTGAGGAGTTGTGCAACAAGCAGAAAAAATGCCTTTGATCTTTGGTGTTTTGACAGCCATACATCAATTAATAGCTGAATTCAGGCATTTATTCAAGAATTTATATGTATTAATCATGTGGCTATTAAGAAATCAGACTTTCATGCCTCAATCATCATGTTATAATCCTCTTTACTCTTTATTCAACCCTCTCTCTCTCTCGCTCTCTCTCTCTCACTCTCTCTCTCTCTCTCTCTCTCTCTCTGTCTCCCGTATGCAGTTATGAGCCACTGATGTTGAGGCGGCCAGACTCTCGCCGCAGTACTACCCAGACATGGCACTTTAGCTCTGGCATGCTGACCTGCGGTTTACCCAGACTGGTGGTGCAGGTCTGTCTCACTTGCTTGGGTTGACTGTGTCTCGTCTGCGTTCTCATTTTCATGTCATTATCGTAAATGGTTGTTATAACTCTTGCTGCAGGTGAAGGGGGGAGTTTCAGGGTTGTTTGATGGTGCAGAGGTAGTACTGGGGCCTACCCAGGGACTGCTTGATATGCCCCCAGAACAGCAGTTCATTTACCAGAAGATGAGGCCAGGCTCTGGGGTGCTGTCTGTACAGGTTCTGCCTGATGGACCCACTCGTGTACTGCAGGTAAAATTAGTCAGTAGCTCAGAATAATGGTGACTATATCTATCTGGATTTGCAAACCAGATAAAACCTTTGGACACAGTTGGATGTCATGTTATTAGATTGGATTTTGCAATTGGCTGGATGCTTTTGTTTTCTTTCCAGATTAGTGACTTTAATCAGCGGCGAATGAACAGAACATCTCCCAGCACAGAGGAGGATCCAAGCAAGGAGAACGTTCAGAAGAGAGCTACTGAAGAGGAGCTTGAGGTTAATTGTGTGCATATAAATTAATCATTCTAATTTACCAGTTCAGTTGTTTACAGGTTAGATGATTTTTGAAATGCATGAATGAAAATGCAGATCAATTGATTTAACAAACCATGATGGTAAAATAATTGCGCAGGTTAAAAACACACTCACGCTACACATTTCACATCAGGAAGCCTCAATCTGTTTGCTGTGTGTAGGTGTTGGTGAACCTGGAGGAGGGTGTGGGCCTTTCTCTGGTGAACAAAGCGCCCGAGGAGCTGGTGTTCACCACACTGTCTGGCATCAGTGTGCACTTTACCCGCACTGCCGCCAGCCAGGTGCTAGAGCTCAGCGTGCAGAACATTCAGGTGACTGCTGCAAAAAATAGGCAATGTTGTCTTTTCCAATTTGCTCTGTCCCTGCAGGCAAAAAGTTATAAGCTGTGCATTTCTCCATTCTCACTCTCCCTCAGGTGGATAATCAACTCCTGGGCACCACTCAACCTGTTATGCTGTGTGTGACTCCAGGCTCCCTTGAGAGCAGTGTGGTGGACTCTGGACCTGCTTTGCAAGTTAATGCCGTTAAAGTGCCCAGCTCTCTCATGCTTACAGAGCTCTTTAAAGTAAGACATGACATCTGTGCTTGGTACTTTTGCTCAGATTCTGCCTCTATTTTGATAGAGATTTTCATAATACAAAACATTGGTTTGTTTAAATATTTCAAATGGGTTGTTAGGTATAATTCATTTCTTTTACATTTACTAGCACCTTATGGTCACTGCTCGGCGCTTTACTGTCATCATTGAAGAGAAACTCTTGCTCAAGCTGCTGGCATTCTTTGGCTATGGACAAACAGAAGGTTGTATATAAAGTAGTATACCATACAGTTGTATGCGAAGTTTGAACACCCCCAGTCAAATTACCTGTTTTTTTTTTCATTTTTCTAGGTAAAAATAAGTATATAACACATTCTCCACTGGGAACAAACTTAAATGTGGCATTTTTCTACAAAGTTCTGTTTTTTGCTTTAACATACTGGGAAAAAATAAAATGGAAATATGAAGTGTGCCATAACTTTTGCACATGCTAATGTGTTAAATTCAGCAAATAAACAGTAATTGTCCATTAAAATGTGCAGAAGTTTGTTCGCTGTAGCAGGTGTGAATTTACCTCGTATCATTAAAGTAGTGTATGACTGTGGAATGATGTGTTTCAGAGGTGGAAAAGTTGGATGAGAACCTGTATGAGAAGGCCACTGAGGACACAGGGCCTCCAAAACGCTACTATTTTGAGAACCTGAAGATCAGCCTCCCCCAAGTCAAACTAAGTGTCTTCACCTCACACAAATTGCCTCCAGACCTCACGGTAATGCAAGCACATCAGCAATAGTTATACAGTCCATACTGCTAATTTTCAAGATATTTAGCTGGTGATGTGTATGTTCACACCTGTATCTAACATAAGAGGATACAGTAGCCCCTCTGTTCACCATTATGTTTTGCTCTCAGTTTGCATTTTAGTACTTGCACTGTACTTGAATGCTGCTGTTACAGGTATACTGTAGCATATTGTCCAGATGTCATAGCATAGTTATGCATAAGTGGTTTATGCTAAACAGTCAGTAGCACTTTATTTGATTTAATGTTAAATAGGCAGCTGATATTTCACTTAAAACTGTAATATGTCAGTTTGGCCTGTCAGAGAACAAATAATGCTACTTATATTGCAACTTTAGCACATTTCCAGTACTTTAAATCAGCCAAATTGTTTTGTGTGTTCACTTAGTTCACACTGTGTAAGCTTTGGCCATCAGCCAGTTTGGCTGTAGAGCAATCAGAATCCGCCATAAAAATGTTTTGCATTTTGTGTTATGATGGAAATACAGTTTAATTCCTTGTTCTCTGTGTTCTGCACAGGCTCTAAAGGGAACTTTGGGAATACCACTCATTAAGTTTGAGGATGCAGTCATCAACATGTATCCCTTCACCAGAGTTCACCCTTATGAGACCCAGGAGATTATCTTCAATGATATACTGAAGCACTTCAGAGAGGTAAGAGTGCTCTAGTACATTCAGAGTGTTTCTGTTTTTCCCCACACTCTTATTCTTGATGGTTTGGTACAGGTTCACTGTGCTTGACTGGAAACTATTTTGAAATTGAGGCTATTTCACAAAAATGTTTAATGTTTAGCTGCTGTAATGAGCATCTTCTAACCCCACTAGTGGTTTTTTTCTTGTTTTTTTTTTTCCTTTCTCCAGGAGCTGCTCAGTCAGGCTGCTCAGATCTTAGGATCAGTAGACTTCCTGGGCAATCCCATTGGCCTGCTGAATGATGTTACAGAGGGCGTATCAGAACTCATCAAGTACGGCAATGTGGGAGGTCTGATCCGCAACGTAACACATGGGGTCTCGAACTCGGCAGCTAAGGTAGTACAATCAATTTCCAACTCTTAATTCCTGAGTGTCTCAATGTTCTAATACCCTTATTGCTTCAGGCCTGAATGCTGGTATAGCTTCAGTCATTGCCATCAAAGTTGTAGTACATGTATGTTGCCTGTTTTGCAAGTGCAACAGAGAAATTGCTAAATTATTATACAAAGTCATATAACTCATACTGGCTTGTTAGACATGGTGCCATGGAACACAAACAGAAAAACCAAAATATTTTAAATGTTTTGGCAATGTTTAAAAATGACACTGTTATGCCACTTTGCCTTAAAATAGCAAAGATTATTTGTATTATGAACTTTTTGTAGCTATTGGATTAGCTTAACAGGACTTCTTTACAATACATGCATAAGAGCTTTATACCAGAACAGTTATTTGACAGTCTTCTCAGTACTTGAGCTCCTGTTCAGAGCTAGACAGGGACCTCAGGTTATTTTGTTCTCTGAGTGGCTTTTTTAACACACATTTCTAAGAACGCTGAAATACTTTGCATGAACAGAACAACCCATGCAGTCATTTGATTATTTCCAGGAAAAAGATGGAACAGCACAGAAAGGTCAGACGCACGCTTTGTTCTCCCAGCTGAGCATTCTGACCTGATTCTTTTTTTTAATATGCATTAGAGATGGTAATAACCTTGATTTTCATACAGTTCTACCACTTGATTACTTAGTTTGAGGGCAACATAAAACTGGAACAGCACAAAAATAAAAAAAAAAATTATTATTTTTTTTTTAATATAAGCATAATGACATCCAAACTAGCAATCTGAGCTGAGGATTTAAAAGAGTAAATACATTTCACTGAAGAAAAGTCCTTGTAGTGGAGCATAGTGTCAGTTTAATAATGGTGTGTTGGAGTCGGCCTTGAGAAAGGGTGCATCGTGGCGAGAAGTGGAGATGGTTGTGGTTCTCAGTTTCTGACATAGCAAGTTCATTCAGCATGCTTAAAATAGCCCGTCATGAAAGCATTTCTGCATCCACACACATAGCTTTTTGCCTTTTATATTGACAGTCATCGTTCAGCTTTTTATGAGGCTATTGAAACTTCTGAGCTCACTTGGACTTTAGCAGCTGGACTCTTATTAGCTCAGCTCCGACAGGCCTCATTTGCTCATTGCCCTGACAGGTTTCATTCGCACCCAGCACTGGCAAGTGTGGCAGCAGATGACCCGTTCAGTAGCTGTGTGGGCTGTGTGTGGTCAGACCTGAGTGCTGCCCCAGCCTTCACTTCTAGCCCCTCAGCCAGCTCCCAGCATGCCTGGCTGATGGGGCCACAGAGCCCCTGCCTTTCAGTGGCAGCCAGCTCCCTGTCAGCCAGCCCCTTTGTGTGTTTTTCCCCTCTGTCCTCTCCTCCTCATTTAGTGCTCTGGCCATGAGAGCACGCTGAGACAGCAGGCTCCATCACCAAACCTGCCCCAACCCTATTCCAGATTCCTGCTGTAGCTCCTGTGTGCTGATTGCTGCCTTTGACTGCTGAGCATAACCACCAAAGCAAAGTAATGATGCTTGGTTCATTTGGCTAATTCAGCTTGTTCATTAATCTGAACATTTATTGGGATAGAGTGAAATGAGCCATAAGTTTTCTATTCTTTTTATGTGTGATTGATATGGTTTGGAGAAATGTGGAAAGGAAAAGCAAGCATCTGGACTCAGAGTTCTGACACTGGGTACAAGTGGAGACTGTTTCCTTTCACTCTTAAATCTCACTGTTGCCACTGGCAGAATTTCATACAAACAGAATATTATTCCCCATGCGCACATTTCCCAGAATATCCAGCAGGTCAGATGAAAAACCTGTGCCAAGGCCATTCACCAACATCATAAAAATTCCGTAACGTTTAAATAGGACGAACATTCTACAGAGGCCTTCAAGCGCTTTTGATTTGGTTATACTGAGTTTAAATACGTTACCTGGAAATAGCACAGGGGGTTGTTTTATTGTTGTGTTTTGCAAATTAAGCCAGTGGCCACCCAGAAATTACTGATGTATGGAGTGTGCAAAATGACAAATGTATTGTTGTTGTGACATTACGTTTTTTTGTTTTTTTTACTTAAAACCATAGAGAGTTTATGATTCAATATTCTCTTAACATTTTTAACAAAATTCAAATGCAGAAAAATGATGGCTGTGTCCATGTTGTGATGAACATGCTGTTGTAGGTACTGGTTGTTTGCCAACTTTGGTGCTCCAACAGTTACATTCAGTGTCATAGTAAACCACATTAACCTGATGAGCCCAGTAGAAAGAAAGCCACTCATTTAAATCTGCTGCCAGAGGAATAATGCCATGTGCATGTCCCTGCTGACATCATTTAAATTATTTTATCAATGACTTTACCAGAGCTTTCTGTTTGCTACCATGTTTAATGTCACTTTGTAGAATATGCACAGAATTTATTGTTGGATGCACTGTTTTTTTCCATGAGTAAGTGCCTAAGCTCTTTCAGAACAGAATTGCTGAGTGATTTGTTTACTGAGAGCAATAGTGTGATGGTGCAAATTACATTCATGTACTTTCTTGTTCGAAATGGTAGATAAAATGCTCTAAATTTTCAGCTTTGTTGGATCATGTTCTTTACATACCAAATTAATGCAACAGCATTCAGAAATCTGTAAAAGTTGTTCTTTTAGGGTTAACAGAATGCCCAATAGCCACAATGCACTGACGCCTCCCCACAGAGCATATTTTTACATTTCTGTATTGTGATCGCAACAAATTTTTTTTTACACAGTCTTGGAAGCCTAATATATAATTCACTGATTTTTTGCAAATAAGAATTGATTTATGCTTCTGTAATTAATAGTGGACTTCCAATATTTTGGTTTAGTTTTAGGTTCCAGATGTAAATTATATCTGCCAAATGCATAGTATTACTGTAAACGCACACCAGCGTTATCCAGTAATGCTTCTGCCTTGAAGCCTTTGAGCACTGCTTTCTTGTGTTGCTGCATCCTTACAGCTGCTGTATTGTGAACAGTTAATCTGTGACATATCACATTCCACCACTTGCTTTAAGGCATGCTTAATCATAGCTGAAGTGGAGCTTTGTTGTCTCCGGAATAGTTTCTGCATCTTTTCCTCATATAGAGTCCCTCTTTTTTGATTGCTGCACCCTGAACTGCTTCATGACAGTCACGCTATGGTTGTATTCTCCCAACCCCACCACACACAAACATACACAAATGCACTGAGGGGCCCTGCTCTCAGACTGGAGGAACTGATGGTTTGACCAGGGTGATGGGGGGGCCATAAACTTGAAAGCATTCTCTTTTTCCTCTACCATCCCCCAGACTCAGATCTGGTAAGTGTATTGGTTTAGTTTCACAGCTTAAAAAAAAAAGGCCAGAGAGGAGGAGGAGGTGGAGAGAATTGGAGCTGGCCTTCAGATGAACTCACCAGGGACTTTGCTTGGAGAGGTCATCCCAAGTTCATGCCTGGCTCCTGCCGGAGCTCTGCAGAATGCGCCTGTGTTTACCCAGTGCTCAGGCTCCAGTAGGGCGCTCACTCGGCCTGTAATACAAACCCACTTCCAGGAGGCACCTGCTGGGGATTGGAGGGGGCCCTCTGGGCAAAGTTAGATCAACTGTGCCGAAAGGGTGGAAAGCCACCCCGCTAGACAAATTACTGCCTGATATATTTGACAGCTGGATGAGGCGCTGTGAAAAATCAGCGTCTCCATAGCTCAAACTGCAGAGCGGATACAGCGATGGGAAACACACCACTGGTGCCGAGCATGAAGTCTTGTAAATAATGTTTTCATAGTCACGGGTTACTGAATGTCATTACTGTGCGTGGATAGATGGACATGTAATTTATCTCAAGGATGCCTAACAAAGGACGAATGTTTCACGGCTTCCTTAGAATTGCCGATACAAATCTGATTTCCTTCTTAAGAATTCTCTTCAGAATTGAACTTCTGTGTATATTATTGGACGTAAAAAGCTCTTTGAATGTGTGACTGACTGAATGAAACAGCTTTTTGGGTCATGTGTATGGAAGGACCTTTGACTAAGACAAATGAGTTATCAATCACTTCACACTGAGAGGCACAATAAGTCATTGATGTTGTCCAAAGCAGACAGTCCACTCCTTAGGGACTCTGCAGGAGGCTTTTAACAGGCTGAAAGGGGCAATGTTGGCATCACAACTACTTGTTATTTTAACAGACAAATTCTTGGATGGAATGAAGATTTATTAAGACATGGACTGTTAATCATGCCACCTTATAAGTGACGTGAATGTGTCATGACAAACTTTCATAATAGAAACATCTTTTGCACATTAGAAAGTTTGTTTTTAGAAGACATGAAATTTTGTTTATAGCTTGTTCTTGGACAATTGATGAATTTTTCCCTTGGAGGACATTTTTGATGTGGTTGTAATCACAAGCTTCATTTCATGTAGCCCCAGCTACTCGTACACTCGTGGCATCTTTAATATGTAAGTGAAAAGCAGTGACATCCACAAAGCAAATATTAAAACATTAGACTCTGTTTAGCCAGTATGACAAATTGCTGTTTGATTATATGTCAGCTGTGGCTTATGATTTGTTATAAACTGATTTCACCATCTAGCACACTAGAGGGGTTTGAAACTAAATTCAGAGGGAATTTGCTACAGCAATAATTTACATTATGAGCTAATGCATTATGCCTTATCTGTTCTGCAACAAAGGCTGCTCTGGGCCTCTCTATTGTGAAAGCTATTTGAGTTTCATGCTTGCTCTCTGTCTATGCCGCTTTACCTTTCCCTTTATGCTCCTACCATTTTCTTGTTTGTTTCTGCAGTTTGCTGGTACACTGTCAGATGGACTTGGCAAGACAATGGACAATCGGCATCAGAGCGAGCGAGAGTACATTCGTTACCATGGAGCTACCAGTGGGGAACACCTGGTAGCGGGAATTCATGGTCTTGCTCATGGTACACCTTTATAGTTTTACATTTGCATTTACTGAATGAGATTATTCATTGTGCAATTTATGGTTTAGCCTGTTTTGCACAAATAAGACAGTTTTAGAGGCTAGATTTTCCCTAAAGTCCACTTCGTCATCATTTATTTTTAACTGACTATGTTCTGATTGGCTGTCCTGTATTGTGCCTTGTTCAAAAAACATTCTGCGTTAAAACACTGTTTATAACTTTGGAGTGAATGGCCGGGGCTAACCAGTGGAATGTTTACACACAAAAAACAGTTTTAGTTCGAAAAGAAAATTCAGTTTTACATGATACGTGCCCTGTAATACTGTACGTATCTTGTGAGTCATATCTCCCCATCTCACTAAGTGTTATTTTATATCGTACAGGTATTATCGGTGGTCTGACCAGCGTCATCACATCTACTGTTGAGGGTGTGAAGACAGAGGGGGGCGTAAGCGGCTTTTTCTCAGGTCTTGGGAAAGGGCTTGTCGGCACAGTGACCAAGCCCGTGGCAGGAGCGCTGGATTTTGCCTCAGAAACAGCCCAGACTGTAAGAGACATGGCCAGTCTGAGCAACCACAGGTACATTTGTCTTCAACAACTTCAGCTAAGTCCAAATTCAGTCACTGTGTAAGTCATTACCCGCACACACCTACACTCGCTGTACCCACCCTTTGTGGTTTCATGATGTTTACAGGGTTGTGGGGTTGTGGACTGTGCTTTAGGCCTGGTGAACTCTCCATAAGCACTTAAACACCAGATGTACCTATAAATCCCACCTGGCTTTTAATTAGTTTAGCTTGTGGCTGTTGGGTTTTTCACTTTAATGAATGCCTCCTAATGATCCACGCCACTACTCAAAAGTGCTTAATCGCTCCTGCTCGCTGGTTTAAGAGCTTTCCCTCTGGGTGTGACCCCCACCTCTGGCTCCGACACTGCCCTACCTGAGCTTTTATGAGGGGGGCCCATGAGGAGCTCATATTACACAGGGTGTCTGGTATGTAAAGCCATTTGTTCTGCATTTGCCTATGTATATGCGAGGCGGCCAGGCGTCGACGGGAGTCGGACTCACTGCACCGAGTGTTTGTAGCTTCTCTGCTCCAACTGAAGGAGGAATGAGAGAGTTTCCTGCCCTCCAACCTTGTGCAGCGGGTGGGGGAGGAGAGAGGAGGGGTGTGTGTGTGTGTATGTGTGTATGTGTGTGTGTGTGTGTGTGTGTTTGTGTGTGTGAAGGACCTGCTGGTGAACTGTGCAGTGGGGAGCTAGGGGAGGGTTTTGGGGGAGGCATTCGGAGCGTGCCTGCCACAGTGCGGCGAGGAGTTCAGCCAAAGTTCACACCGAAAACGCGCAGGATTCATGGGTCACAGCGGACACTGTCTGACCCTGCTATTACACTCTCTCAAAAACACACTCGCAGGTACAGCAAGGTCCTGTTCTGTTACTGTTTATGTGTGCACTCAACACACTCATCCCCATAGTGGATCAGTTCCATATTTCAATGTCCAAACAAACTGGTGCATTAGTCCCCATTAAACTTCCTTTCACTCTCTTATAAATCCCAGCCTCTAGACTTTCTCCCGTGTTGTGGTTTTCATGCAGCCGTGGCCACGAATGAGACGAGAAGCGCACGGGGAAATGTTTATTTCTGCCGCGTTCTCACAAGTGCAACAGCCCCATTACATCTCCTACATGTACCGTTAGATCACAAACAGGAAATAAACAAGTAAATGAGAAACAGACTGAAGCGGGCCAGGAGTAGTGCAACTGTCCACACACTCCCTTTGCTCTCTTGCCCTGCTTGTGAACTCTCCCTCCTTCATCTCTCAGCACACCCACCCCCCCACACACCCACACACACACCCACGCACACATCCACACATCCACACACACCCACATACACACATATGCACCCCTCCTCACTGCACTATGCAAACCAGGCAGCCTTCCAGAGCCAGCTCAATTACAATCCCAAAACAAAGCATAGAAGTGCCGGGGGGCAGCGGCAGGGGCTCAGGCTTTGGCTAAATAAGCACCCTGCTCCAAGCTCATAGCTGTCAGTTATGTTTGAAAGGCATGTCGTTTCTATTACCCCTGCACAGCATATGAAATTCTCTTTATGTGGTTTGCCTTTTGACTGGCTTTACTCAGCTTTGGGAGAGGCATGAAGGGATATGTTGTTATATGTAAGTAAGACTTCTGATTAGGTCAAGAGATCACTAAGTAGTTATGAATGTTTCCTCTTTTGATTTATGCAGATTCATAATCCAGTGTATCCTTAAATACTCTACAAACTTAAGTTAGACCTGAAGGGGCATTTGCTTGAGTTGATGTTAGAGATTTTACCAGACAAATGGTGTCGCATATGAATGATGAGTACTCAGGCCATACCAGTCTAATTAAAAATGTGCCACCCTTCACATACAGTACATCTTAGGCACCTAAGCAAATCATTTAAAGCCATCTGGCAGTGAACATGTTTTTGCTTGTAAAAACACCGTTGATCATCAGCATAACACCACTTAGTGCAGTAAAAGTGAAAAAAAAAGAAAAAAGAGAAATGATTAAAAAGAAAAGCTACAATGACTACAGCCTAATTTTTAGGTATCCAGCGATATGGGAATTTATTTATTTATTTCAAAAAAAATGTTGGCCCATACTAATCCAGTATTTTTCATGTGCATGTCTGTCGAAGCCAGTATCTCATTTAATAAATGTACAAACTGGGACTAAACCTATCTGGATAGGCACTACAGAGCTATGTAATATTTATTTCTGTAGGGTTACAACTGCAGTAAAAAGAGTGAAATGCAGATAGTTTAGCACCGTAACCCAGCATCACTTTTGCTTTTCCAGAGTGCAATAAATGAATCTTCAAATGTTGGTTTGAAAGACTGGCCAAATCTAAACATCTGTCTTGTATGGTATTTTTCATGCAATTGTTTGGCCATACCGATATGATTCTGATGTCATTATGCACCCCTACAGATGACTTTGTTTATAAACACAACTCGTTAACAAAAAACAAAGTACTCTGCACTTTAGTCATTAGATGGCCTATTCTTACAGTTTAAAAGGGCTAGTTCTCTTGATTTTTCACTCATTATGTTAAGCTATGTGTTTCTGACACTGCTTTCAGACTCCATGCAGAGACTCTGGGTAGCTAAAAGATATTTGTTGCTAAAATGTTGAACTGTCCCACTAACGTCTTTAACAGAGAGCTGGAAACATGTGTATAGTGCGCTGAATTAAACACCTCTACTGTACAGCAGCCATCCCCCCTCCATCCCCACCCTCAGCCTTGCTGCTCATGCTTTTTCTCGGAAGGGAGCAAGAAGTAAGAGCTGTTTGTTTGCACCCATTGACAGATGACTGGCTGGACTCCAAGCCCTGAGCCTGACCTAGAGTTGAACCCTATTGTTCCAACTCCACAATCGAGTGCAGGGTATTGTCACAAGTGCCTTCAGAGCAGTGGGTGAGGCTAGAAGAGGAGAGGTTAGGAATCTCACTGGATACCTAGGGCCAGATCTCATGACTTACGATTATGATTATGATCCATGTCTCAGAAAGAGAGCCAAGTTCATGTGGAAGTGTTGGCTTATCATGAAGAGGAAGCAGTACGGAGATTAAACTTTACTGTAATGGTTAGATGCTGTTGGTCTGCTGTGGTTTATAGAAGCAAAGCAGTTTCTGCAGTTTTGACAGTGTTTTAGTTCCATACCTTTTTGAACTAAAAAGGTAGTCCATTGTCTCTCCCTTTTTTGGAGCCAAGTTGTGGACATCTGGTTTTTGATGCATTGAAATCACAGAGGCCGTTGCAGCTCTTTTGCGCTATAATGAATAGGTTAAGGAAAGATCCAGCCAAAAAAAAAAATCCTCAAGCTCAGTTCTGCAGAAAGCCATCCTCAGTTGTGCTGTTCCCTCATGTCTCTCATCCCCAGCTCAGTTCTAGATTAGCAGCAGCAGCTGCAGACGCACAAGCCACAGTTTAAACAGAACAGAGAAAAAGTACACTGCCGTCTTTGTGAATCAACTGGAAACCATCAACTCTAATCAAATGACTGCAGGCCCAGATTCAAGCCAGATGTAGGAATTTCAGCTTAGCCTGCAGTGGCAGCCAGGGAGAGGGGTCAATCGAAGGAGAATGAGACAAAAGTTTTGCCTTGGCATTGAAGCCGCTTGGCCTGCCCTTTCAGTTTGATAGGCTTTGTCCACGAAGCATAAGATGGTCAAAGGTAGAAAAGGCTCAGACACAGGACAGTGGCACTGTAAGATTAGGTAGAGGCAAGATGATGGCAAAGCTACTCATTAGGTCAAGTGTAGTGTTGTGGACACAAAATGCCCATACATACACTGCTGCTTTTCATTAATGACATTTGGAGCAGCTCATAGACCAGGCAAGCTTTGTATCAGTAAGTACAGGAACTCAAACTTGTGCTGCTTTCCAGCATCAATCCTTTTTGAAGGCCTGTGCTGCTGCTTTTGTGTCACAAACTGCTCTGCAAGTGGCAGAAGCTACAGAATGGGGCTTTAAACCAACAAAAAATGTTTGAATGTGAAAACCTTGAACCACAAAGGGGTGTCATAAACAGATATAGAGATCAAACAGATGTAAAGTTGTGTTCTCTGTGTGTACATGTGTTGTTTGAACAATAATGTTAGTTCTGGAGGCTTGCCGGCACTCCGGAATAGGCATCTAAAAGGCCAGAAAAACAGTTTCACTAGGTGAAGTAAATTGTTGCCTACATTTTCGCACATTCACCAAAATGCTGTGGATAATGATGGTAGTGTAGGTAGGTGTTCAACCTGCAGAAAACCCATAATTATCCAAAACCTTATTATATTCAAATTATTCTGGGACAATAACGGAGTGTGCCAGAGCTTTCTCCTTTGTTTCTTAGGTTTGTAGGTTTATAGGTTTTTGTTTTGTGATTTTTTTTTTTTGTTTGGATGTTCACATTTATAAGGGATTTTTCTCTATGTCAATGGCAGACTGAGTGTGCAGCGGGTGAGGAAGCCACGCTGCTGTAAGGGTCCTCAGGGATTGCTACCCCGCTTCTCCTCCACACAGGCTGATGGACAGGAGCAACTCTTTCGCCTCACAGACAACATCCACTCTGAATAGTGAGTATTCTGCTCAAATCCCTCGCAAACTTGCAGTGTTGAGTTTTGCAGAAAACTGTTAGTGCCATGCCTAGAATTATCATAGATTTAAGTTCAAGCACCGTTCATTATCAGATCTAACTTGAAGACCTATACTGCCAAAAATGCTTTTCCAAATATGAAAGAAATCACAGTTAAATACAAACATCAGAAATAAATGATGACTTAGACGCTTGCTGGAGAATCTTACATGACAAGGACTGAGCAAAATTAAAAGGTAATAAATCAAAGACGTCATTTTTGCAGCTTGCAAACTGAACAACTGCTTAAATAATGAGATCTCACTGTCAATGTCACATCTTTATCTTTTAATTAATTTAAAGAAAAGGCTGTTCCTAAAAAAAGTGGCATTTTAGAACCTGCCTAGTGGGAGTGTTAGGCAGCTTTAAGTTAGTAGTCTAAAGCCTTTCGACTGTGCTTGAAGCTGGCCAGGAAAGGCGTTTGTCACCTCTGAGGCTAATCCATCCAGATCAGCAGCTCCCCCTGTGGCCCAAATGACCTCTCCCCTCAGAGGTGCCACACAGCCCATTACTCTCCCCAGCAGCAGCACCACACCATCCGCTCAGCACGCTCACTCACGCGATCACGCTAAACCTATCATCATCACTCTACTCCATACACATCGCCCAACATATCTAAGCAATAGAACATGAGAGGGAGTGTGTTATTGTAAATAATCTCACACTGTGATTTGGTCACAGATATGAGACAAAGGTTTTTAAATAACTGGCTGCAACAATGTAGACTTTGCTCAGTGTGTCTGGTCAAAAGTATCCAGACAGCCTTCTTAGCAGAGAGTTCAGGGACTTTAAAGTGCACTGTTTGCATAGGCATTACATTTCACACACATAATCTCCATAGAAACACATTGCTATTAGAATTGGACCTACTAGAGCAGCCACATGAGCCTAAGGTGCTTAAACCAATCCTGGGCGTCAGCTAGAAAAGTATAATGCCCCACAGCATCGGGCTGTGAAGCTGTAGAACCTCGTTGTTTGGCATGATGGAGCGCCATTCAATATTTTATATGTTGAAGAGTTTGTGATTCAGAAACTGATCATCCAACAGCAGTACTTGACCTCACTAATGCCAAATGTGGCCAAATCCAATCAAATCGTCACAGCAATGTTCCAACATATAGCGAGTGAGCAGGAGTCTACAGACATTTGCACGTACAGTGTATGTGATTAATGAGTATTTTACAATAGCTTCGAGTGTGTCTGATTTCAGAACTAGAACTTTTTGTTTAATAAATTGTGTTCATACTTGTGACTGTGACTCATTCCTTTGGTCTTTTCTCTCTCTCTGTAGCTTTATCGCTGTGGAGCCCATAGACACCTACTGTGTGCTCATCTCTTCTAAAGTCGTATACTTCCTTAAGCCAGGGGAATACGTGGATCGGGAAGCAATTTTCCTGGAAGTCAAATACGATGACCTCTATCATTGTCTGGTCTCCAAGGATCATGGGAAGGTGTATGTTCAGCTCACCAAGAAAGCCGAAAGCACTAGTAGTGGAGTGGCCATTCCAGGCCAGTCTCATCAAAAGCCTATGGTAAGACCACCTACGTTTTTAATGATAATTCAAGAGTGAATCTGTAATTTAAGAAAATGTTTCCAATCATTCTAAGTTAGAACTGCTGAAATTCTGACCCTTCCATTCCACCAGGTTCACGTGAACAGTGAAAGCCTTGCTGTCAAGATCTCCCAAGAAATCAACTATGCCAAGAGCCTTTACTATGAGCAGCAGCTCATGTTACCCCCCAGTGAGAATGAGGACAGCTTATTATTGGACTCCTAACTAAATTAAATCAGCTTAGTTTTCCATTTGTTTGAATTGAAGGCATTTTTTTCTCGTAGAATTTTTGTGGTTTAAAAAAAACTGATAGAAAAAAGAATGGGCATCCATTTAGGCGGTCATCTGCACATACTCATGATGAAGGGATTGTTTCATAATGCAAATTAGTCTACTGTAATATTCTTAATTAAGCACAGATTAAACTATAACAAATATGCAAGTATTTTATTAAGTTCTCTGTTGAACTTAGAAGATATATATATTTTGTTTTACAGCTGTTTATAGAGTTTGAGTAGTATTTGTTGCTAAAAATATGCATATAACTAATGTTGTATATGTTTGTGTATAGAGCAAATATGTACATATATAGATACATACCAGTATGCCACTGTCTGCCATGTATTGTACATATCGTTAACAAGAAATTATGGAGAATTATATGGACACTGGGGTTGCTGTACAAAACTGCCTTTGAAAAAGTTTTTTTTATTTCTCTATATATTTGAGAGAACTGTGTGGGTTATACTTAAATTGCACTGATATAGATGTAACACATTGCTGCTGCTCTCACCGCTCACTAGTGAGCAAATACCAAGATAGATCACCACTCTGCGTGCAGTCCTGCCCTGACATTCAAACCTCTAAAGTTTATTTAATTCTCTTTTTATTTATTTGTATATCTTTTCTATAAACCTTTTAAGAACTTTTTTGTGACAGAACGTCAGTTAAATCTTGTGAATCACTATTAATAACATATGCTTACTGTTTGTAATACAAACAGTACTCTAAAATGCTGTAATATTAACACTACAATCATCATTAATAATTTGCTATTTGACCTGGATGTGAAGTGTATAGACAGTCATTTTGTTTCAAATAAACTACTTTTACTCTGCAGTGATTAAGTCCAAGATTTTGTGCCTTTTGTTCTTGCTGAGATTTTTTGGATTCTACAAAGACCACTAGCGCTGATTTTCATTTATTCTTTGCCTGCAACTTTAATTAAATTTATCTTAAATCTGCAAATCTGCCAAATAACAACATTAATCTTGCTCCAAGCTAAAGACCTGAGCTCCAGTCCTTTTCTCATTATTATGTATTATCAGCATAATATATCATGTTAGCTGTACCATAACACTGCTATTAAATGCATTTATGGTCCGCAGATCTAAGCTTGTAGTTCTGCTTTACGTTTCCAACTCGATATACTTCATTAAACTGCCATCAAAATGTTAACAAATGTCCCAAGATATGAAAACCAAAATGAATTTTCATTAGATTGCGTTTTTGGGAGATCATGATGGTTTAATAAGGATTTTTTTTTTTAACTTCACATTGAGTTCTATAAAAATAAAAAATGTCATTTAAAAGAAATGTCCCCAAATCATCGTTTTAGTGAGAGTAGCGAGATAATGCATGAGATTTTAATTCTCCTTTTCAGTGCTGTTACAGTGAACATGCAGTAGTGTGAAATGGTTTTCTCTGTATATCAGACACATTAATATAAATAGTACATCATAGGATGTGTAAATGTTTTTTGTTTGTATAAACTGTAAAGCCTAATAATAAAACTTGTGGTTTTTCAGTCAAAATGATGTTTGTGTCTCATAAATTTGGGTCCATACGTTTTCTGAGGAATGCTCAGAACAATTAGGAAATATATTTAATGGTCTCCATAGCTTATTAGTTGAATACCGTACAAACTAATGCGGGGAGGGTGGAGGGCATTAGGACATTAGTTTGTGTGTCTATGTATGTATATATATGTGTGCATATATGTTATGCATATAAATTATGTAAACCTTATATTTAATTGAATGATTAGTATTGAACTGTGCGCTGATAACAATTCAGATGGTGTTTAGCCCGGAGGATGCAGTGTCCATAATTTCCAAAGAGAATTTCCAATTTTGAAAGGACACTTTTTCACTTCCCTTCAGTCCATCTTAAATGAGCTCGGGCCCAAAGAATATGGCAGTGTTTCTGGATGCTGCTTATATATGGTTTGTTGTTTGTATGGTAAAGTTTTAACTTGCATTTTTGGACGCAATGACAAACTGTTTTCACAGACTGGTATTCAGAAGTGTTCCTGAGCCCACGCAGTGATTTCCACTACAGAATCATGTCTGTTTTTAATGCAATGTCCCCTGATCACAGCCAGCCAATATTGGTTTTTGGACTTGTCCCTTGCACACAGAGATTTCTCCAGATTCTCTGAATCTTTTAATGATATTTGCTATTTTGAGGAACATTTTCTTGAATTGTTGCACTATTTGCCCGTTTAGTCTTTCACAGAGTGGTGAACGACTCCCCATCTTTACTTCTGAAAGACTTCACTGGGATGCTCTTTTTATACCCAATTATGTGTCTTATTGCCAGTCAACCACCAGATGTTTTTTTTAGCATTACACAACTTTACCAGCCTTTTGTTGCCCCTTTCCCAACTTTTTTGAAACGTGTTGCTGGCATCAAATTCAAAATGGGCAAATATGTTATTTTCAAATATAAATCAAATATGGAGTTTAAATGATTTGCACATCATTTATGGCAGCCACTTTCAGTTGCTGATTGTTATGAAGATAGTCTGACTTCATTTTTGGCTTCAACAGGTAAAATGAATGCTCAATTGGGGTCAAGTCAGAAAACTGGCTTGGCCGGTCATAATTTGTCACCATTGCATTCTGATTAACTCCTTCATTCTTTAAAGAATCATATACAACATGTTTCCATCACAGACAAGAACCATTTGACCATGTAAAGAACCTTTTAAGCATCTACCATTCGCCTTTACTAAATAACCCTTGAAGAACCAAAGTGTAGTTTTTAATGTTTTGTCTGTTTTGTACCATTTACATCAAAACAAGATCCTTAATATAAACACCAGTGGCTGCACCCAACCCTTCAAATTCGCAGCTCTTTTATGTGTTTACAATTAAGGAACATAGAATATAATTAGAATCAGGCATCATTCATTTGACCCAGTTCTTTTGGTGGTTCATAGATAACATCGCCTGGAAATTAAAGCTTAAATTCTGTGCTCATCTTTTCATCCGGAATACACATTTTATATATTCATCACAAATATAACCCATTTTATCTGATTGTCCCAATATTTTTGCTTATCACTGTAAATAATACACAGTGCATTTAAATGGCATGTGCTTGGTTGATTTTATGCAAGCAAAGTTATCAGTTGATAGCTTAAGATATGTTTTCTGTCGGTTTGATGACTGACACAATAAACATTAAAAAATACATACTGGGGGGCCGCTTGTGGTTCGGGGACCCTAAGTGACGCTTGTACTGCTCATAGCAAGAAACGGCCCTGCTTATGCTATGACCTATTTTTCCTTGATGTGTTTCATCATTGAGCTCTTATTACTTTTGCAGGGTTGTATAAACCCTGCTTAGTTCTCACTGGACACAGTGAGGTCCAGAATCCCTCGAGTTAAGCCTGGCTGTATTGTGAGCTCCCAGCCTTCATTCCTCTTCTTGAGTGACAGCGTAATGGAGGCTCCAGGGTCTCCCCCTTACTGAGGAGCAGCTCAGGGTCCGTTTGTCTCTCTTTTCCCCCCACTTACTCATTATTTATTGATGGATGTAGACAATGCCAGGCCACTCTAGGAGCCTAATCTGCTAATACCAACTATTTTTGGCATAAGGATTTTAGTAAGTATGCATGATAATCTATTCAACAGTTCCAAACGTGTATTTCATGAAGCATTAAATGAAGCCAGATGAAGAACACAATCCTCATACCATAGGTCAAAGATTGTTCAGCCAAGTGTCACCATTATACTCAATTTCATGCATGTTTCTTCCACCACAAAGACTTCTCCTGAGACCTTTTCCATAACAAATGCCTCAGTGGAATGAATGTGCTTAGTGGAAGGAATGTCTTCAAGAAATTGAAATATTTGCTTTAGTTCAGTGCACAAGAAAGTACTAGAAACTTCAGCACAGTCAGAATCTCCTAAATAGAAAATAAGTTACAGCAATGAAAGTGTTTGGGATTTTCTGTGTGGCTTAAATTAATTGAAAAAGAGTGTTTACGAGTTAATATGATGCAGTATTTTCAAATGAGGGCACAAACTCTTCTGATGCACTAAGCACTAAATCAAAATCAAATCTGGTTTACATATGATTTCACAAGCCATCTTAAAATAAATGTGCCAAATGAAGAACTACTTTTGGTTCCCTAAAGAACCTTTCAATGGATAGTTCTTGAACCCCTAAAATGGAAAGAGCCCACCAGCAGGCCCAAATTTTTATTACACACTTCTATAGCCTATGAATAGCTCAGCCAGTTTGCACTGAAGTCCCTATAGTCCCTAGTGTCCCTATATGTAATAAGCTGTATGTCCAATTATCCATTCAGGAACTTTTATTTTTAAAGTCGAATTCCACTGAATTTTCAAAAGTTGTTAAGATGTAAACAAAGACATTCAGAATGGTTTAATGAGAAATGTTTCATTGTAGAGAAACTTACTGACTCAGATTTCTTTACAGTGGTGGTGATAGGAACCAGAGGTGTCTGCAGTTTCATTTACTACCTAAATGATCAGTAAACTTATGAGTATCGTCTGACTTTTTATATCATCACTGTCCAAAGAAAAACAAGTATCTCCAAAATAGTAGCTTTACAGGAGAAGGCAAAAACACTCTTACCTTCCAATGTAAGTCAATGTAAACAGGTTTTATTCCAAGCGATTTTAGAGCATTTCTATTGATCCATTCATAATGAAATTTTCACACAATGTAAAGGACATAGTGTTTTGAAATGATGTGGAAAAATAAAAATAGACTAAAATGTAGATGGATTGGTTTATTTGGACAGATATGTAATGTTAATAATAGTAAAACAATTGCAAATCTGAAAATATACATTTTGGGGTATTTGGGGGAGTGGATTATTTTGCCAGTTTCTACATTAATGGAAAAAAATGTATTTTATGCCAAAACTTTATCTCAAAACTATTATAAAACAATGTCTAAGGCACTGGGCAATGATTATTATCCATTCTGTGTAATACATTCTAGTGAGGTAACTTTTAGAGGTATTAAACACTTCAGACATCCTCTCACACCACTGTGAACAATTCTGACTCCTAAGTTTCTCTAGAATGGAACGTTTCATATCACATCACACTTTGCTTATGATTCCTAATGATTGAATTATGCAGAAATAAAAATTCCTCTTTAAGAATATGTATTTCTCTGAAGCTTCATGCCAAGCCCTAACATTTAGGATTATGTAGGTTATATATGTTCTATGATGAGGACGTGAAGTATGACGTGCCCCAGGAGAGCTATTACAGTCCCTTTTTTCCACCTGTGCTGAGTCCAATGAAGCTGTTCTATTTGCTGGCCGAAGGGTTCAGCACAGGGTGAGCTGTCCGTCCAACAGCCTCCTCACATTTATCTACTATTTGGCTAACCTTGCTCTGAACTCGCCCCATGAGATTTGAGCTGACTTCTCCAACACACGTGCAGGCCATGACACAGTTTTATGTCATGATCCCAATCTGAGAAATTTCCACTGGCAGTGTCGGCCACACCGAGATCCAAGGTTTAGTTTTGAATTGAGTTGAACCGCTCGCTTAATCTTGGTGTCCCAAGCAGTTGAATAAATAGGCTGCAAGATGCCAAGAAAAATCAGAGAAAATTTCCCTCCGAGTGAAATCTGAGGACTTGTGTTAGTTTGTTTATACTAAATGCAACATTAAACTGTCACAGCATTTTTCAAATCAGTCATATAGCTTGAGTTATAGCCCAGAATTTATCAGTTTGGTGTTTTGCAATGATTGAGATGTAGAGAACAGTTTTACAACTGGCATGCTATTAGGGAAAGACAGCAGCTGCCTGTACTCAGCGTCCAGGTTGTATTTTATGTGGCACCAGCCTCTGATCTCAAGTCCAAAATGACTAATGCGGGGGTGAAGCAGGGTTATTTTAATGTGCTTTACCTTCTAAGGGATCTAACTTTCTTAAGGGTGAACATTTATAACAGTTGGATACGGAAACACATTTGACAAAGCTGAAAACGATGCAGGCAACCCTTGATTATTTGAGCAAACCCACTGAAATCCCTCCATTAGCCCTCCAGTGGCTGACCCTCTGCAGCGTGCTTTCCTGTTAAGTAGAGCCTGTGTTTTGACAACCCTACCTCGAGCGCTATGAGCTCATGATTGGCTGGCCCGTGGTGGAGGAATGCTGACCATGAAATGCCTGTGAGTTTTGGCTGAGAAAGAACAAGCTCACTGCCAGGGACATACATTTCCCTGTTTTCTAACCCACATGAACGCACACGGAATAACATTGGCCGGCATTATTTTAATATCAAATACTGTTTATTCAGTGTTGACATGAATATTGAGGTGGATACATTGGATTTACTGAAAATGAGTTGGAGAAAGAACTTGCATTGTCTTAAATTACAAAAAAAGCATTTAAAATTAGTAAGAGTCTACAGAATGTGCGCTACATCCACAGTATCTGTATGAGGGTTTAACATCCTTATTGAAAACCTTATAGATATGTTCCCCTGACCGGTTTCTCTATTGGTTAAAGAGTCTACTCCAGTATTCTCACCAAGTCCGAGGAGCGCTCTAACCAGCAAACCTGCGAGCCATTCAGACTAACACATCAATATTACCAGCACAAGCAACTACAAATGATCAGTCCATGCTACACCCATTGACAAAAATATGCTGGATAAACAAGCCACTGTGATACACCGTATCCCTGTGATCCTGAATTCTTTTGCTACAGCTTGTTTTGTCGTTCCAGGGACCGAGTGCTTGCATTGCTTGATAAGTTTGTTGAACAAAATTTTTCACATTCCATCCTTCCCTGCGGTCAGCTCTTTATGTCCGTCCCTTGAATGTGTTCATGCAGGTGTAGCTTCCTGCAAACTTGTGAATTTCCTCCAGAGCACATTGTGGCAGAAGGCTGAGGACCAAAGCAAGAAATTATAATTATTATAGAGTGGAAAGACACTTTCTAAAGCTTTCATAAGGCAGTCAGTTCATAGCAAAGAAGCACAGATGCATACAAAGATGGAAACACCGAATCAGCTTGACTAAGAATAAAAAACATTCAAAAGGGCTGTATGATCGTTTCAGCTAACCAAAAGGTTTGTTTGAGATTACTTCAAGCTGCAGTGTGTACATTCTTTGTTCAGCTGGAAGAAGCAGTGTTACTGAGCTAAACATGCTTAAATATGGAGGGCTGCTGCGAGTCCCTCTATAAAGCCTGAAATATTAATTTAAAAGTAATTTAAAGTCAGATGTGATGGGTCAGATTTTGTGGGAGTTCTTGTACCACATCATACATCTTTATATATTAGCCCCAGACGCACAGGCTCAAAAACAGCATTATACTGACGAAGATATGATGGACAGATAATTCACTGATTTCCTCGGAAGACAAGTCCGTAACTTCGAATGCTGTGGCAAAATATCACAATCATCAGATTTATTCTATTGCAAGTGCTCCAAATTGCAAAATGTTCTTCTGCATGTTTCATGCAATTACATATTTTCACCAGAGGTGTCTCCAAATCCCCAAATCTTACACAGTGTAACTTTAACAACTTAATAGGAGTTTGAGGCAAGGTAACACTTTACTGAAGGGCAGCATTCATAAAACAACTACATAAGCCTTTCATAACAATGGACATAAACCTACAGGAACTTTTATGAAAGCTTATTCCATCTAGTGACATCAGGAAAGCTGCTTTTGTTCATTTTGACGTCATTTCACCAGCAGGTATAGACAATTAACACTATAAATGGCTATATAGGTTTGTGTCAATTGTTATTTATTTTTTAATTGTTATTACGAACACTGCCCATCAGTAAAAAGTGCTGGTGGTGACGTAAAAGCTACATTAGCCTCATAACTCCAGCGCAAAACTAAAGAAGTAAACATCAGCCACCGAAATTATCTTGGTTGATTGATTACATTCGGAATGAGAAGAAAACTGTGTTAAAGTGATGCTATACATACCGACATATATAGTATACTATATATACTTACATACTGATATATCCTATAATATTAAGAGAATTTTTAACAGAGAAACTCTACATTAGTATTAGAAATACTGACCTCTTTAGGGCAACGAGAAAGTGCATCGTCCACGGTAGAACAACAAAGGCAGTGTTGGTCCTGACTGCATCTACAGTTCTCTGAGCCACCATCTCAGGATTCAGAGGAGGAAAGAGCTGAGGGAACCTGACAAAGGAAAGAAAGAACAAGCCTCATACAGTCTGCTTTCATTATTTCCTATATGCATATTTATGCATGCGTACAGGCACTTCCAGTTCAGTGTAGATGCAGCTAGATCTACAACTACTAGATCTACCAGTCCTAACTCATACCCTGATCACAGTGCACTACCTGACACGCATGCCCTGGAACATTTCTGTGTCCGTGTGGAAGGGCAATATTGTGGTGCAGTCCACTCCTGGGCAGTCCAGCAGGCCCAGAGTAAGACTCTCCATAAAGGCGTAGGCCGAGGCTTTGGACGTGCAGTAGTCGATAGCTCCAGGGATGGAAGAAAGCGAGAGGATGGAGTTGATGCACACCACGTGGCCATGGCACAGCTCCAGCATCCGAGGAAGGAAAGCTTTCGTGGTCTGTGGGGAGGAGAGACGGGACACATTCTGCATTGTTCTACTTTTCACTGCTATTCCCCTGACTAGCTTAAGGAATTTCCAATAACAAGAAGAAAAGCTTCAGCACAAAAGTGATGAGGACTGTAGCAAGGCCATGGAATCCCATAAGTGAAAATCATGTGTCCAACTAGAAGACTTTGATTGATTTAGCAGATGTTTGAATTTTGGCCCACATTTGCCGTTTGATCTCAAGTCAGAGGATTAATGACTGCGAACTACTATTATTACATCTATCCACTGGCCTTGCCATGCCTCAACATATCAAAGGCTCCTCTGCCAAAAACCTCCATGTGTTTCAAGTTAGGAGCACAACAAAGTACTACCACCTCCGGCACCGTTTACTAGACATATATCTAAAACATCTGAATGCCTCCTCTGATTATAATCCACTTTGAATTTGCTCTCAATGTGACCACTGTTGGACCTATATATTCAATCAAATTTCTTTGAAACATTACTTCGATAAAGATTCGACTTCTATTCTTTGTGGCAAATGAACTTCTAGAAGGTCCTTTGAAGAGCAGCCAGTCATCCTGACTGCTTTTGTTGTTTTAGAACTTCTATGCAAGAGCCTCTGATTGTTTTATGTGAGGAATGCAAAGTTTAAAGCAGACTTTTTCCTCTCCTGGCAACAACATCGATTAATTATGAGGGAATATTCCAAAACAGATAGCATGCCAAATGACTTGGAAGTGTTTATGTAAGTAAGAATGTTTTGAAATCCACAAAGAAAGCCGTGTGCAATTGTAGGGTTCAGGGGAAGGTTACTGTGGGACGATACTCTTGTATTCCTTAGAGGGAAGAAAATGAACCAGAGCGCTGGGCTCTTACTTACCCAGAACTGGCCGAGTGCATTGATGTGCTGTGTTTTCAGAAGTGCATCATCATCGCTGTTCATCAGGCTTTTCCCATGAACCACTGCTGCATTATTCACCAGAATGGTAACATCGCCAACCTATAAAAGAATCCAAAACATTCCGTTTGAACTGGATCCATTTCAAAGCACAGCTCAGAGCCACACTCTATGAGTTTTAAAGCCACTTGGTTTACATTTATTCTTGAAGACTACTCCTTTAAGTTGTAGCTCGTTCCTTAGTGTATTCACTTTGCCAGCCAAGTTGAGGTTTTTGATCCTATTGTTAAAATTACAGAGTAAATTAAGCCAGCAGAGCTTTGAAACATTCCTCCAGGGCTCTGATGTTATTGGTTTTCATGCCAGCAGCTTAGCCTATAAATTTCATTCCCCTCCTTCAGCTTTACTGCACGTCAAATCGGAGACTGTCTTGTTCCGATTGTGGCTTCAGGTGTTGTTACCTTTAGACGTTTAGCCTTTGTAAAGCACGTTCATTGTCAATGGACAACAGTGGATATGAGATATAATAGTTTCATACACTGAAAACATATTCTGCTCTGGATCCTTGGAAGTGTTCTGAGTATTGTGCAAACATTGTCAGTTTTATGTTACCTTTTCCCTCACCACCTTGGCCTGCTGGTACACCTCCTCTCTGTTCCCCACATCACACACAAAGTAGTGGCATTCTGTCCCTGTCATGGTTATCTCCTCACATGTCTCTCTCAGACACTTCTCCGTGCGGCCCCAGAGGATCACCTGAGGGAGGAGAAGGAAGAGGAGAAGCTGTTAGTGGACAACAAAATCAAAAAGGAACATCCAGAAACCTCTGCTAGGTCATTCATTCCCAATCTTGGTCATGGAGTACATCTACCCTGCACATATTGGTGTTTTCCAGGCTCTAACACACCTGATGTGATGAATTAGTAGCAAATAACTTCTTAAATCGTGTGGACATCCACATCCTAAAGCATATTTTTCAGTAACTATATTGAAAGCATGAAAAAATTCATTCTTTTAGGATATAGAAGTGAGGAATATGAGCCTTCCTGATTTTTCATGGAAATAATGGACGTTATGTTTTCCAGGCCAGAGAAGAAGAGCACCATCCAAATTGTTACCAGCGTAAAGTTCAAAATCCTGTCATGGTATGGGTGAATTAGTGCACGGGTGTATTAGTGCCCATTATACTATTAACACTGTAAATGTATACATATTGTGGAGCAACATATGCTGCCTTCTAAACGCCGTCTTTTTCAAGGACATCTTTCAATGTGACAGCGCCAAGCCACAATCTGCACGTGCTACAAGAGCATGGCTGCATAATCAGAGAGTAAAGGTGCTAGACTGGCCTGTCTGCAGTCCAGAATTGTCTCCCTTTGGAAATGTGGTTACACACTTGTATAAGGGAAGAATGGCCACAAAAAAATCTGTTTTCAAACCTAGATCAATTGGTGTCTTCAGTCCCAAAATGACGATTAATTGTTATTAAAAGAGAAGGTCATGTAACACAGTGGTAAACATCTTCCTGCCCCAACTTCATTGAAAACATGTTCCAGGCATCAAATTGGGAATAAGCATATATTTATGAAAAACAACCTAAAACAAGTCCAAAAGGTAAAACTTCAAATATGTTTTGTACTGTTTTCAAAATATTACAGGTTAAACAGACTTTACTAACCACTGCTTTCTGGACTTGAGGTCTGTATACTGCATACCTGGGCCAAGAACCCTTTAGAAACCATTATTTCCAAGAGTGGAACTGGTTGAAGGCACTTGCAGGTTAATGATTAATGCAGCACAGAACATCCGACAGTCACTGAAATGGCCAAACATCATTACACAAACAAAGCACTGGAGTTCCCTTTGGGAAACGCAGTGATGTATTCCCATATCTTTCTGCAAGAGGCTGCGGGAGAGCCAGTGAGAGTGATAGCAGACAGGGTCAGCCTGCGTAGGCCACTCTACTCACTGGCTATTAGATCTGTCATTCGGTGGGGGTCAGAGAGAGGTAAGCGCAAGAATGAGTCCTCCTCCCTCACCCCGTCCGTCTTCATCTCTCTCACTCACACACAAACACACAGACACTCACACGCACGCTCAGAGGCATTACACGGTTCAGTCGCCCGGTGAACCCTATTTTGTCTGCTTAATATCTGTGAGCGAGACAGAGGTAGAGAAAGAGAGAGAGAGAGAGAGAGAGAGAGAAAGAGGAGGAAGAGAGAGAGAGGAGAGGAGAGAGAGAGAGAGAGAGAGAGAGAGAGAGAGAGAGAGAGAGAGCACTAGGATAAGCAGGCGACAGGTGTGCACTCTCAACTGCTGAATGATCTGCCTCCTGACTCGTGCCCAACCAGTGTCACAATCAGCAGGCAGAGAGCGTCCCATTATCAGGAAAAGTTCAAGCAGCAGGGCCGCTGGAGGACAAGCGGAGGGGGCAGCCTGTGTTCCCCTCATTAAGGCAGTGCTGCTGGGGTCAGGCCTGGGCCAATGCCCAGCTGGGAGCATGGAGGCTATCCTGGCTCTACACCTTTACCCCCAGGCTCTACCATTTACATACTGCAGGACTTCCTCTTTCTTCTATCACTGCAGGTACACACTGTTGCATTGTGGGTGTTTTTTCTGCTCATAAAGCAGATTTATATCAGTACTGATAACAGTCGAATAAGAAAACCCACTTGTTTGATGTATCCGCTTTGATTCTGGGTCACTTGCTTAACACTTACCTAACATGTTATCCACCACTCTGTATATTTTACACCCTTGTAGAAAGGTGTCAGAGGAGGATGGGCTCCTCTTTTTGAGCACTGGTTACTCACAGTGTTTCTTTTTCAGTCTCTTAGAGAGTTTTTCCCACCTCTGTCTCCCTCAGTTTGCTCAATAGGGGCTCAGACCTGATATATTTAAACCTGCTTTGTGACAACATTTGTTGTATAAAAAGTGCTCTTTACAATAAATTGAATTAAAATGAAATGAATTATAAGGTTTAACTTGTGTAATATTATACAGTATTGTGCAAAAGTCACAATTCATTTACTTTCTGATGAAAACAACCATAAAGTGCAAGTTATTTATTTTTCAGGAGGAAATTTCTAAGGAAATTATATTCCACTGCATAAGGAAGGTGAAGAAATAAGTGAAAAAACAGTTTCCAAAACTGGATTTTAAAAGAATTTAAAAGAAACAGTTCACATGGGACTCCAAACAACAGTGCAAGTCCTCTTAGACCACTAAACCTGTCACCAAGAGATAAGCAGTACTTAAAGATTTCATCTTTGAGAGAGAGGAGAAAATCAGCCTCCAATCTTACTTCAGATCTGAAAAAATCCACCAAAGTTTCTGTCCTTTCTTCCACTATCTGATGACAACGCAACACTACGAGTCTGTAAGGATGTGTAGCTGTGAAGAAGCTGTTACTGAGAAAATGAAATAGACAAAAAAGAAGAAAATTTGCACATCAAACTGCTACTGATGGTCTTGGAACAATGAACTGACCTCCCCAGAGTCCAGACCTCAACATCATTGAATGTGTTTGGATTACTTGGATTGTGAGAAGCAGAAAATACAATCAACTTCTAAAACTGAACTTTGGAGGTATGTAAAAAATTCCCTGCAGATCTTGAAATGATATTAAACCTGTTAAGTTAAATATAGGTTTTCTGCGTTTTCTGATGCAGAAAAATAAATACCTTGTACTTAATGGCCATTTAGACTGGAGGTTAGAGAAATGAAGGCTGGACAGACTGTACAAGTATACAAGTGTTAAATATATTTATAAGGGCAGAAAAGAACAAGCAGTTTACAGCACATACAAACATTTTTTATTATGTTGCAGTGAACAATGGGTCAAAGGAGAGGAGCTGACACTTATGGCCTTTCTGACTTTTGTATGCTTGCTTAGCTTGGCTTACACACACACACACACAAACGCACACACACACACACACACACACACACACATATTTGCTCACTCACTCAACTCTTTTGGCTTTCCATTTGAGTCTTTTCCTCTGGGAGTGAGAAGCCTGCACAATAACACTGATGACATCATCAGCCCCACTCTACTAAAGCTGGCTGACCTGCCAATGAACTTGGTTGTGGTAACCAATCTGTAAGGTGCTTTTTCGCCTACTGCACCACCTGCATGCAATCCATTCACACACAGATGCACACACCTACACCCACAATCATGCACTCCTCACACACACACACACACACACACACACACATGCTCCTAAAGTAGAGCAGGTCTCCCATTGATCTCAGTGAAAACCTTTATGCTTAAATGATATTAACTTCCCTAGTCTTTCTATTTCAGAAAGGGGTCAGTGATGTTTATAAGTTGAATTTTTGACTGTTCTGCCAAAAAACTGTGGTGATAATGTGTTGAACTTTGCTTTGTTCTATGATTTTTCCCCATACAACACAGGGAAGTATGAGTGCGGAGGTTAAAAAGTCATAGATCATTTAAGCTCAACAAAACAGTCAGTGTTGTCTGTCAGCACTCCATTGTTGGGCATTTGTAAAGGCAGAAAGGCTTAGGAAACACCTGTGTTTGTGTGCCCGCAGAGGAGAATCCGAGGAGGCGCATGAAACACAAGTGACTCTGCGTTCGGGGGCAGCGGCGGTTCAATCCAACCTCTGCTGGCTGGAGACATTTAACTAGTGCCATCACTTGGAAAACCAAAAACCACAATATAGAGGCTTTGTGCTTAAAGGAGTAGTTCACACAAATAAACCAATAAGGCTAACTATGAATGGAAGCTAGTAACTATCAATTAGCATGATGTCATTTGCATCATGCTAATTGTTGGCTATTCAGTTCCATTCACTGTTAGCTACATTAGCATTTCTGACCAAACAATTTCTTTAAGGGGAAAAATTTGAGAACATAAGCAGTTCTGACTGAACTATTCCTTTGAGGGGGGAAATGGGGGAAGACTGGCATTTCTGATTGAACTACTCCTTTAAGGAGAAATTGGGGGAACATTGGCATTTCTAAGTGAACTATTCCTTTAAAATAGGGAAACTGGGGGATCACTGGCGTTTCCAAGTGAACTATTCCTTTAAAGGGTGAAAATGTGGGAACACTGGCATTTATGAGTGAACTATTCCTTTAAGAGGGAAAATGGGGGGAACACTAGCATTTCTGAGTGAATTATCTCTTTAAGAGGGAATATTAGGGAACACTGGCATTTCTTAGTGAACTATTCCTTTAAAGGTTGAAAATGTGGGAAGACTGGCATTTCTGAGTGAACTATTCCTTTAAGGGGAAATATTAGGGAACACTGGCATTTCTGAGTGAACTATTCCTTTAAAATAGTGAAATTGGGGGATAACTGGCATTTCTGAGTTAACTAATCCTTTAAAGGGTGAAAATGGGGGAACACTGGCATTTCTGAGTAAACTTTCCCTTTAAGGTGAAAATGGGGGAACGCTGGTATTTCTGAGTAAACTTTCCCTTTAAGGTGAAAATGGGGGAACGCTGGTATTTCTGACTGCATTATTCCTATAAGGGGAAAAATAAGAGAACACTGGCATTTCTAAGCGAACTATTCCTTTAATGGACAATCTGGGGTTAAATCTGCCAAATCACTACAGCCTTTAACTCCAGTGCTAAAAAATGATCATAGGGCATTTAATGTACTGTATAGTAACTGCTGCACAATCGTTTCAATGTCCTTGAAATGGCATATCCCATGCAACATTACCTAACCTAATATTTCAGGCGTCGTGCAGGGTTATGGACTACAGAGATAAGATAGGAGGCTCGAGTTCGAATAAGACGTGATGGCACTGAGAAATGATGAGAGTCACTGTTACTGATGAGGCATTTGCCTAAAGAGCAAAAACGATGTTTTCAAATTGTACTAATAATAAATAAAGTTTCCTCTTGCCCACACTGTAAAAAGTGATTTGCGTGGAAAGGACACGTGAATTACCCTCACTATGAAAATGATTGACTGATCCACCTTTAATAAAGTCAAAGATCTCATCAACTCTCACTGAGTTGACAGAAGCTACAATAGTACTAAGTGACATCAACACAAACCCAGGATTTGGTGATCTGAACTACACTGAGGAATCTGATCTGATAAAAGAGGAAAAAGGATGAAAATATAGTCAGACCTGCCTGCAGATGCCCATGCACTGTCCACTCATCTAAACGCAGCCATAAATTACGCGTAACCGCGCGTCCTAAATCGGCACGCAGGTAGCCTAGAGCTGTGAAGTCTGTGGTACCTTTCTGGCTCCTTGCTTGGCAAACTCTTTGGCCAGGTGACGGCCAATTCCTCTGCCACCTCCGGTGATCAGCACCACATCAGTCCCCAGGTCTTTGCGCCTCGGGGGCAGCAAAAAGCGCACGGCTGCCTTCAGGACGCACAGCAAAATCTGGAGGGGGAAAAGGAGCGCGCATCCCCACAGCCTTAGATCCATCATGACGAGCGAGTGTACCCACTGCTGGAGAAGCGCAGGAGAGCTGCTGAAGTCCAGAGGGAGAGAGTGCGTGTGCGTGTGCGAGCGCGCGTGTGCGCCAATGCTGCTCAGCCTCCTCTGGAAGTTTCACGCAGCCTTGCTGGTGTGGCTGGACCCTCCTGGTCTGAGCGCTCCTCGATATAAAGCGGAGAGCCAAACTCACATTTCCACCAGTTCAGGTGTGCCTCGTTAGCGGCAGCGGTTCTCTCAGGTACACGCGGTCTGAATGAGGCACGTCCTGCCTCAGCATCAGACTCATATACTTGGACGCTGCCTGACCAGAGTCAATTTATTCAGCACAGCCCAGCCTGTCAGAAGCTAACCTGACTTTCCTGACCCACTCTTAGAAGCCCACTCTGAGTGTTTGGGAAGAGTATTTACTCCACCCGCAGACACGCACACGTTTCAAGCAAGTGGATCCGTGTTTATTGTCCATATGAGGCTCAGCTACTGAGACACAAGTACATCTGCCTGCGTAACCTCCAGGTTTTAAAACCAGTAGCCTTGAACAAACACCACTGCAGAGGGTTGCGATTAAATAGCAGAGCTTTTATTGTCGTCTTTTGCTTCTCGCGATACAAAATATCACAGTTCGTAGGACTTTCTACAGAAAGAAAAAAAGCAAGGTATAAAATCCTCTCGCTAACACTTTATATGAAGAGAAAGTACTCTGTTTGTTATCTGCCTTACTAGAAATAGGTCTCTAATGCATTACATAACTGACCAAAACCACACAGCACTCCACTCAGGCTGCTTTTTGTAGGACTCTTTTTGACACGCTTCTCTCGTTGTGAAGTCTCCACCGCCACCTACTGGTGAGATGTGGCACATGGACTTGAAAATGGTAAAGGGGAATTCCACTTACTGCATAACTGAGATGTCATCATTGAGATGTAGTCCTTCAGAGGGGTTTGGTGTGAAATTGTAGAGAAACATAGTGACTCATATTCACTTCACAGTGGTGGTGATAGGAACCAGGGGTCGCAATGTCTACAACACAGATATAGACATTCTATTTACTGATGTAAATATGGTGGTAAACATGAAAAAAAACGTTTTCTTTGGGGATCGTTTGGCCTGACAAAGCCTGCATGTACCTCTCCCCCGGGAAATGGGGTTTTAAAAACACACTTTAGGCCAAAAGCTTACTGCAAAACTACAGTAAAACAATGTCTCAGGTAATAACGTTTCAGGTAACAACTTGTGATGTAGCTTTAATCTTCAGACATCTGCTTCCAGTCACCACCACTGTGAACATTTCTGACTCTGCAAGTTCCTCTAGAACACCAAACCACTCTGATCGACTTTTTAATGATTGAACTATACAGAACTTTAGAAAGATTGGTGGAATTCCCCTTTAAACAACAGCAACAAAAAAGAAATAAAACGTGGCAGTAAACAGCTTAGCATCACGGCATTTTCAGTGCATGTAGATAAAATTCTGTATGATAAGGACGTCTTTCATTCAGAACATACTTAATCAGATGGACACTTCAAAAGAAATGCGTGCAAAGCCAAGGCAAGTGATGATTTTCGGAAAGATGTGCGGTACATGATGTGAAAGTGAACCGTGGCTGAACCAGAGCACATTTGGTCTTTTTTCTTGTCTATTTATTTCACCTGTGTTATGAACAGTGCAGAGCTGAGAGAGAGAGAGAGAGAGAGAGAGAGAGAGAGAGAGAGAGAGAGAAGGTGACTGCAGAGCCGAAGCTGTCAGGGAGAGAACAGGAGTGAGTCGCATCTCAGTCTGTTCATGTGAACTCCAGGGTCACTGATAGCAGCAGCATCATAAACATGGGACCAAACAGCTCCCCACCAGAGTCAGCAACTGAAAGCCACAGAATATTCATGAACAGATTACATTGTTAAACACATATGGTCTGAGTCATGGTCATGCAACATTGTTTATTGTTTATTACAGTGTTGCTAGGTGGTCGCTATGGTATAGTAACATGAATTCAATATTAGGGTCATTCTACCACTGTGGTGACAACGAGATAAGAATGTTGACATCTAATTAAACTCTAAAACGTCCGTAAATCTGTAACACCACTGAAAAAATGACTATGGTAAATTTTGTTCCACTGCCACTTTTAAAGTCACACCGAAAGTAGAAAATGACAAATATAGCATGTTGTTATTCGTGTTGTTATCACTTAATGTTTTATTTGGTAACTGGCACAAACTGACATATGAGACTGTCATCATTTTAGCCAAATTAACTAGCCAAATAACTGTAAACTTTTCAGACTTAGTCTTTGTTCCTGAGTGATGATTCATACATTCATATATATATATATATATATGAATGTATGAATGTATATATATATGATATATATATATATATATATATATATAGAAAGAGAGAGAGAGAGAGAAAGAGAGAGAGAGAGAGAGAGAGAGAGAGAGAGAGAGAGAGATACGAGGTTTTGTCCCTACAGCAGCGATAGATTTTTTTTTTATTATTATTTTCGACCTAGTTTGAAAAAGGCAGTTGCCCTTTATGTTTTGTCAAAATTTCATGATGAACAGACGAACAGAAATTGTCCAAAATTACTTGAAAAAATGTATTTCTCTATTTACTTCCATTAAATGTTAAGAGCGTTTTTTCTTGTCCTGTAATGTTACCTTTTTGGAGGTTTTGTTCCGACAGCAGCGAGAAATATATTTTAATGCAATTGAATGCAATTTAAACTGAATAGCAAGCATCAAAGTTGTTTCACATATAAACAATATTTCAGCGTCTGTGAAATCACTTCCATGACATGCTGTTTTTCATGCACAACATAACTAAGGATCACTAAAATAAAAATTCAAATTGAAGAATTATTGTTGTTTTTGTTGGTTAATTTAGGAATAGAACAAGACAGACAACCTTCTGTGGTTTAGTCTTTTTTTGAGCTCAAAATTGTTTACCACCACAATGGAGATCTGACCTATTCATTATTATCTTAGGTGTTTGGCTTCAGTCGTGACGTTTTCATAGCTTACCATTAAACTGCAGTGTCTCTTTCTTTATTCTTGGGTTTTCTGTTCAGACAGAAAGACAAGTTTCAGTGTGATGGTTTTTAAGAAATGACTTAGCTTCTATCTGAATGTGAGGTGTGTGTAAGTATTTAATAGAACATTATGAGGTGTGTGTGTGTGTGTGGATGTTTAATACTGACCGAACACTATGAGGCGTGTATGTGTGTTAGTGGAGCCCAGTGGGTTCTCTGCAGTGCAGCGGTACATGGAACCGTTGAGCTCTGCAGGAACTCTCTCCAAAATCAGAACCTTCCCTTCCCTCTCAGCACTGCCATCCAGCAGCAGCCCCCCGACACGTGTCCATGTGAACAGAGGCTCAGGAAACACCTCATTCTGCAGCACACAACCACAAAGAAATACCTTTTAGAACATTAAGCCCTTAAAATTCAGCATTTTATTGTTATTCATCTTAAGTCTTATGATTTAGTGTTACTTGATAAGGACTTTTGACTGTGCTGAGCTTGTTAAATTATGGAATGTCTTCTGGAAAATGGATGTACCAGAGCATTGCTTAGTTATAATAAGGAACCTTTACACTGACAAACAAGCCAGTCAGAAAACTGAGAAAGAGACTGGTTCCACATCATTCCACAGGCGTAGGACAAGGGTGCCCATATCTCCATACTCGTTCAAGCAGTATGCTTAACACATGAGGGAACTGGACTGAAGGAGGATGAGCAAGATTCAAGGTGGAAGAAACATCAATAACTTCTGATATGCAGATGAAACGAGACTCACAGGGGAAAATTAGGAAGATCTGAAGGCCCTTATGAGGAAAGTTAAAGAACAGTGTGAATAAATGGGACTTCAGCTCATTAAATTTACCATTGATGGTGAAGATGTAAAAGTGGTGGATAGCTTTTGCTTAAATCTGGATCAGTTATTAACAACAGAGAATCCAGCATCCAACAAGGATGAAGGAGCTTGAAAAGAGCTACAAATATAATGTATTTCTACAAACAAAGATCAGAACTGTCCATGCTGTGGTCTTTTCTGCAGTTCTTTATGGATGTAAAGCTGGACAGTAAAAAAGCAAGACAAGACAAATAATAATGGCTTTGAACTTTGGTGCTGGTGAAGGCTTTTGGGATTACCTTGGATGGCAAAGAAAACAAATGGATTCTTGATCAAGCAACCAAACTCTTTTGGACATATGACAAGTACCAATTCATTGGAAAAGGCTATAATGCTTGGAGGAGGTGAAGGTAAAAGAGAAAGAGGATGACCACCAACAAGATGGATGGACACAATCAGAGATATGAACAAGCCATTAGGAAGCCTGAAGACCCAAACAGAAGACAGGACATTCTGAAGAAACACTATCTATGGTTGCCAAGTCTGAGCCAGAACTGACTTGAAAGCACTTATTAATAATACTATGACCCTAATATGTAAGGCATGTAATTATGACAGCAAAGAAGTGGCGTCTTAATTAAAATGTTAACATAATTAAGAAAACCTAAAACTACATTGCAATAGATCAGCGGTCTCCAGCTCAGGTCCTGAAGGGCTTTTGTCCAGCACGGTTTGGTAAGTGTTCTGCTCACATTCACCTGATTTAATTCACTTATCAATCACCATGTTTTGTTGGTGTGTTTGAGCAGGAAAAATCACCAAACTGTGCTGGATTCCCACCCTCCGGGATCAGGACTGGATACCCCCGCAATAGACTGTTACTCAGGATTAGTGTAACATTAAAGCTGATTTATTCAAATGTATTATTTATTACATGACACTAAATGCCTGAAAAGAGGAGAGATTTAAAGGAAATTAATGTTCACTCACAGTACCACAGTGCCTTTGGTAATATTCATTATTTTAAGTATGCATACATTGCTCATATAAGAATCCTAATTTAAATTCCAGAAGCCTCCCATTGCTTCCAGCTATACTTAAAAACACCAAGGCAGTAGTCCAAGAAATGAAATGTAGCAATTATTTAAACTATGCCAGGAGAGTTAACCAATTGATACCAATAGGATTTCAGATTAAAATGTCAAAAATATTGCAAATGGTACCAGCTCTATGAGACACGCTTAAATGTCATCCATCTTCAATGTGGCATTTATCTTTAGAAGCGTCTTATGATCTTACCCCCTTTGTTCCCACTTGGAATCCCTCCACACTGATGCGAACTGTATCTCCCACTTTTGCTCTGCTTGGAGTCATGGAGAGTTTAGGTCCCTTTGGAGCAGCTTAGGAAAGTGAGATACAAAGAAAAAATGAACAAACTGGCTGCTGACACATACTTTAGTGCCCATCTCTGGTCCTGGGGATCTTTTATCCTGGAGAGTTTAAGTGCAGTGCACCAGCCTCTAATATTCAGGTGCTCTTAAAGGCCTTGATCTGGATTTATCTGGATCAGCAGTAACACATGGAGTAGTAACCAACAGATTTGAACAGAAAAAAACAAGAATAAAGAGCCAAGATAGATCATCACCGAAAAAAAGTGATGTACTGAATTTACAGTTTCACATTAATAAAATGTATTTCACAATTGTTCCCAATACTTCAACTAATGAAAAAAAGAAACAAAACTGTGTGTCACATTTGACTATTTTTTAAGGTCAGAAGGGGTTGCATCATATTTGAGGTTTAAAATATATTTTTTACTGTCAAAGCCATTTCAAAGAAAAAAGTGAGGAAAAAACAGACCACTGATGTCTTTGGTCGTGTATCAAACAGAGAGAGGACCCAGCTCCCAAGAATCATCCTTTCAGACTCATACACAAACACAACAGAAACCTACCCACTCACTCAACTCCTTCAAGCTCCCGCACACTCACTCACACACTCACACACAACAAATAAAAGCTCTATCTCCTTCAAATTCACAACAGAAAAGGCAGTCTTACCAACTGGGAATACAAAACTAGCCAAAGTAGGGGCTGGAACAGACTATATATTTTTATATGGCTGGGTGTTGTGATGCATTTACATTTTCAAAGTTTACTCAGAAGCAACCCGATTCACACTGAAGCGACAGAACAGAGATGACTACAGCTACAATAAGAAAGGGAATGCACAGTGAAGTCTATAAAGGCAGCTTAGGTAAACAAATTTACCTCAGTTATTATACGCAGCCTACCTCAGATCGAGTTTTCTGTTTCTGTCGAGAGTCCATGGAGTTCCAGTCTGGATTCAACGCTGGCTAAAATCCATACTTTTCAATTAAGATAAGATAATCCTTTATTGGTCCCACAGTGGGGAAATTCACAATTTACATCTGAATGCAAGTCCAAAGCCAATCTTTAAATCCTTTGTGACAACACATCCAAATGTTTCTCAGAACAAATTATGTGTTTGTTGTAGTTTGGTTCATTTATGTCATCAGCAACTTTTTAACTGTTACCTCTTTCACAGTCTTTCAGTGGTTTGTGATAGAGGCTGGCTTTAGTTCTTGAATAAATTGACCACGACTCTTGGACAAAATGTGGAAATGATGTACATATTTGAGTCAAGTAATTTTAATGCATTACATGTCAGATTGTTTCATGCATATCAGATTACTATTCGAATAGGAGTATACCTAACAGTTTGTTCATCTTTTATTGTTACTCTGATGACACATATCAAAAATAAGCCCTAAGTGGTCTGTATTTCACTCAGAATGCACATGTGTATTCACTCAGAAAGTATCGCAGTGCATCCAACAATAAAGGCAGCATCACCCTTCCTTTATATGGTGGCTGAAAACACGGCCCCACACAGAAATTTCCAATTCCACATGCTGATACATCCTATTATGCACAATTTTGACATGTATATGTCAAACTATTCTGGTGGCAGAGTTTAAAGGGGATATTGGGACTTTAAATGTACTGCCAGAGAGATGTTTGGTAGAGTTATTAGCCTAAAAGATCAGGGTTGGAACTAAACTCTACAGGACAGTAGATATCCAAGATCAGATTTGGAAACACCTGCTTGGTTTAAAGTTGTGTAACTTTTCATACTCACAAAGTGTAACTTCGGCCTGCATGGGCATGGAGAGGGCAGGATGTTTAACTTCACAGCTGAAGAGGGCGTCGTTGTCCAGCTGCGGGTTTAGGTGCCAGGTGAGCATGGCCTGCACCTCCATGGTGCCATCGCTGAACTCCGTCTGCGTGTGGTTAAAGTAGTAAAGCGGGCTGGAGCTCAGCACCCAGCGTGGAAACTCCCGGCTGACCACAGTCTCTGGGATGATCTCAGTGGTAGGCCGGGGACCTTCTTGGCCAAGGGCTCCCGGGGTATTGCTCTGATGGGGCCGGACATTGTCCAGCCGCACTGGCTCCACATCTGGCTCGAGGAGAGACAGGGACTTCTGCAGCTTAGTGTCGTCCAGGTCCCGGCTGATCAGAGGCCTGCTTTCTTTGGCTGAAAACAAGCCTCGGCTCTCAGCTGCCTCGCGGGGTTTGTCAGAAGGGACCACCTCAATTAGCTCACCGTCCCGCTTAAAGTACACCTGAGAGAGAAGGAACCACAGCAAGGGAGGGTGAATAAGAGATGAAAACATAAAAAGGTTAATTAACAAAAGAGTGGTGAAATGTGATATTAATTATTTCTCATTCATAATTCGTTGAAACAAGTAGAGAAATTCAGCCAACAGTGCGGATTCTGAACTTTCAATCGATTTAGTGTTTGTCTTTGGAAGCAGAAGAGGAGATGTTTAATTGGATTTGAATTAGTGAATCATTACTGTTATGTGCATCGGCTTGTTTCAGAGAAAAAACATGTACATGTTTTGAATGTAACATTTACATGTTTGCAATGTTTTTGTCATTGCTTCCGACAAACAGAAAAAGGCTGCGGGAGCACAGCAGGAACAAAATTAAAAGTAATTCATTGCATAACTCACAATTAAATATGTAGCTACAGTTAAATAGTATAGCAAGCCCTTGTTAATCCTTTAAACTGCAGGTTTATTATTCAGCCTTTAAGCCCACTGGCAAATGAAGCTCCCAAAGTGTGTCCTCTTTTTCTTTCATGAAAGATTTTTAAAGATTTACGCATGAAAGAATACAATTGTACAAAGGGGTTTTATAGATTTAGGGCAATAAATGTTGAATCTGGTAGTTGGCTACAGAAAAATCAAAAATTTTTCAAAATCTCTACATAATTCAATCATTAAGATGTAAAGAAGGTCATTCATAGTAGTCATTCAACGTACAGAGGCAGAATTGTTTACAGTGTCAGTGATAGGAACCAGACGTCCAAAGACTTACTTTACTCCCAAAGCTACAACACAGTTATTATAGGAAATGGTTACAAATGTGTTGCCTGATGGTTAAGACATTGTTTTATGATAGTTTTGAGAAAAGCTTTTGGACTAAAATGTATTTTTTTATGGCAGAGTGATATTTCCAGTGTGTTACAAGGCAAAATAGTCCACAAAAAACTTCAGATTTGACACCATTACCACTTTCAACTTTACATGTAAAAACTAAGAAGACACACGTAGGTTCAATGGTTATTTCGGATAGTATATACAATGGCTATAAGTCAATAGGTTTCTCTACAATTAACCATTTCACATCAAACCACTCTGAATGACTTTGTCTACATCTCAACCATTAAATTATGCACTTCAGTGGAATTCCCTTTAAGAACAACTATGCATTATTCAATAAATATTATGTATAAGTTATAAGTTGTTATAAGTTTTCAGAGTAAGGAACTGAAATGTGGGCCCACATACGGTTCCTTAGGGTTTAAGTGGTTATTTCAGTGAATCTAAAACATTTGTAGTGCTTCTGAGGTCATCAGCTCACACGTGAGGAATTTTCATTATCACAATAATAAATCACCAACTGACCACAGGCGCGGGCTTTCCTCCCGTCACGATGCACACGAGTGTGAAGTTTTGGGCCTCGTAGCGATTGAATCGTGTCGGTTGGTCTGCCGCAATTACAGAGATGGATTTCGGAGGTGCTGAGAGGGAAAAAGTCGGTTGTATTCATTAGTGTATCAAATCATGCAGAAGGTCAGAGAGAGGATACAGCTCTGGAGCATCCTTAAGGCCAAAGATAGTTCACAGAGGAAGTTCAAAAGGTTCATTAGAAGAGCCCACAGCCATGTTCAATGCCAGACCTCACAGCAATCTGCTCACCAAAACTCTAATGTAAGAAACCAGGCTCATCATTACCTTCTAACTATGTTCAGCATGTTAGCATAATCCTTTTTCAGCATCTAACCCTGACGATTTTGACGTATATCAGTGCTTAGCAGATCACTACAAGAGCTTCTGCACACATCTCGCTCTTCATGTCACAGCATGCTCTCCTCTGGAGAGTTACTCACTCAATTAATCAAAGCAAGCTAGAGCAGTTGGCTTAACATGCTTTTGAGTTCCCCCTGAGACCCACAGGCTAATAGGTAGCTCAAAAACAAGGCAAAAAAAAGCTTGTACTGCTTTTAGAGCTGCTGCTCATTTAGGAAAAGCATTATCTACTCTCTCTCCTAGCATTAGGTTTTAGCATAATGCTAAGAGACAGTAGCATTATGTTAAATTGCTTTAGTGCATGGACTAAACAAACATTTCATTAAGTCACTGATTCATTTAAAATTAAAGCATTAAAATTGATCAGCATTAGACATCATCCACAGAGGATAAATGATATAGTGAACTGAATATGGTCTAACCCCCAGTCTTTCATCCGCATAGGCTGTGTGAGAAGAATCCCAATTCTAATGCTGCCTTCACATGCTATCGGAATTCCCAACTTGGAGTTCCCGATTTGGAAGTTTGATACCCGAGTTCCTGAGTCGAGGTGACGTGCAACCTTTCAACATGGCAGAGGACAGTTTGACTATTGGATGGTGCATAATTCTTTATTTTTAACAGTGCAACCGTTAATGGTTGTTTGCGCACGTCATTTTAATCTGTTATCTAGGTGCATTACAGAATCAAAGTACGATTTTCCCAAGATGCCGGTGAGAATGAACCACAACGACAACAAAAGCACTTGAACTCATACTCGTAATTCCGACTGCACAAGTGGGAAGTAATATCTTCCAACTAGCACATGAAGGCAGCGAAAGTACAGGAAAGAACCAATTACAGATAAACTGATCTTAGCCAAAGCGCACTGCCCAGCTTATCCCAGGTGGAAGAGCACTAACATTGGAGGTGATAGTGGTCTATGTAAACAGGACTGGAACCTACACATAACAGCAAGTGTTATGCTTCCAGATGCTAAGACCACCTTGTCTCTGGACGCCCTGTCGTAGATCCCCACGTGACATTCATACGGCCCGTTGTCTTCCATTTGAACCTCAGGGAGCCTAGTTACAACACAGAGAATGAGAGAATTCATTCTGAATAGATCGCATTAATGTGCCATGGTACATTCTGACAGGAACCCAACAGGTAATATCAAATGTAAGCCACGACTCAGCTGGACGTGACCTTTACCTCACAGTTGACTGGTAAACAAGGTCTTCTCTTCTGCGAAAATCCTCCATGTGAGAGAAATTGGTATTGTACATGGCATCATAAGTAAATATCTTCTGCTTAGAACTACCACCCTCTGTAACCTACAAAAAACATTAAAGAGTTACTCAGAAATGGATACTATAACCATGTGGGTGGGAAGTAATTAACAAACCTATCAATATGTCAACTGAAATGCTTCCGTGAAACTTTCATCGCAATTTTAATTGGTGAAAAGGGTTCGAGAAGTAGAGATCTCTGGACCCTTTCCAATCAAGCGGAAGTTTGTGCTTGAGTCAAGCGGAGAGATCGGCTGCGATTTACGCTTTACTGAGTAATTAATAAAACGGAACCGCTCTGGTGTTCAGCAAATGAAGTGACAGAGTTTTATTAAAAATGTCATCACATCATGAAAGACGAAATAGTTTTTGGCCTGCTGCTAATGCGCTGTAATTGAATGCTGTATCTGGAAACTCATCTGTCAAGGCTGTGGCACAGCATGCCAAAAAAAGATCCCAAAATGAAAAAGGCTTGTCCTAGAACCACTGAACCATGAACTCTTAATCCTGCATATATTTTCATATTTTACTCGCCTTTCCACTTATACTGTATCAAAAAGTAGGGGGGGATGGGGGCAAGGGCTAAAATACTTATGCAAGAAATTAACTACTGCCAGTTTAACAAACCAGTATTATTGATGGGGGTGAATGCAGAGATTGAGCCCACTCACCCGAAACCACACTATTTCTCTCAGGTTGCCGTCAGTTCTGAAATTGCACTTCAAAGTCACTGTATCGCCCATGACCACGGGGGGTAGAGGCTCAATGGTGACTGTTAAATACCCTGCGGGACAGAAGAAAGATCACATGCTGAACCTTTAGCAGCCCAGATTGCATTTTACCAAATAACAAAGGTTGCATGATTAATATAATCTTACAATTTTGAGCTTAATTAATAAGCAATCAAACTTCGATATGTTTTACGACACACTATATGCCCAAAAGTATACAGCCCTTCTAATTTATGACTTTTAAGGGGCACCCATTGCTGACACAGGTGTTTGGGTCAGCATACACAGCTTGTGTACTCACCACAGAAAAGCATTTTCAATAGACTCACATGCTCTGCAGCAGCTGTACATGAGCCTCAGGATAAAGCCCCCCAGCATTGGTCTGTGGAGCAGTAGAACCGCATTCTCTGGAGTGATGGAGCTCTATCCAATATCTCTGGGATGAGTTGGAGTGGTGTATCTGACACTAATCACCCAACATCAGTACCTGACCTCACTAATGCTCTTGTGGCTGAATGCAATCAAATCCTCACAGCAATCTTCCAAAATCTAGTGAAGAGTAGAGACTGTTTGTGCAGCAAAGGGGGAAAAACTCCCGGTTAATACCCTTGGATTCAGAAGAAATGTTGGATGAGAAGGTGTCTCTTTTGGACATATAGTGTACATGGTTAAAAAAAGGTTGACTGAAGTTTGAGAGTAATAAATCACACATGATGATAAGAAGTTCAGTTGGAACCCCAGAGATGGACAAATACATTTCTGATGATAAAAATGATGCAAACCCCAGTTTATACAGAGGTTGAAAGCACTCACTGCTGAACGGCTGAGATTTTCTAAGTGATCTAATCAATATTTCATGCGGTTTAAAACCAGCCGACTCAGCTCGGCTGCTAAACTAATATTTATCTACCAAGTACAAATAACTGGGTTTAATCATCCCAAATGTAATATATCATTGTTTTTTTTCGAAACATTTCATAACAGATATGACCAGTAATGAAAAGAAAGACCTGAATTTAAAGTTGTCACTGAATGAGAATGCCCTCAAGTAGATTTTGCAACCTACAGGTTTATTACGTGTTAAGGAAAGATATTAAAAGAGCTCTGTAGCTATAGGTCAACCATCCATCTGTGACCATGCATTAGAAAAAGATGTTCTGCAGCTTAGTGCATTACGTAACAGTTATTGCAAGGTCATATGTATTCATCGCAAATAGTTTAAAGCTTAAAGTGTACTAAATGTAATCACATGGTTTTTAGTAAATCCTTCATCAACCGTGCACTGTTACACTGCTGTTGCAGACCTACAGTGCTGAATGAAACAACTTGCCGACCAAACACAAACAGCAGCAAGTATCTGTTGAGACACTTACCACCAGTTGCTGACATCCATAATTGTTATAACAGACATAGGAAGGAAATGACCCAATTGAAATGGGATGACCCCATATTACCCCAACATGAGCGGCACATCGTTCAGAAACTGAAATGCCAATTGACACAAATGAGGCAGCCCTGTTTTGAAGAGCACCTTGAGTACAGACCCATTCAGACAGCCCCCATGTGATAAAGAGAACTCAGTGTGGGAAGCAATATAATCTGTCACAAATTCAATGACCTACAAAATCCCCCAGTTCCTCCGTATTGGCTCATCCATGGTGACGTCAGCGAATGGATTATTTTTTCATGTTTTTTTCCCTCCTCTCTAATCCATGAGCTTTTCTTCCATCAACCAAGTGGTTCTGCATGCTGCCCCACATGCAGCTCAGACACCGAGGCCACAAGGTCCTGCGATTCTGTGGGCACTTAGCAAAAATCATATGCGTAATGCTAAATATAAGGACCTTTGGCTCTGAAACATAAAATTTCTCATGGAAAGGACCACGGAGCTGTGGTCAAAAGCTTGACCACAGTGACAGTGAAGAGGTATGCACTTTAAAGACATCTGCACACATCTAGAGGGATTAGCCAGCTGTGTGAGATGATAGCATCCTGTTAGCTAAGCATGCGCTAATGCAGCATTTCCCAGTCCTGCTCATGGAGTCCCCCTGAAATTTTTAGTGTTTTCCCTGCTCTGACACACTGCATTCATCTAATCAGCTCATTAATAAACACCTCAGGAGGTTAAAACGGGTGTTTTAGGCTGAAAAAAGAACCATTAAAAAGTGTAGCGCAGGGCTAACAAAGGAGCACCACTGCATCGGAGGCTTTCCATTATCTTGTGAGCTGCAGGAGCTGGATAATAGCATTATAATTTCAGTCTTACATTTTAATTACACTTTGCCAGTTCAGTCATTTTTCTTTACTTAGCTGTTTCATGTAATTATCCAATCTGGAACCTATACACTGCTGACACAGCGTCTTCTCAAAGTGAAACATTCTCAGCTTCTAAACATTTAAGCCAGTATCTAGACATGCTAGGCCGGACTACAGAAAACTGCACCAATGTTATGCAACTGTACAATCTTTATGACGAAGAGTCAAATTGCACTTCAGAAAGTATATCAGTGATTCATATTATTAGTCAGTGACATAAGTGACCTTTTATTATTTGATGTGCAGATTTGAAATAAAAAGTAGTGATACATAAGAAAATGGAGTCACATTAATTTTCTTTCACAATCTCCATGATCTAGTACTATTTTATGACTACCTGGGATGTTAAATTGAATTTTGGTCATGATCTAGTGTTGAATTCTATAGTTCCCTGTGAGTGAAACTATGTAGTTGTGTGCATCATGAGTGAAAGAAAGAGTCAGTAAGCCTTTTCTCGTCACGTGGATAACTGGCCATTGGATTGGCCAGAAGAAAATGACTGACACTTATTTGAAACACGTTCTCCAAACAGGCAGGCTGATTTCATTACAGCGGTTGAATGGCAAGGTTACGTATTATCCAGTACCTACAAACAGGCCAAGCTGCAATAACTCATCAATCTGAAGTAAATCATTTGGTTTCAACCCAAAGTGAACAAATTTGTTTTTTTTTTTAATTAAATTTAATCTTAAATTAAATCAAATATGTGTGGGAAACCATGTTCTTCGAGGAAGTGCATCCATTCTTATATTGTTAAATCCCAGTTCTTATTGGTGTAACTCTCAATCACTTCATGTTTAAAGCTTCACATGAAATCCTTGTGATGACTGAATCTTGGAAAAGGCAAAACTGATGCTAGCTTTAACTTATAGTCTGTACCTAAAGTCTATATTCCTAAGCTTAGATTGAAAGTCTGGAAGTACAGAAGGGAAATCAAAACAAAAGTTACATTCAAGGGCACATCTGCACAACTGCTCACTGACATGACATCCAGCTAGTAAGCATTACTGAAGTACTGCTACAGTAAGGACTTTTCAGAGGCTGTCACAGAGATACAGCTGTAATTACTGGATAATCGTGACTGTCTAACAAGCACTGTCACACACACACTTAAACAGTGCATCTTTGCTGTGCATCGAATGTTATGCAACTGTACAATCTTCAGTAATGAACAGTCAGAAACCACTTCAGAAAAGATGACTGAGTGATTCACACTATTAGTCATTGACATTAGTGACCTTTAATTGTTTTATGTGCAGATTACCTCCCCCAAAATGTGGGTCAGGGAAAAAGCTTAAGCTTTTATTCCTCAGCTATTAATCTGAGTCATTGAGGGTCATGAAACATGGTCTCCACTGAGACAGCACCCAGCCTGAAATGAAATCAGTAAGGCAGAATACACCACAGCACTACAATGTTCCAAAGATGCAGGCTGACAAGGATAAAGGCTAAAATGCTGGACTGCTTAATGCCTGTCAGTGTGATAAGAGCATATTACACAGTAGAACTGGACGTCTGCAGTAAGTGGACATCACCTAGTTGAGATGAATGGTGGAAGTTAACGTCAGTGAGGGGGATGTACTGGACTACTGCTGCAATACACAAGGTGTCCTTTCACTATTTATACACTACTTGCCTTTCCATGGCAAAGCTGCCTCTGAAAACGCCCACGGCTCACATGTTGAGAACAGTCCACGCTTGCTTCGCCTCTTACTGACCTCTGGCCGGCTGAGTTTGCATTAAAGCCACTGTGCACATCCTAATGAAATTCTTCAACAAGGAAACAAAGTAGGTTAACATGAAAAAAGCACCGCTTACCCTTCACTGAGTCCATCAGAGTGGAGCACAGGAGCAGGCATAAAGTGACCAGGAGGTTCATTTTCGAAGCTGAGCTGAAAGAAGCCATAAGTGTCGCATTCCCATATTCTCCTTAGACCTCCTTGGGTGGTACATGCGCCCCCCATCCCAAAGTGACTGCGCCGGGCAAGTCGTCAGGGCGCTCCATGTCTTTTCATCCGGGCTAGATTTGCTCCGATCTCTGTATTCCTGTCAGCGCGGCGCCTGCGGGTCTGTGCTGCATCCAGAATTACATGGGGCAGAGAGGGATTATCGCAGCAACAGCTTCCACTGAAATTCCCTCGCTCGCTCGCTCGCTCGCTCGATCTCTCGCCCGCGCGCCGCGCACGCGCGCGCTCCCGCTCCCAGCGCGCGCTCCAGTGAGCTGCTGCGCAGCCTCCAGCAAAGCACAACACAGCAGAGCGCACTTGAGCGAGCGTGAACGTCAACACACTCTATAACAGGGGTTAAGCCCAGAGACGGATCCTGGTCTCAACGAGGCCACTGGGCACAAAGGTGTTTGGAGGCCCCTCTACCCCCCCACACTCTGACAGTAATGCAAAAAAATGACCAAAACATAGACCTGCGAAAAGGGCCCAAATTATGGAAAATTGTGTTGTCTCACTTTTTTTGTTATAAAATTGCTTGTTGTAGTTTCAAAATATACTGTTCACTCACCCGTTCACACAGTCCATAAATACAGGGCCAGCTCTAGCCTTTCGGAGGCCCTAAGCAGGACGTTTTGGGGGCCTATCTTGCTAGCTGATGTGCTGTGAAATTAGACTAAAAATTAGGCTAACTAATAACAACAACTGAATTATGTACATTTATAACATGCTTATTTGTGCATTGTTTATGATTAGATCATTGTTTGTGGTTCTAACACGTTACGTTATTGTAAATTCCGGATAATCTGGATCCAGGGCTCAGCACGCAGTATTTCTTGCTTATCTAGCTAACTTTAAACTTCGTTCGGTCCAGTTCGGTTTTCTTAGCATTATTACTTTTTCCTCACCTTCATGTATCATTACTGTTTGTCATGATTTCATGTGCACGCACGCGAGGATTAATCACAGTCCGAGTCTCTAAACCTGGATTAATGGAGAAAGTTGTTAACCGCTGTTGTAAAACAGGTTAACTGTGTCTGTGTTTGTAAATTAATAAGCTGTAGTACAACTTCAGTACAACTTGCTGAACAACTATAAGCTATGGCAAATGGTGTAATGTCAACACTACAAAAACCACTCCTTAATCTTTAAGCTTTTTCTCCTCATCTTTTTCTTTTCTGTTTTTTTGGCTCCAGATGTGTATGTTCTTTTTTGATACATGATTAACCAGCTACTCCTTTCTCCTCATTTGAGCATCTTAAACAACACAATCATACCATAGTAACCCAGAAGTTGTTAGGAGGCTCTCTAACAGTCACGGGGCCCTGAGCAGCTGCTTATGTCGTTTATTAGGTAGAGCCAGCACTGATATACGGAAACTAAGCTGTAAAAACAGCTTTTTAAAAAATTCAGTGTTTCAGTGATGTCACAAAAAAACAGTTCATTTGCATAAACCCACCTATTCAGTTTACAGCAGTTAAGCCTTGCCTACTCATGCTGAAATTAAAAGGACTGTTATATCTCAGACTTTTTAAAGGAGGCTCAATACAGGGCAGCCAATCAGAACGGAGGTCATTTACGTTCTTAAATTAGTTTAAAGGCATAGTTACAAAAACAGCCTGTTCTATTCTATAGTTAACAGAGAGGTTGGAAAATGGCCCTGTAAAATGAACTTAGACAGTTTTTGGTATCTAAAGGCATGTAAACAACATAAATTGACCTCAATGAAAAATATTAATTATAATGAAAATCTTACACTAAGCCAGCCCCTCCTGCTCTTTCTCCTCACTAGGTTAAAGCGAAGGGAAGTCAATGAAACATAGCTGAACACCCTGACACAGGGCACCGATGTAATCAACTCAGTATATAAGAAGGGATTACAGCCAACAGGCAGATCTGTCCACCGTGCTTACAGTGAAAGCAGTGATGCATTGAATTGAACTGATTCAAATGTGCACATCGTTTCCACACGAATAAAATACATCAACACAGTTTAGCCTTTCAGTTTGCTTACTTTTGGCAAGAACTGTGTTGATGTAATATGTTTTATTCATGCAGAAATTATGTAGGGCTGAGCAGAGATTACGCTAACAAGGGGTAAAATGTAACAGAAAGTGCTTTTAGTCATCTTCAAATTTGACACCAGTCAGACAGATATTTCTCTAGATTCACCCTGAAGTCATATAATTCACAACATAATTATTTTAACCTGTAACAGGACCGCTTTAAAATGTAACACAGCAAGAATTAGCCAGGCTAAAGTATAGCAACCCTTCACACAGTGGGGTCCTAATTAAGCCATCCAAAGTAAATGAGAGTCTATTAACCCCTCATAGAAACACAAAAAATACATTTTTGGAACTATTAATTCACAGATGCATAGGAAACACTTTATAGAGATGCTGTGAATAAAAGATATTTCAATTTTATCTTTTTACTCATCATATTTTTCTGATGCATATACAGTGTGAGTCTGAGACCACTGGTTCCATTTTGGATTCCCTTCTAATTTCTCTAAATAAATAGTAAGATTTTCATTGCAAACACATCACAACTTGAATAAGAAGGCAGAATCTTTCAAATTTTAACATGAATTTCAGAGTTTTTTAGTGTTTGATATGTCCTTCTTTTGCTTTAATCACAGCAGGCACTCGGCACTTGATCAGGCACAGACTCCACGAGTTTGTGCAACAGCCTCTGATGAGCAGATCAAATGCTCCTGAGAGTTGTCTGAATACGTGCTTCACTAGAAGAGATAGGACTAAAAAATGACCTTTTTTTTTTACAACAGTTTCAACATGGTCAGGGTCACAAATTTCCCTAAACTTGAAAAGTGACCTAGTCTAGTGCATAATCTCGAATATTAGAATCTCTTCTTCACTTTAATTGTTATAACTAACAATATATAACAGTATAACTGTTACATTTTCCAAAAAATGAAAATGTTCTGTTGTTTATTTCCAAGTTTAAATGAAAAAAATCAATGTGGTCTTGGTCTTTTCACCCCAGTGTATTTGTATGAATTTTGGTTGGAGAGCCCATTTGGCAGCTCAAACAACATAACTGTATTGAATTTATTGTGATTACACACATTTACCAGACTTTTCTAGCTACTCTTAAAAAAACATTTTCTACCCACGCCACATCTGGCAGAATGGTTCACTAACGGTGCACGAGACGTAATGTAAAAAATATAAATCTTGCTCAATTTTTCAATATTATTCAGCTAAAAGCAAAGTATGTAAGGATGTACTCCCTACATGTTTGAATCACTCACTGCATGCCTTTTTCTTCAATGCATGCTCAGTAAAGTCATGACAAATTCATGATTAAAAGAGGAAATGGAATATTAATTGAAAGTTTTTTTCCCCCCGCAACCTTACACAAGCAGTGCAAGTATTCAGAATCAGTCTTGGCTTTGCCCTTTTGTGTCCTGCTGAGTTGAAAGGATTTGAAAAAGACTCTGACGGGCACAAACGAGACACTGCGGCACTCTAAATAATCACTGTCTGTTTTTGCACAGTTAGGTGCTCTTGAAGTTCGTAAACACAAAACACCAAACACTAAAGCAATTGTTCTATTCAAACAAAGAAAAGTAAAGGAATTATCTTGACTATAGCCTTCAATTAGCCATAATCACTTGCTGGATTACCCCCACGGGCCAATCAGGCATCTTCAAACACAAGACTCCTACCAGCATGAAATATTTATCAGTTGCTAGGCCTATAGAGTACTTTAATGCACCTCAGACTCAGCAACATTCCTAATAGAGTTACACTGTGTTTCTCAGTTTTATAGCTGAAATCATACCTGTCCTCCAACTCCAGCACTGTACACACATAGGCCCAATCCCATTTCACCCCTCGCCCCCACCACTTAGCCCTTAGCCCTCTGTTTTGACTTCAGCTTCATATCACTGAAGAATTAGGGGGGGTGGTGATAAATGATCATTGATTCCCCCCTATTAACTAAATTAACTAAAGATCATCAGCGAGGTTGCTAAACTTTACTCTCCTCTGCTATCAGACTGAAAAACAAGGGGTAGGGGTAAATATGAGAAATGGCATTGGGCCTTAGTTTTGGACTGACTTGGTTTTCTTATACTTTTTTGCTTTTTTGCTACAACGTGAATGTAAAACACTGGATTTTTTCACACTTTATACACCAAGAAAAAACTATGCACTGAAATAAATTATTCCAAATGAGTTCATTATTTCCACATGAATAACATACGCATTCTCTGGTCACTTAATTAGGTACATCTACCTTCTGTCTACTCTCATTGCCTGCGTTAACAGATCCACTTTCCATACAGATTCACTTTGTACATCTCTAATTACAGAATGTAGTTTATCTGTTCTCTGAATAATTTGCTAACCCTAAATTGCATAGACGTTAGGACAGTATGTGATATGCAAATAAAAACAGAAACAATGATTTGTAAATCCACTGTGCCCTGAGTTTAAACGAAAACAGTACAAAGACAAGAAATTTAATGTTTTACCTTATCAACTTCATTATTTTTGGTAAATATACAGACATTCTGAAACGCCTGCAACATGATCCAAAAATCCGGTTGATTTATCAGTCTACTCAGGCTTTAGCAGAGCTCAGGAACACCGAGATTAATAACTGATCATCACACTGATTTATCAGTCTACTCAGGCTTTAGCAGAGCTCAATAACTTGGTTCACAAGTGTGGTATTTGGTAAAAGGTGGTGCTTTAAAATCGTAAAGAAGTGGCATCATGTTACATTTCTGTGTCTATTGTGCAAAAGTGTGTTTAGTGGTCTGCAAACTTCTAGAACCTGAGAATAACTCAGCCAGTTTGCACTGAAGTCTCTGTAGTTACTGAATAATAAGCCTAATTTGTGACAAGGCTGGGATTTTAAGGGGTTAAGAACAACATTACCCAACAAGAGACTGCAAGGATTTTAGGTATGTCACTTCTACAGGGAGTGCTATTATCAAAAGATTCAGGGAATCCAGAGAAATCTCTGTGCGTAAAGGGCAAGACCAAAAACCACTGAATGGCTGCGATCTTCAGTCCCTCAGACATCACTGCACTGCTTCTGTGATGGATATCACTGCATGGGCTTGAGAATACTTTGACAAACCAATGTCAATAAACACGTTGCTGCATCCACAAATGACTCCACCATGCACAGAGGAAGCCATATGTCAACAGCATCCAGAAAAGCCACCCACTTATCTGGGCTTGAGTTCATCTGAAACATGTATTGTGGGCAACCTTTCAGATTGTTCATGAAAATAATGAATGATGTGTTTTCTGGACCAAAAAGAAAAGGACAATAGAGATAGTTACCAGTGTAAAGTTCAAAAGTCAGGGTCTGTCATGGTATGGGGGTAACTTAAGGCCCATTTCATGGGTACCTTGCACATCTGAGAAGGCACTATTAATGCTAAAAATATATATACGTGTTTTGGAGCTACACATGCTGCCTTCTAGACAACATCTTTTTCAAGGACACTAACACGTATCTCACAGTGACAATGTCAAGCAATAGTCTGCATGTGTTACAACAGCATAACTATGTAATCAGAGAGTGCAGGTGCTAAACTGGCCTGGCCACAGAATGATGTTGGCTGGATATTATTGGTTGGTGGACTATTCTCAATCCAGCAGTGACACTGAGCTGTTTAACACTCCAGCAGCACTGCCTTGTGTGATTCACTCTGTTTAAAACACACACACACTTCATCATCTGACTACCATGTCAATGTCACTGCCGTGCTGAGAATGAACCACCACAAAATGATTTTGGGGGTCCTGATAAATAATACAAAGGGGTAGGGGGGTGGGCTAACAGATTATGCAGACAAAAAGCTGTACTACAAACGGCACCTGTAGAACAATAAAATGCACCTCTGTGGTCAGCTGACCTGATAAAATGGACAATGTGTAGATACAAAGTAGATGTATCTAATAAACTGGACAGTGAATCTACTGCATCAACATAAATGTCTTAGTTTACATACTATAAATAAAACTGTGTTGTCGCATCTGAATCAAGTGCAGAGTTTTTTTCAGTGTAGTGCATTTTACTTCCCCTTTTATCGTTTCCTTTTGTACAGTATAAACTTAATGCAAAAACTAGGTTTAACAATGGATTTGTGATTAATAAAACATATCACGTTCAAATAACACGAACAAAAAAGTCCCCCCAGAATCCCACCAGGCAGGGATTATCATAGTTCCGGCTTTGACTGAATCCAGAGAATTCAAGTGCCATCACTTATTAGCAGTGCTGTAATTTCAGGAGACATCACGTCTGGCAGACAGCTCTGCCGGAATTTCCCACATCACGTTTGACACAGTATCTGTCAGGCATAAAGTGTGATTTGGTTTCCCCGTCACGTTGAGTTTGAGTCACTGCGTGCATACATTAGCCTGAGCGCGAGCTGCTTCATTCAGCGTCTACTGATATGTTTATTGGGAGGGCTGCCTATGGCTGCCCAGAGATAAGAGGATGAAAACGGGCACGGCATAAACATACGTTTCAGAGCTAAAACAGCAACGTTTCAAACAGCTTCAAACTGCTGTGCTTCGAGCCCCACAGTGCGACGTTCAAAATGAGACATCTTCAAAACAGCATGTTAAAGTCCGCTTTGAAAAGACTTGTTGACAACAGAAGAATGAATAATGGAAAAACATTGATTTCTGCATTGTCGTAAACATGATTTATTCTTTTCTTTTTTTAAACAAAGTGACACAGTGTAAAATAAGTACCATCAATAACGAGTACCTACGTCAAAACAAAACCCTTTTCTCTCTTAAGAATAGCTCTTTCACATTCTGGATCGAAGCAAAATAAAAAAAGACAATTGGAAGAGAATGACTCCGAGAAATTTCATCATTTACTTCTGTCTTCCTTTGTACTGCTACTGTATACATCCACAGTGGTGTTACATTAAATACCCTTTTTTCCCGTTATGCAAGAGACTAGATGGATCACGACCCTTTTGAATAGATTCACGACGATGACTTTCTGCACTCCATCTAGAAGAACAACTTCATGCAGCTCGAGCACATAAACCGGTTCAATCTTTTTTGACATTTTGAAACGAGTGTTTTGTTTTTTTGTATCTGTAAACTGGTATTATCTGTCGAGTCTGTGCTATGGAATAAAACAGGACAGAGTATATCCTACTGCTTATAGGCAAAGCAGTAGAGGTGTACTGCTATCCCTAAAAAAAAAGTGGCTGGAAGGATTTTGGAACACAGCTTAAGATGTACAAACGGAAACATACAGTCTGTCTGTCCTTAAGTGTTTCGTCAATCTTTCGTCTCGCAGACGTCAAGTCAGCATCTTTCAGTCTGTCACTCGTCACTGCTTCAGACCGTTAGTGGAAGCTGCCAGACCATGAGCGTATTCTCATTGGCGCCAGAGGAAGCGGAGGATGCGGAGCCGGCTACGGTGAGTCTACGGAATCCTCGTCCGCCTGATATAACAGCGGCTGACACCACCCTCTCTCTGCGTGTTCCCTCTTTGGTGGATGGCCCTGGGCCTCTGACCCAAACCTCAGGGTCGTCGCTCAGTTCGTAGATGGAGCCGTCCTCCAAAGTGTGTTCCAGAGACTCCTGGGAGGAATCAGAGGCTTCCTCAGGCCGAGCGGTGAGGAGTTTCCCGGGGAGCTGGGAGGTGGAGCGCAGTCGGTATTGTAGCAAAACTCCTTTGGGTTTGGCCTCCCTCTGGGGAGAGCCCTCCTCCTGCTGCTGCTGCTCTTTCAGTGACTCCTGGGATGAGTGGCTCCTCTCCCTGTCCTCTCCTCCGCTGCCTGAGTCCATCCCGTCAACCAGAGAGTCTCTCTTTAACAAGTCTGGGGACAAAGTGCTGCAGGTGGCCACAAGGAAGTCCACCGGGCCATTGTGAGCATTCAGTGAGGTCATAACTTTACCTGTAAGAGACAAGGAGGATGATCTGTGTCAAGGTTTGCACTAAGACTCAGGTTACAATAGTGAATTGTGTCCAGTGCTGGCTCACCTGTTATTTTAGGGATGCCCTCCAGTTTGGGCACTGGCAGGGTGACAATGATGCCCTGGGCAGTGCCCACCCACAACAGGCCCTGGCATATAAGCAGGCTGGTGACACACACGGTCCTGTGACCTATGGGAAAGAAAAATAACCAAGATGTGAATGTGTTGTTCTAAAACTAGCTCTACCTGCAGGTTTAAGAGGTTGGCTTTTGTGATTATCACGTCTCTACATTTTATGTTTTAATTACAGAATGATGAAAACTAAATCTTGGTTTAAAAGCACAGTTCAGTGTAGGGGTGCAAATTTGACAAATTCTTTATACCTAAAACTAACCATCCTTAGTCAGTGAGTAACTGCTAACAGTAAGCCTAAAATTGATGACGAGACCCATGAAAATGTAAATTAATAAACGAATAGTTCCGCATCTGAAATCTGAACTGAGATGCATTACGTTCATCATTATATGACCTAAAACCCCAAAATATACAATGATCAGCTATTGAAAGTTCTGTAGTCCAAAGTTCTGAAGTTACCACTAATTACTAGCACAAGTCAAAAGGAACATAAAGGCGAAGACTGGGGCTTAGCTTGGACCTCATTACCTTATTAACTTTCGAAAGCCCAAGCCATGCATCACACTTAATCATTTGCAGATGTTTGCTTTTGATATGGGTCACTGTTGTAGTTATTGTCCTGTCCCAGACACCACTATTTTTGGCTCTTTATTATTTAGTAGACCTATCAAGTGGAACTGACAATTGATCAGTTCAGCTTTAACGATAAACCTGACTATTCAAATAGGAACTCTTGTTTAGCTGAAACGAAATCAAATTAAATTAGTGATTTTAAACTGACAGAATTGGTTGAACAACTATTTATTTGTCTGTTAATCGGTTCAGTTAATCATTTACATCTCTAGTTCAGTGAAAAATCTCATTTGCACAATTTTCCAATTATCTTTAATAGACAAGACATGTTTGGTGTATGAAGTTTGCTTCTTTGGAGCTACTAGGCTAATGCAGCTAACAAAGAATAGAAGCTTATACTCCACCAATTAGCACCATGCAAACTTCATGCCATAAATTGTGTCAAGTTATTAAGTAATCTCAAATAGACTTGCTTATGTGGTTTCTATAACTAGCTTAAGAGAAGCAGCAACTGATGCATGAATAAAGGATGTCATACAATGTCAAGGGGACACTGTACATTTGTGTGATTTCATTTTTTTTTAAAATTCAATTTCTTAAAATATAAATTACAGGATTTTCCCTTTTCTGGTTGATAGCAAGGACTGAGGCTATGGGGTGACACACACACACACACACACACACACACACATATATATATATATATATATATAGAGAGAGAGAGAGAGAGAGAGAGAGAGAGAGAGGGAGAGAGCACAGTGTTAACGTCCTAGACTTGCCTGGACTCAGGTAGGCAGAGCGTGTCGAGATGTTGATCTCTTGCAGGTGCTCCAAAGTCTCAGTGTGGAAGAGGCGAAGAGAGGAGCCCTCTGAGAACGCCATCCACACCCCTCCCCCCGCACGCACCATGTGCGTCACACTCACCATCGGGTCTGGGTGAGCTTCAAAGCTCTGAGAACGGCAAGTAACACAGGTTCAGAGGAGAAGGGGAGAAGACAAAAGAGAAATCCCATGAAAGAAAGGGCGAAAAAAAAACCCAGCAACAATAGTGTGGAGGGAGGCAGAGAGAAAACAGCAGCAAGAGAAAACAATAGTAGATTATTACGTAGAACACAAAGTCAACACTGTTGAAGAAAACAGAAATGAATCATTTCTGGATGCAAAATCTTTAAGCTATGCAAATCAGCTGTCTGGGTTCCACCACAAACATATGCCTTGGCTTTGCACGCAACTTTGTTTGTATGTCCATAAGTACATACATCCAGTGAGGTTCTCATCTCCAGTTCAATTTCCGAGTGCTGGAGCCAAATTTATTCCTGCTATTAAGCGTCAGGGTGGAGGGAGGGGGTGTGCTCCTTGCGGCAAAATGGAGAGGTTGGCTCAGCTGTCAGAAGTGATCAAAGGCTCGCACGCGAACATGCTGTTGGGCTTCTACAGGGAGGATACCTTTTATGTACTGCTTAGGATGCTCTGTCATAATGGAGCTCACAAGGGAAGCAGGCTATATGTCGAAATAACACACAAAAAACTATAACCTGCACTTATAAAGATGTGATTCAACCCTGTACCGAAGCCAGCTTCACTGCAGAGGAAAGCTCAGGCTTTGATCGACAGAGGCAGTCGACTTGCCTCGCCTCATTGGCGTTGTTTACACCTGTCAACAAAAGGTCTTTAGAAGCAGCCACAGTGACAGAAGTTGAGGAAAGATAAAGATCTTTGTGCGATGTTTTTTCAGCGGAGAGAGGAAGTCACATTTAGCAGCTTTTGCTGTCTACAGGTAGATTTATGTTAAAAAAGGATGAGGCTTTTCTCTTTTTTCTACCTGTGCCTTGATAAAGCGTTATACATGGTTGTTAGCATTTACCTGCGTGTTTAGATTTTCACCCTCAATGACAGCGACTTGGTTTGCACAGCTAGCCCACACGCAGTCATCTATCTTGAGGAGTTTGAGCACAGGCGCATATCCAACCACCACCAGTCTGCTGGAGTCTGGATCCCACAATGCCTCTGAAAATACAACAAAGGCTTGAGAAACATGGCAGAACTTTTTCCATATAAAGAGCCAAAAATCTCAGACCACAGACTGGAGAATAGCTGTAATAAATAATAAACACAGAAACTCATTTCCTTTTGTTTCTTTTTTGTTGCTTTAATGAAGTACATTGTGAATGTGCTACGTAAGTCTGAATGAAGAAAACAAGATAGAAACATAAAGCATGGCTTAAAAACTGTTCCTCAGACAAATCCAGCAGTTTTTAAGCCTTGTTTTTCTTCATTCAAACTTTGCTGGATGTTTAATATAACACTTTTTTTTAACATTTTCCACTGTTTCCTGGGACTTTAATAGCTTGTTGGAGGAACTGTCTGCGCATGGCCTAACGTTTTGATCAGCACACATGATCCAGTCCAATTCTCCCATTCTGCTACGCCCCTGATGCTGAACTAAACAAGCAGAGTAGAGAAAAATGAGTGAGATGGGACCCCACTGTGTCCCTGACTCACTAAAACATACAGCTTTTATATGGTGATGCCTTAAAAAGTTCTCCCTCACTTTACTGCTGGATGTGCATCCAGGGAATACTGGCATGTCTGGTTGTATGAAAAAGGATGAATGAATAAATAAATAAACAGACAGATAACAAGCAGACAGCTTAGCTAGTTTGATAGCTCAAGTTGTGCATTCTAGGTTTGCTTCTACATCTTCTCTCTGCAAGTTAATCTTATTCTAGCACAAAGAAACTGCACAGGAACATAGTGTTGCTCAAGGTGCGTTAGTTACTCTATTTCTTTTATCACCATTACAAATCACCTGGAAAATATGTACAACATGTTAAAATGGCATCAGTATCAGCACAAGTTATTATGTGCCTGAGAAACCCTGTTTGGAGAATTGCATGGTGGAGTGGAAGGCTTGTCTGTGTTTCCACTGACATCCTGTCCGTCATTTTAGAAGACTGTCTCCAACACCTCATTGCTCCACCCCCCCATCTGCATCTGTTCAGCTAAGAAAACGCAGCAGAATCTGGCTAGTGACCTGGCCTGGCAGACTCTAGTCCTGTGGGGAAGAACATGCTGTGCTGAAAAAAACCTAACGACAAGAAACTTAATAAAACAAGAATCAACACTGGAAGCGCTTCTCAAAAATGAAATTATCACATGCGAAGGGGTTGAAGTTGGACTCAGAATTAGTGACATTCTTCCTGGACAGGTATGTAAATGCGATACGGTTGTAATACCAGTTTACTGCATTAAACTGAAAGTTTCATCTTAAATGCTGGTGTAGAGGCAATATATGCTTGGTAGTCACAGTTCACTAAAAAACTTGAGGGAGCTCATAAAGAAAAACAGGACGGCAAAGACACACTTGACTAGTCTTGAGTTTCAAATCGGTGTGAATCGAATGCCAAGCGCCACCTTTTTAACTACTACAATAGCCGCATGTCTTGAATTTTGACTGGCACCTTCAAAGCTGTGTGGGCAGGAGGAGCGAGACCTGGTGATTGGCGAGGGGACTGCTGACCTAAGTGCAACCCAAGATTAAGACTGCCCAGTACATCGAAAGAGGAGAACTGATAAGCTATTCACAGGACATATTTTGTGTATGTATATTCTGCGTTAACAAAAGATTAAGATTAAAATGTAGCAAACAAAACATATTTAGGTTCCCTGCAGCAACAAGAACATGGCTCTGTATTCATATACCTTGTTTTTTATACAAGATTCTACTATGTGTACAAAATGATGAACTGCACTGATGTATTGTACACATACAAATTTAATTCATGAGATAATTAAAGACAAACAAATCATTTCACCGACATGATGCGGCTGCAAACTTGGCACGCTGTCGGGTTTGAATTATCAGAAGATAAAACTTGTTCAAACACTAGAATACTTAAGGAGATTTGTACTGCACTGCTGGACATGCGGTACTGCATGCAGGGAGAGTAGCTTTAGTCTGTTATATTGACTTTGCACTGATGAGAAATTAAAATGACTTTTTGTATCTCAGCATGCTTTCAAAAAAGTTTAGGACTATTCAAGTGTGAATAGTCACATTTCAAATTGGATCTCAGATAGAAAGTGATCTTACCTCCACTCTTTCTGCTGTAAACAGCAACTTTTCCATTAGTCAGCCCAGCAAAGAGAAAGTTTGCAGAGTGTTTTAGGCACAGAACAGGACAACCCTCAGGATTACGGAAGGTCAAGAGGCACTGGGCAGCAGTGTCCACACTGCCATACACTAGGATGCTGTAATTAGAGACATACGTACATATACACTTAGGTTCACTTTACTCCCTGCTACTGATCAGTGGTTGAAAAGGCTATAGATCTTGTATTGAAGGGCTCATATCATGGGAAATTTGGTCTGGTTTGGCTATTAAAGTTTCAAAACATACAATTCTCGATCCAGTCCATATTTTGAAAATTACCCTGCAAAAACAGCCTACATTGAATTCATTGTTTCTGTGAGGTCACTAACTCAATTACATAAACATGCTTATTCAACTTACAATAGTTTTGCCATTACATTGAAGTTATATAAAGAGTGTTTTAGGGACAAAGACACGTTGGGAAACGGTCATGTAAAAATGAATTCTGAACATTTTTGCTATATAAACCCACCTAAATGTTATTTGTAAAATTGAAAGAATAATAAAATAAAAATGTACGATATGGGCCCTTTAAAAAGAACATAAACATCTACATTAAACTCAATATCACATGACTGGACTTTGGACTCACTTGCCATCTTGTAACCCCACACAGATGGTGTTTCCAATCCTGGCAGGTCCTTCAGCAGCCTGTCCTTCATCTTCTTCAGCAGTGCTTGGTTCTGTCACATACTCTAGGCTCAGCACTGGAGAGCCCAGAGGGAAGCTTTTCACTGAGCGTGGAGTGGATCTATTCAGCGAGAAAATCTCCACCTGCCCATGGGTGTCATCTCCACCACTAGCCACCTGTGAAAAGTGTATGTGTGAGAGAGAAAGAGAGAGAAAGAGAGAGACAGAGAGAGAAAGACAGAGAGAGAGAGAGAAAGAGAGAGAGAGAGAGATGGGGAACAAACATAAAAAGGGTGACATCCTCAACTATTGCTCACTGGCAACAACCAATGGTTCTAGAGAAGAGGAGGATGCAAGGGAGAAACTGCAGAAACACAGCACATGAATGAATCATTTATGGAATGCCCTTTGATGTGCATGCTTGATCTGAAAATCTGAGGTTGTTCAGATGCCTTTTCAAAAACCTTTTAGTCTTGCATAGCCCATAATTATGAATGTCCATCAAACCATTTAAATTGCAGATATTTAAGGTCGCACAGCCATGGCTCTGTGTGCAGTTCTTGGGGAAAAATCTTAAAAAACAGAGATGCACCATGCTGGAGCTGAGAAAGAACCAGCTTCATGAAAATAAACATTCTCCTGCATCATTACACACACATAAAAGCACAGGGTTTCAAAAGCGGCTTTTTATAGTCCACACATTCCTTGATTTGGTACATGTTGTTTGCAGGTATGCGCATGTGTTGTAATGAAGACATGATAGTGTGATAGAGGTGTGCTCACCCAGAGATAGCCTTGAGGCAAAGAGGTACTAGCTGCAGAGAAACCCAGCAGAGCACAATGGACTGGGTTGTGAAGGGCCATCTGTAGCTATGGAGAAAGAGAAGACCTTGAGATTACACTCTGTCTAAGGCTGGTCCACAATAAAAGAGCAGCAATGCAGAAAGACGAGCAAATCTCTGTTGTATTCTGCACATCAAAAATATCAATATAAAGCACGTACTGCATAAAAGGTTCATCACTAACAGACTAAAAATGTAAATAATTGCATAAAAGTTTTTTTTCCATTACCCTGCTAAATTACACAGGCTTACACAGTACTGTGCAAAAGTCAGAGACCATCCTTAAATATGAGTTATTCATTTTCCAGGAGATGTCTGAGGAGATTATATATAAGACACTTCACCTGCATAAGGAAGGAGAATGTCAAACGAAAAAACAGGAGTTTGAACTGGAGTTCAAAATATTGCTTAAAGATAGAGAGAAAATATCAGCAACCATGTAGGACTATACCTGGTAGACCTTCATCGGAAAAACAGTACATAAGCTTTCATCTTTGAGAGATATGAGAAAATAATCAATCCCCACTTTTGCTTCAGATCTGAACAAATCCACAGGTATTTCTGTCCAACCTTCTACTGTGAGAAGACAACTCAATGCTATGAGTCTGAAATGATGTGTAACTGTCAAAAAGCCATTACTGAGAAAAGGAAATAAGCAAAAAATGAATAAAATTTGCAAAACAAACAAAGAAGCTGCTGGTGTTCTCAGAACAATGTCCTGACCACCTCAGAGTCCAGCCCTCAACTTCACTGAATGTGTTTGGGATTACTTGGATCATGAGAAGCAGAAAATGCAACCAACTTCTAAGACTGAACAGTGGAAAAATATCTCTCTCTTTAAAAAACTAACAGCAAGTCTCCTGAAAAGAATGGAAGGCAAAAAAAAGGCAAAGGATGGACAGAATAAATGCTTAAAAAAAGGATATTTAGTTGTCTGTTTAAGGCTGTTTAATTTTCTGTTAAATATGTTTTATCTCTCTGTTCAATCACATATATTTGGTAAGTGACTGGTCAGTAAGGACCACTTGATCAAGAAAATGTTTTATTTCCATTTGCAGTATTTATATTTGGCGCGACATGACTCTGTTTTGGGACCTCCCTTCCATACATGTGCATACATGGAAAGCCTAAGGCAGGGAGAGCAGCAGAGACCCCCCCCCCTTCAATGACAACAAACATGACACTGAAGTCAGATACAGCAAGGAGGAGCCGGGACGGAGGCAGACTGCACAGTGGCTGCAGAGGTAGTGGCGAGAATGGCAGGATAAAGCAGTTTAAATAAGTGCACTGATGAATTTAGCCAAGTGTTTGTGTAGCCGGCGATCAGCTGAGCCGTCAGCTGATTGAGATCAGCTGATAATAACAGATGATTGTGGCCTGAGCTTGACTTTGTGGCCTGCCTGAACTAAAACTGTGCTCAATTTTTGACTGGAAAAAAATGAATGCTGGTCTCTGACATCTGCACAGCTGACCTCTACTCAACTATTCTTATACATTCATTACACCACAGTAACATGTAAATAATAGGTTTGAGTATCTCAGTGCTTAGGGTTGATTATTAAATGAAGTTCAGCTTTCATTTCTTTACTTACTTATACATTTTCTTATTTTATAATGACAAAGGTTTTATTGGAGGCACTGCAAATAAAGTCCCGCTGCTCATCCTTTGATGTGTTTTAATTGCAAAAAGCGTGAAATTTAAAAGGATTTAAAATCTGATTGCTGCATTTTCTTTTATTTTGGGTCAAATTAACCTCTGAATATGTATTTTTCCATTAATTTTACACCACGTTCCATCCTCACACTCACTGATACATATGGAGGCATATTCTAAATACTGTGGTGTATATGAAATGGCTGAAATTCAATCGTAGCTTTCCACCTACAGTTTACACCTACCGGCCCATTTTTTATACCACTCCTAATCATCAACGGCCCATATGTGGAGTAACTGAACCCCCTGCCTGCCAAAACTGCTCTAATCTCCATTACCAACAGCAACATGTCTGTCACACTGAGTAAACACATTAAATGTAGTCAACAACGGTAAATGTTATAAGACAGTTCAACACTTGTGTTGTCCGCGATAACGCAGCACATAGCCGGGCAAGGCTTTCTGTTACAAATGAGATTTGTTCGGGTTTTTAAAGGGGAACTCCACCGATTTTTCAACAATTCTGCATACATAAATGGTTAAAATGTAAACATAGTCATTCAGAGAAGTTTGATGTGACATGCTCCATTCTGGAGAAACTTGCTGAGTCAGAATTGTTCACAGTGGTGGTGATAGGAACCAGACGTCTGAAGCGTTTTATGCCTCTGAAAGCTCGCTCACAAAAAAGTTATTACATGAAATGGTTTAAATACACTGGCTGATGTCTGACACGTTGTTTTATGATAGTTTCGTGATACATTTTTGGCTTGCAATGTATTTTAATCCATTCACAGCAGAGGTGGCAATATAGTATTTTAGTAATATTTTTTTAGATTTACAACTGTTTTACCATCAGTGACATTAAATATAAATCTCAGAAGGCACATGTAGGTTCACCAGTGGTTTTGGATAGTAAATAAAATGGTTATATTTCTGTTGTAGACATTGTGAGCCCTGGACCCAATCACCACGACTGTAAAGAAATCTGAGCCTGTACGTTTTTCTACAATGAACCGTTTCACATCAGTCCACTCTGAATGACTTTATTTACATCTTAAGGACTGAACTATTCAGAAATGTTTAAAAATTGGTGAAATTCCCCTTCAAAGCCCTCTGTTTTGCTGTAGGAAAAGAGCCGAAAGATGCTACACTGAGAACTGCCACTTAGTAGTGTCTTCGAGCAAGTCTGAAATGAATGGGTTAATACAGAGAATGTGAGCAAAATCATATTTTTGAGCATTTTTGAGCTCCAGCTACCACATCAGTGAGCTCAAACCGCTTCACTCAGCCAGTGAGCTGATCAACTTACCAACAAACCAGCACTCAGTACCTGTAACACTAGCATCCTACTGCCCAAAACCTGTTTGCTGTAGAAAAAGGGAAATACATAGGTAAGTTTTCATTGCTTCTTTAGTGAAATACATTCAACTTTTCAAAATTAATGGGAAGTCCTGGACAAGTGGTTAGAAACTATGTTAATTTTTTTAGGCCATTTAGCTCCATTTAGCTCCATTCACCCCACTATTCCCAGGATTCATCCACAGTCACACTCTTGCGTTTTGCAGTCATATTTTTGACATAACGACAGAAATAGGAAGCAGGAAATAGGAAGAAATAGGAAGAACTATTTAAGGGGAGACTGGCCACTTTCTATTTCTCCCGTTATATTAAAAACATGACTGCTAAATGGCAGAGGGCGCCCAGGAGCAAATCCTAAATGAATGAGGATGAACGGAGCTAAACGGCTAAAAATGACAAGTTCAAAATGTTTCCTACAATTTGTCCAGGATCTTCCTTTAATTTTAAAAATTAGAGGAATGTATTTCACTAAAAAACCAAAGAAAATGTACCCATATACTTCTTTATAAAAAAAAGTCCTACAACAAAAATTATAAAAAAGTCCTACAACTTGAGTTCAAAAGCACTCAAAAATATAAGAGGGGTGTTAAAATATTTTATGCTCTGTGTTCAGGAAATGAATATATTCTTCTATATAAAACTACAAATTATGATTTTGCTCAAGCGCTCCTTATTAACCCATTCATTTTGGACTAGTGTTTGACAAACATGGAAGACATGCCTCAGTGGCAAATCTCCTCTCTACATATTCCCTGACCAGGCTCCCCTTAGTCTGGCTCTAGCTACCCTACAATGCTAGCTATCCTAGGCAAATCTACAGCGCGCTCCTGGGGGAAGTGGGCGTGGCGTCAGCACATGCACGCACAGCGCGCTCACACATACAGGCTGAGATCTCCTCCCCTCTTGGACTCGCTCAGCAGGGATGAAGCCCTTTTTCATCTATCGGGGCCAAGGCTGTTATTCCTATTTTTCTCCCTATGAAAACATGAGGCAGGGTGATTAATATGTGCATAAATTAGCCCGTTGGAATTATTTATACTACGGCTTTATGTCAGACAATCTCACATTCCATCTGAATGGGATGAAATGCTGCTGCTGCCCTGCTTGGAGTCATTGTGAATTAGTCAGTCAGGTTTTCCCCTCTTCTTTTCTTTTATAATCTTTTTTGAGAACATTGATTGTTTTGTACCTATCCAGCTCTTTTTATGAGAAAAAAAAATAGCTTGAGAGAGCTTAGAATATTGAGTTACCTGTCAATTGACAAACACCCTGCCTTTCTCTCTCTCTCTCATTCTCCTGCTCTCTACCCCTCTCTCTCTCAGCTTTCTATTCCATCACTGTCTTTCATGTTGTTTGCTTTCCATACAAGTGGGAGAAGGGTTATGTCACGAAAGTAAAGAAACAGCAGACAGCTACGTTCACGTTTCAGATGTTTTCCTACAACAATCTGCACCTCACCCTGGATAAACAGCTCCCAGCCTGACCCAATAAAGGCACTTATTTACTTCTGGTTCTCGTAAATCAACAAGAGAGGAAGGCTCTGCTTTCAACAGCCCAATATACTCTCAGAACATGGTGAAGTTTTGCACTCAGGGATGGAGCAACTCCAAATGAATTCATCAAGTTCAATCCTTCTTGATCCTCTCTATCAAACAAGGACTACGTACACCACAAGTTATTCCCTTCACACGCCGTCTGTGTCTACAAGTCCCCACGGTGAAGCATATCATTCGTTCTTGTTCCCTCGCGGACTTTGATTTTCCCCTCTGCCGGTAGTTTCCTCTCCATTGTTCATACTCTATTTAATCTTGGTGCTTGTAGCGCTGCCTAATTCTCCATGCTGAGCTGCCAAGCTTGCAGATCAAGACTTGAGGGAGTTTGGCCAAGGTGAAATAAGCTGCAAATCACAGGCTGCTGCACACAAAGCGCAGCCAGGGCATACCAATTCAGCTTCAATGTGTATCCGTAATGACTTATTTTCCTTTCCACAGCATTACACGTACAGTCATAATCTTGGCTATTTTACAAATCACCAAAATAGCACACAATGCTTTCAAAGCAGCCAGTTTCTGCCTGCTAGTTATATCCACCTACATGTCAATGCAATATCTTGACCACTGTTATGGGCCACGGAACAGTTGTCACAGTTCCATCTACTAATCTTCAACAAGTAATGGCTAACCCCCTACAATCACATAAATCCCCTCTTAATTTCACATCCAAATGTCTTCCCTAACGGAAGGTCCAGTTACGTTTCGCATGTGTCTCTGAGACGAATATGATCGGAAGCCCTGTTATTCACACAGACCTACTGTTGGATGTTTCCATCATGTGAAACAGTTGTTGGTAATGCTTTTAGTCTTTTTTTGGATTCATCTACAGCAGGGATGCACAAACATTTTGTCTTAGAAGGCCAAAGTGCGATGTCTGTGGTAGGCCCAAGGCCAAAAGACAAAATGGTATCCAAAAAAGATTATACACAATAATTTGAATATCAGTTTTTTGGAATACAATTTTAAAAGGACAATAAGAATTTACTAAATTATACAGTCATTTGCAAAAGTTTAGAAAAATAGAAATTGTGCACTAAAATTTGCTAAATGAGTTCATTGTTAATGACGTGTTAAATTGTTTTCACTTACAAAATCAACAAACACGTCATTTCACTGGTGACAGTCAAATGTGTGCAGATGATGATATGTAGTATAAAAATATTTTGTTCTCCCATTGTATGAGGGGTAAGGATAGGGTGACTTTCTGGCTGGTTAAAACATCCCCATGGACCAGCTTTGGCCCACAGGCCATACTGTGAGCACTTTAAAAATAAAACTAAACTAAAACTTACTAAAGTAATAATAAAAAAAAGTTATTAAAAAAAATCAAATTTTAAAAACTGAAAAAAAGAATAATCTACAGCCCTCGGATATTGACGGATATTTAAATCTTTCAGCACCATATAATGCCCATGTATCTTTGCCTTGTTCACATGTAACATGTCCAGAATTATTTACTCCATTATGCAGTAAATCAAGGAACTTATAACGTTAAACACAGTACTGGTTAAGCTTATCAAACAATCTGAAAGAGAGTTTCTCATATACAGCCACCTTGCCTTGCAAAGAGCCACTCCTGAGTTCTGTGACTTCCACTGCTCATGATTTGTCGACCCAACATAATACCAGTCTGAATACAGAGATTATCAGCTTTATTTATAAGCTTCAAACAGTGAGGATCTCCAAGAACATTCAGACTAGGACAAACATCCAACTGCTCATCCACTATTTGCAAAATATGATCAAGCACCACTTTCAAAAAATACTGCATCCTTGGAGAGGACCAGATATAGATTAAAGCACTTCCACTGCCTGACAGTGCGATGTGTACTTTAAAGTCGGCCGACTGGGAGACCAATAAAATCTATGATCTTAAAATGAATGAGACACGCTTTAATGTCTCAAGACATCTGCTCAGAGATACAGAGGCCCCCTCCCGTTCCTCCTCTACAAACAAAAGCTATCTTAAATCAGATCTAGTCTTATTACCTGTGTGACTTATCAGGACAGAATAATAACAAGATGCCTCATGACCAGCTCCAAAAATGTTTAGAATTGCTTTGAGGAAGTGTGTTCTGAGGAGGAATACATAAAGAACCAAATACACTTGTGAGCAGGTGCCTATTTCAAAAGAACGCAGTGACTGATCAGCATTTTTTTTTCAATATAGGTGATGTCCTTTGGAATGGTACCAAGAGAAATGGCTAATGAAAACATGTTTTCCTCTGCTTTGAAAAAGCATGCCTAATATTTTCCCAGGGCACCTAATTGGCAGGCCTTGATCTGGTTACAGTGGACATTTGATATATAAAAGGTAAAGTATCTTGAAAAACATCAGGCCTGTTAGGAGAGAAGAACAAAATCAAAGTGGGAGGCAGCAGGAGTAGAAAACACTGGAAACGTGATTATAATAATAATAAGCTTTAAGTGCCAAATCCTTTATGGTCAGCTCCAATTACCAAAAGCAAAAGCTCCACGATTAGCTGAACACCACTGCATTCACATCAATAGTGTCACCCACAGTTCAAAATAATGTACGCAACTAGAGGGAACATTGTGCCCCACTTCCAAAATGACTGCAAAATGTAAATTGTGCCACTGGGAAATAAGTTATAGAAGAGTGAAAGCTCCATGCTGTGTCTCACCTTCTGATCTTGCGCTTTCGGAGAGAACACAGGCACACGACAGGCCAGTAATGGGCACCAGAATGGAGGCTTAGTCTTCTCATCATCCTCAGCACAAACCCAGCCGGGCAAGTTCTCCTCCCCTACACACACAGCAACAGGCTTAGCCGGAAGCATTGCGCATTCAATAGAATCTGAGTTTAAAGAAAACTGTGAGTTCAAAAATAAAGACTATTTTTTGACAGTAACTTACTTTGAGCAATCTTAGCCAGATGCAAGCGATTGACCCATGAGATTTTACTGATTGGGCTGGGAGTATTAAAAACCACTGTGAAACTGACTGGACGGCCGGACCTGTCGTGGATGGAATGAGTGCAAAATACACAGACGCATCAATAAAACATTAATAAAATTAAATGGTTCATAAGACATTTTAATAGGGGTGTAAATATCTGACCCCTGTAAAATTTGATTTGATTATGATTCTTTATATAAAAAAATGACTCAATGCATCATTAAATTTCAATTAATTTCATTCAGTTCAAATATTTCAGTATGGCTCAGAATTCAGAAATGCACTGAATACATAATACGACTGAAGTAGCTATATACACAGTAATGGAATATAAACAACAGAAGATTTTTCTGGAACTTTTTGTTTGAAAAAAGCCTCAGAATTTTTCTTTGGCCAAAAGATCATCATTATTGAACATCGTAATAATCAGTGATAACTCATCCCAGCATGCCAAATCAACGCAGCCCTGTTTGTTCTAAGTGAGCAGCGCAGTAAAACCACACTGTGTCACTTAATCCATACTCTGTGATGGCACTTTAGAGGTAATGCCCAGCTGTTCTAAAATCTGTTCCCACCAAAGTCCTGTTACTGAAGCCAAGTTCAGCCCAGTCCATTTGGCCACGGGAGCGGGGAAGAGCAGCTGCAGCCGCTGGTCCTGAACAAATCCAGCAAGGCTAAGTCCTCTGGTATGAATCATTTCAATCACGCAAAATCACTTTAAATCGTTTAACGGGATGAGCGTGCTTCCTTCGGCAGGCGTGTTGCATCTGCGCACATTAAAGGCAATTTGCCACTGAGCTCCGTTTTGTCCCGCCTGCGCCCACCGCTGTGAGTGCTTTCTCACCACTCACTTGTCAGGCTTGCCAGGCACCATGAGCCGTAGACGGCACTTGTTGGCACACTGGATCTCGTCCTCTTTGATGCGGATGAGCCTCTGCAGTGCCAGGCACCAGTCCTGCCCCACTGTGGTGTTAAGATTCTGCACACACACACATACACACACAGACAGAGACAGCTGTCAGAGAGACTGACTGCCCGTTAGCATATCACTTAGCACTGAGCTTACTGATGCTTAACTGTACAGCAAGAGGAGGGGTATAAGAGTGAGGGATTATTACTACAGATGTCCTGATGTGATCGGAAAAATCAGTATTGCAGCCAATAAAGACATTTTTCAATGGATTTGTATTGGCTTTATTAATCCCAACCCAATTCCAACCCTTTTTTAAAGCTATTTTAGCCTACTGTGCTCTATTTAAATGAGGTAAACAGACATTATCATGCACTTGTGGCAGTGAGGAATGTTTTGAAATGTTAACAAGTGGTTGAAATGTCTGCAGTGTGGAATGATTTTAAAGTAGAAAATGAATACAGCTCAACAGCCAATTGTAGACTCTTCAATGTCAACATTTCATCTACAGTTAAAGGAGCATTCAAGGCCAAAACTAGCATTTAATATGTTATTTGTCATGTTATATAATATTCTATGGCACTGTTTCCCTCAGCCTCATCGGTTTGACAGAATTCCCTACTTTTGTGTCCTTTTTATGTTTTTGCCCATCAATGTTTCTTTACGATCATAGCCAGCATTCATTATGCAAATGCTAACCATGGGGAGCTTCCCGCAGTGATAAAGAAACCCACTGATGTAGAAGCTACTAAATACAGACATGGTATTTGACCATTTGACAGTAACATTAGCACTCTGCCTTTACTCTGCACTAGCCAGCTAGTGAAAACAAAAAAAATCAAAGCAGCCAACCTCAAATAATCCACCCCAGTAGTTGTACCCACCATCAAGTTACATCATTAGAAAAGGGGTTTCTTAGTCTGTAGTCTTTAAACTACAAAAACTCTCTTGAGACTATCGTGGCTCCACTGTAAGGAGTGAGTAGGTATGTTTACAACTGATGTAGTGATGGTTATGTTTTTCATTTTGGCTGAAGTGCCCGTTTAAGCAAGCTGACTTTGACTAAAATGTGATAAATCCAGGTGCACACAAAATTTGAGTGGGCAGCTATCGGACACTCAGCAGTACAGTGCATTCAAAGCTGAGAAGAAAAGAGATGTTTATTGTGTTATTATGTTTTTACTTTTCTTTAATGTGCAGCTGTATTAGCCACAAAAACACAAATAGCTGATGTACAGTCAATGTAAACACATTCGAATCAGGACCAGAGGAAAAACATGACATCACTAATCATTATTCAGCACAGTGGTACTGTAGCTGCTGATAGATACAGAGTCATACCTGATAGGATCCCTGCAGAGTGCCCACTAGCAGTGTGACCTCCTCCACCACTGAGAGGTCGTGCTGCAGTTCCTGCAGTTCCTGATACAGCCTTGGCGGCCCCAGAAACAGCTTGCCTAAAATAAACACCCCCTCATTATCACATTCTGCATAACATGCCATCTGTATTCCCATCATATCACAGCTCCGGTTAGTGTAGGTCTTGCATTTTTTACCAAACAGCAATCTAATTAACATTCAGTCCCACTGAAACATACAACGCAGTTCAAAAGATTGAAATCACTGTTCAAAAGACAAAAGTAATCAATATATTCGATTGCAGCGTCACGTATAAATAATTCTAATATACTAGCCCTGCGCAAGTTTACAGCTTTCAAGTAATTAGTAGGAGGCCATGAAGCTGTAGGGAAAAAAGAGAAATGCTAAGTGTGTCCAGGGTGATAAAAAAAGGGCTGCAATGATTTTAAAATGACTAAGAGAGAAAAATCATTGTAAACAGATAATTATAGCACATTAATTATCATTTAAGGGCCCATATCGTGGAAAGCTGAAATTTCCTCACCCTTTTAAATAGACTTTGATGTAGTATATAAACATCATAAACCAAGTTTCAAAACATACCATTCACTCCACAGTCCATACAGTCCATATATGGAAACTAAGCTGCAAAAAACTCCATGTCCATATATTCAGCCTACAGCGATTTAGCTCCGCCCATTCACATATAAGTAATAAGGAGCGTTTCAGACTAGACTTTTTGAATAAGGCACAGCCAATCAGAACAGAGTTCTTTTATGCATATTAGTTATAAAGGCAGAGTAACAAAAACAGCCTGTTTAACTCTAAGGGTTAAAAAGAGATTGAAAAATGGATAACTGGAAAAATGATGGTGGTTTTTGGTGGATAAAACTACACAAACATCATAAGTGAACCTCAGGGGAAAATGGCCCTTTAACAAGCAAAGAATCTGAAATATTGAATAAAACATAAAAAAATACATTATTTTAAGTGGTCTCAAGTCAGTTATGACTCCTGCCAACCATATAGATAGTCCAGTCCATGATGCCTCTACCCATCTTGTTGCTAGTTGTACTCTTCCTCTATTACCATCAGTTGTTCCAAGCATAAATATCTTTTCCAATGAATTAGTTCTTCAAAGTTCTTTATAATATGTCCAGAATAAGGTAGTTTTAGTTTGGTTTTCTGGGCTTCAACTGAGAGGTGAGGCTTGATTTGGTCAAGAACCCATTTGTTTGTTTTATTTTGCCATCCAACATATTCTTCACAAGCACAAGTTCAAAGACATCAACAAATTTTCCTTTTTTCCAGCTTTCATATCCATAAAGAACCACAAAAAAGACAATAGCCTGGACAATTCTGAACAAGGATGAAGAAGCTTCTTCATCCTTGTTCTGCTGAGTTTCAATCCATGACATATTTCTTGATCCTTTATTGTTATGCTACATTACATAGGATATTATTATTTAGGCCATAACAAAAACATTATGGTTCAAACTTTAGAATGGCAGTGTATAATGCATTATCAGTGTCTAATAAGTGTAAAATACAGCATGAAAGCTCCACATCCCCACAAAAATATCTGAAGTCAAACTAAAATGAATAAATAAATAAATAAAACCAAGGACGTCAGTACATCTTATCTGAGAATTAGGCCAGCGCTGCCCCCTGAGATTGGGCATGTGTACTCGCTCTGGGAGAACAAGTGCTGGGATTTGTTCTGAGCCCTACAGAGACTCTTCAGACTGTATTTCTCAGCTTCTCTGGTAAATAATAGAAAATAAGGACTGTGTGTGGACCAGTATGAAGGTATTGACTTCTGACAGACAATCTTGCATCTGGAAAAGCTGTGATTTGCGCAGCCACAGAGGTATTGAGTTCTAATAGACATTCTGGCATGTGGGAAAACTGCAATCTGCGTAGCTACTGTGTGTGAAAAAGCAGCGCTGAAGTCTGTTTGTTCACTCAGTTATGTCTAATGTTACCCAGCACGTGTCTAATTTCTTCTCGTGAAAGTCTGAGACCAAGCAGAGTTGAACCAGTGTTCTCACAAAGACACTAAAAAAGTCAAAATGGTGTAAAACTTTTACACAGTCAGGATTTTTAAGGACAGAGTATATCAATATTTCACCACTGCGTCCAAGCTGGCCCTAACCCATTCATCAAAGGCCTCTGTGAAATTATTGTCTAACTATGCTCTTTGCTTCTCCAGGGTGTCTGAAACCATGAAACCGTGCTGACCTTGCGAGCTGACGGAGCTGAGGCGCTTGGCTCCACTAGGCTGAAAAACACTGTCGTTGTTCTGAGGGTTCTCCTGGCCCACCTCCACCACCTGAACCTGCTGCAGAGGAGCACTCCACTTCACTGTGTACTTTGGTCCAACAGGGACCAGGCTGCTTATATCCGGAGGGCCCCTGATTGGAGACAAAGACACCGTTTAAAGATCTAAAGACCGTGACAGAACAAAGCCCACAGTGCAGCTAGATATAATTTGTGATCAGAGAGCCTCGGAATAATTGTGACAGAATCACAGGGATAAAACGAGCCCTTGTGATCAATTGGGCTCCCAGAGAAAAAGATAGACCACGCAGCGATAGGAAGAAACTGGTATTCGCGTGATCTTCCGTCATGCATCATCCGCATTAAAGATTAGAACTGTGAAGTTGAATGGCACCCATTTTGCAATGAAATGTTATGAAATCACACTGATCAGAACGCTTTGAAGACTCTGTAAGCCCCGCTGTCAGAATTGAGGAAGTTCACAGACTTGAAAATGTTACCTTGGCTCATCAATGACGTAATCAATGCCACTTTCAATGTATCTAGATCATCAGATAAAAGGGCAAATGTAGCAGCAGCAAACCATAAAACTTCACTTACTTTATGTCACTGTTAGAGCATCTTTAACTGAGAAAACATGCACTGCTGTTCAAAAGTTTGGAATCACTCATTATTTTAATAAGCACAGTATTTTTTGTCAATAATATTATAGAGTTAGCTGTAGATTTGAATACTGTCAGCTAGACAACTTAACCCTCTACTGCATGCAATATGAGAGCAATTTAAAAAAAAATATTCAATTCACTTTTCTTGCATACAATGGTCCTTGATTTATTTTTTGGACCCAATTATTCAATTCAAAAACATAAAAAAAATAATGTGTGCAGAGGTCCTTTTGGAGTATGTTGCCTTGAGGCAACATTGTGCAACAATGGTAAGAAATGATATAGAGCCATGTTCACTGAAGTGGTGAGACCTGGCTTGTGACTGGCTAAATCCATTCCACTGTTTCACAATGTTGCTTCTGGACAACAAACATATTTCTGCAAATTCTCATAACAAAAAAATTGATACTGAACGGTAAAAATGAGGTTTACATGTGCCCTAAGAGATGTTATGACCAAGTACATGTTTTTTATTGTCTTACTCAAGCTCTTCCCATTATTGTTAACCCTATTGTTGTCTTTAAATATGTATAATGTTATTGTAAAGTGTAGGAAAATTAGTTTGTTGCCCTGAGGCAACATCATGCAATAGAGGGTTAATGTATTTTATTTAATATTAGAATTTTTGAAATCAGCAGGAAGTTATTAAATAATAAATAATAAACCATAATTATATATTTACACTAATTTCTAGATACAATATCTACATCTACTGTTCTTTGTGGAGATAATCCAAAAAAAGTTGGGACAGTTTGTGAAATATTAATAATAAAAGAAAGAAGTGATCAGTAAATTTAGCTTGATTTACATTAAATTAAAAAGTCCAAATACATATTTCATGTTTTACCTAATAAACTTTTTTAATGTAAGCTCATTTCAAATCTGATGCCTGCAATACACACCAAAATGCGGTTCAAAAATGTGCCCCACGTTTTTCCCCACGTGGGAAACTGAAAAGAAGTCTGGACTGCAACCTCTCTCTCACATTACGCAGCCATGCCGCTGTAACGTGTAGAATGTGGCTTGGCAACATCATGTTAAAATAAGTATGAACATCCATGAAAATGAAGTTGTCTAGAAAGCAGCATGTTACTCCAAAATGCACCTGTACCTTTCGGCGCTAACAGTGCTTTTACAGCTGTTACCCATGTCACCCATGCCATGGGCACTAATACACATCCATAACATTACAGACCCTGGTTTTTGAACTTTATGCTAGTGGTAGTCTGGATGGTCCTTTTCTTCTTTGGTCCAAAGAACACAATGTCCATATTTTCCATACACAGTCTAACGGTTTACTTGTCAGATCACAATACACGTTTTAACTGTGCATCAGCCCAATACAGAGCTTTAGTCCAGTGAAGTTGGTGGCATTTCTGGAATATAGCTTCTGCTCTGCATAGTACAGTCTTAACTTGGATTTGTGAATCCTGACGAACAGTGTTTATTGAAAATGGTTTGTAAGTACGTAAGTAAGTATCAAATGGCCATTCATTTGTGTTTTTTGGCTTAGTCCTTTACGTACAGAGATTTCTCCGGATTTCTTGAACCTTTCAATGATATTGTGCACTAGAGGGTGAAATATCTAAAATCCTTGCAAGCACTTATTGTGGAACATTTTTATTAAATTAAAGATTTTTTGGCAAAGTGGCGAGCCTCGACCCATCCTCACTCGTAAAGGACTTGGCCTTTCCTGAATGCTCCTCCTTCTATACCCAAGCATGACTGCAACACTTGTTTAAGATGTTTTTTGAGCATTTCCTCGTCTTAAATTACCCCTGTATATTTATAGTGTATATATATATACAGTGTATATTTACAAAAAAAATGACAGTAACAAGGTATAACAATAAATATCTTGTTTTTGTACTGTTTTGGTTAAATATATGTGAAAGTGCAGTTACAAATCACTGCTTTCTGTTTTAATTTGCATTTCACATACTGTCCCAACTTTTTTGGAATTGAGGTTTGTAACATTTCTTCATTTTTTACTATGAAGTTAATAGAATAGTTTTATACATACACCTGTAAAAAATGGTTTTATCAAAATGAAAACAGTGATATCAAACTTTTGAATGGAAATGAGAGTTGTTCAATGTCTAACTAATAGTATTCTGTAAAACGTCACTTACTTGAGATTGATGTTTGCACAGACGAGCATGTCATTGAGGAGAAAGACTTTGCGTTCCTTGGACTTGAGAACCTGCCCCTTCTCGCCATACACAGTCTCGATCAGCGTTTCACACAAAATCAGCTGCTTCTTATCTGAGTTTAGTTGCTGCAAACACAATTAATTAAATCAATCAAACTGTACAACCATATAATAACAACCCAAGACAGAAACTCTTATAGCAGCTTGTCTTTGACACCTAGAAAAGAGCCACTAGGGTAGCGTAACATTAAAATTCAGCCTTTCTCCATCTGCAGGGACTGTGATCCCCCTGTAATGTCTTTGAACGCTGCACTTTTATTCTGCACATTCAACCATAGCCGGTGAGGATGAATTGCTGTAACCTTGGAGAATCCAGAAAACAGTTTAGCTCTTAGCTCATTAGCATCTGAAGACGGGCTAAAAGTGATTTTTTTTCCTCTTTCCACTGTGCAGCTGCTGGGAGAGACAGGAGCACCCTCTAGTGAATAGAGAGCATCATAAAGGCTCCATTTACGAGCAGACCACTTTCGCTCTACGACAGATGTGAGGCCATAACTGCACCGGTGCATGTCCCAAATCATCAGTCATGATAGCTCACAGCGAGAATCAAATAACTGCAGTGCCACTTAGGAGGAGACGCCATTACTTTCCAGCCGGAAATGAACGAGGATCAGTATTTTATGTGAAGGTTTAAGGTTTAATATCATCAAAATAATAAGGGATTACTGAAGTGATGAATGGATTTATTGTTCTTGCTGAGTCCAGTTACTCTCATGTATGCTAATGTGCAGAGCTAATAAAAGTGCTCTCAATAAAAATACCTCCATTCTAGCAGAGGAGGTATTAAATATATTTAAAGGAAGAGGAAACGTGGAAATGACTTGGGAAGAGATAGTGAATGCCAACGTTTCATCTTTTTCCTCTCTGTCTGCTGAATAGGCTGAGGATGCTGGGGCATGCAGTAGTTTTGCTGACTAATTCTTTGAAGTGTCCAGCAGTGGAAAGGGTGTGCTTTGGTGTTTGACCTTGCTGAGGGCCCGGTCACTGTTGCTGCGTGCTAGCTGCTGGATCTCAGAGAGCTGCTCAGCCAAACGCTTCTGCTCATTCAGCTTCTCCGCCAACGTCTCCAGCTCAGTCAGAGCCAGCTGCAGTGGCAGTCGGTCGCGGTGCCCCGCCGGAGTGTTCTTCAGCATGTCCTGAATACACACACACACACACACACACACAGACTTGTTTTTATACAAAGGCAAGATGTAGAGTCATTACAAAAAAGGCCTCACCTTATTAAGTTATTAATTTTTCAGCTAACCCTAACTATAACCTCAGTAAAGGAAAAGAAATGTCTTTTAAAAAATTAAACATGTAGCTCAAAAAAAACAATATTACAAAGTCAAAACCATACTAGGTTACTCCATTTTCCCTAGTTTTCCTAAAAAGTAATTTTCCTGAAAATATACGAACATAAATACATCCCTAACTGGATATTCTGACTGATTCATTTTCACATCCCTAACATGCACACAGACACACATCTACAGCTTGAAGACCTCCCACATAGTCATATATAGCTCCAGTACACAAAGAAAGGATGAATTCAGGCTCATTAAATTGATCATCTCTTACTAAACGAGCCGTGTCCATGTAAAAACAAGTGTGCCTTTTCAGCTGCTAATGAGTGTGAAAAAAACAGGCGCTATTCGTTTTTCAGTCAATGCATGATCAAAGGAGTCTGCATACAGTAAAGAGCAGGCAGAAGTGTCCCATAATGCTGTTCAGGGTAAAGAGTGAAGGGGAGATCATTAGATAATGTCCTACTGTATGCTGCCGAGGGAACGTAAGAGGATTATGAAGTGCAGTGGTAATCTCACCCACCTAACCAGTTGGCTAGATAGCAAGCTTAGGCCTGCTGCTTTCCACAGTGCAGTCTATAATTCTATGTTTTAGAATGGTGGTGTATTTTTGTGGGTATGTCTCTCTTTCGTACGTTTCACTTCCTCTAAGCAGCATTAGGAAATTCCGTAAAAGTATGAGGCAAGAACTCCAAAAAGTTAATTTTAGCTAATTCTATCTAAAAGCATGTACAGTATGAGAATCATGAGGAGAATGCTGTGTTTGTGTGTATTGACCTGCAGGAGGAGTATAAACTGAGGGAAGCGCTGGATTGGTTTGACCATGAGGCCGTACAGGGTGATCCTGTCCGCACTGGCAGCCTGCTTCTTCTGAAAGTCAAGACATAAAGTGGAGCAGAAATTCAAAATTTTAATGTGAATGTGTCCTGTTACATTAATTTCCAAAAGTCATTCAAAAGTGATGTGTAAAAGAACACTACACAACAAACCAAGCCACTCATAGTTCACTGGACATGTCCAGTGAATTAAAAAAAATAGGGATGCACTGATGCAGAAATTCTGGGCCAATACTAATAACCATAATTAATACTTTGTTGGGGCGATACCGATAACCACTAGATTTTTGTTCTTGTTTTTTAAAACTTAATATTATAATTAATGCATAAAGTGCAGTAATTAGGTTAAAACTGACCAAAAATTCATCAAAAATGATCACCAGGCTGGGGGTGCCATGTCTTTTTTTTGCCACACACAGCACATACCATTAATAACCCTTGTGTGGTGTTGATGTTTTTGTTACTCAGTGGTCTGGTGGACCCACTGCATTATTGTTTTTTTAAATCAATACAGCCATATCAATTTATGTAAAAATACCAGACGTTTAAAATATCACAGGTGGCCAGAGTAGAGTTCTCCTTTAGCAGCTGTAGCCAGTCAGCACCTTTACACACACGCACGCATATACAAACACATACACACACACACACACACACACACACACTAACAGCACATGTGTAATATAAACATCATTTTTTCTTTTGGAAAACATTGAAAATGGATCCCATAGACCCCAACACCACACAAAGGTTAATAATAATAACAATAATAAAAATAATAATACAATATACATGCTTCAGTGTGTATGCAAACAAAAAACAAGGCACTAAATTATCAGATTGACATTTTGCCAATTATCAGCAAAATATGTCAGACAGCAAAACAATATGCACCTCTAGTGAAGTAAAAAATGGTATTTTTGAAAAGCAGAAAAAGAAATTCACCTTGAGAAACTCCAGAAATGCTGGCTTTGACATACAAGCCTTCTTGATAAGAGCCATCGCGTTGGTGAAGTTGTTGACATAATCACTGTATACATCTAGGACCATTGACTTTGAGAACTGCAAGTGGTTGAGAGAAAAGTAAGAAAATGCATACATGTACACACATATATGATCATATAATTTCACAAAGCACTGTGTTAAATAAAAATCTTGCCAGACCTCCAAGTTCTAAAAAAACAGAGCATTCTGCAAGTCCACATTTATGCTGTGTCTGCACTTTCCTCCCTGTGCCAGCTAAGGCTAACTATATATATTATTTTCCTTTTGACTAATCGAACATGCGCTGAATGTACAAAGCACACGTGCAGCTGCTGGTCACAGCTTGGGCACTGCAAAGGAAATGAGTACTATTTAAATAGAAATGCTGAGCACAGAATCTCCTGTTTTTCCATCTAAAAAAAAGCTGCAGCGCACAGCCAGAATGAAGCAAAAAAGCTAGTCAATAGATGGTAGTCAATATGAAGTGCACATGAAGTCAATTATAGCACCCAAGTGAACAACTCTGTGGTTTAAAGGGTCATTATCCTACATTGTTCTTTTATTTTATTTTGCCCTGAGGTCCTTTCAACATTTGTGTGGTTTTATATACTAAAATGGTCATAATTTTTTTTTCACATGACAATTTCTCATTTTTTTTTGTTACTGTGCCTTTTTTTATGTTAATTAGTCTATTCTGATTGGCTGCCCCGGATTGTGGTTTATTACAAAAGCAGTCCAGAAACACTCCTTAAAACTTCACTTCCAACAGGCAGAGCTAAACTGCTGAAGGCAGGATAGGCAGATATATGTAAATGGGTTCTTGGGCTGTTTTTGCAGTGTATTTCCATATATTGACCATATGGAGTAAAGAGGTAACAGTGTTTACATTTTATATCAAACTCGTTTATTATATCAAACTCGGTTATTATTAACTCAACTTTTCACGAAACAGCTCCTTTAATATAATGTTTTGTGGTTTTTAATTCACCGCTAAACTCTCAGGGTGAACACTGTATTTAGGACCTCAATTGTGGTAATATGAACAGCTTGTTTGCATCATACATCATACTTAGCTTTCATAGTTTCAGCAGTGGTTGATAACAGTATGAGGTTGTTGAAAGAAGTTACTATTCACTACACATGACAGCTCACTTGCTCAGATGACACCTATTACTTAATACATCATGTCACTGCAAAGAACCAAAAGAAACCAAAGGGGACTACAGCAAACAGGATCAAGCTTGTTTAGCTCCTCGGCCCGCATACAAGCTGAGACTATGAGCAGCAGAATTTGGACCCTTTGTGGATAGACTGGTTAAGACTAAGGTTTTGAGACTCACAGAGGCGACAAAGAGGTCCCCGATGGTCTCTGTGCGGTCCCACTCAGCCACACGGGAGGCCAGTGCAATCTGGAACATGGCATGGCACTGCAGGATCTCTTTGAGCCGGAAGAAAATGGGTTGGATTTTCTTAGGGCTCAGGATTCGTGGCTCTGCCTCCAGTAAAGGCTTCTGGTAATCCTGAGAGAGGATTAGAATGTATGATCTGAACATATTTCTCCTTAGAGGAAGAAATACATAGTGGGCAGTCCGCATAACTCATAGCTCCAAAATGGTAACTTCACAAGAGTAGAAACAAAAACATTCTTAATTGTAATGTACGGTATTGTGTAAAGATTAAAGATTACATACTTCATTCATTTCAGTTCCAGTCAAACGGCAGCACAAGTTATTCATTTTTTAGGAAAAAAGGCAGAAAACATATTCAACAGAAAATAACACAAGCCTGAACAGCTAAATAAAATATCATTTTTCATAGGTATTTAGTGTGTCCACTCTTTGCTTTCAGTTTTTTAAAGAAATCTGAAGAGATATTTTCTACACCTCCAAAGTTCAGTCTTAGAAGTTGCTTGTACTTTCTGTTTCTCATGATCTAAGTAACCCCAAACACATTCAATGATGCTTTGGTTTGGTCTCTGGGGTGGACAGTCCATTGTTCTGAGAACACCAGCAGCTTTTCTGTTTGAATTGCAGTTTTTTTTGTCTACTTTTTTTTCTCAGTAATGGCTTCTTGACAGCTGCGCATCCTTTCAGCCCCATAGCATTCAGTTATCCTCTCACAGTGGAAGGATGGACAGAAACACCTGTGGATTATTTTTAGATCTGAAACAAGAGTGGAAAATGATTTTCTCCTTCCTCTGAAGACTGAAAGTTTTAAGTAACGTTTATCTGCTGGTTAGTTTGGGTTCCTTCCTATATATTTTTCAATAATTAAAAAAAAAATAAACTCTTGTTTATTCACACACTTTCCTTTGACACCCCCCTTCCTTATACAGATGGACTATCTAATCTCTTCAGAAGTAAAAATGAATAACTTGATGGCCATTTTGACTGGAAACTAAATAAATGAAGGGTGGTCTCTGACTTTTATGCAGTAAAATATTTTATTCCAATTAATTTTGGACCACTTCTGCTGGTCCATGCATTATGAAAAGTCCACATGATGTAAAAAGTAGCTGCTGCTATCAAACTGAGTAAGAAAATAAAAAACTAAAAAAGAGAGTTTTTGATATGATAGTGATGCGCTAACAGAACAAAATCAAAAGCAGCTGCATATTAGTTAATTATATAATTAAATCGGTCACCTACTTGCAGGATTCTTTTAAGGGAGTCCAAGTAGCTTATCTCACTCTGAACAATAGAGCCAAGAATATGACGCCTTACAATCTAAAAAAAATGATTTGTTATTGCAACAAAATGAATCGGCACATGTTCAACATTTTAATAGGGAACTCTGAAATATAGCCGTATAACACAGATATCTGATAAACCGTTGGAAAAACTGACGTGCAATTCAGAAAAATAATGTTTTTGAAAACATTGTTAAGAGGACACACGAAAACAACCACACATACAGATAAATAAGCACCACACATACATACCTGTTGGCTACTGAGGCCATCTGGCATGGGACACAGCTGTGGTGGTGGGTGCTTCACATCAGAAACAGTCACATCCAGGTAACCAGAATCATCTTCTGTGTCATCTGCATTCACAATAATTTCATTAACTCCACTATTCTCACTACTACCTCTAAAATTGTGCAGATTTCCTTTTATCCAAGCCTCCTCCTACTCCTTATCACCTGTATGATAACGTGTTATATGTTGTCAAAACTGACTAATCGCTCTGTAAATTGTCTTCAGCTTTAATTATCATCAGGGAGTCATCAGAAGTAAAAAGGAAAAAAGTAAGAAAACCTCAAACCTGTGTTTTCTTTCTTGCTCAGGAAAGAGACTTTGCGCATCATGGCTATTTTCGTCTTTTCCAGGCCATCTTTAGTGCCGTTCCGGGCAGCTTTCATGAGCTGTTGAACCTGTGGGAGAGGAGGTGAGTGCTGAGACGAGCAACGGCAGCTCAGAGGAAGAAGAGCAAAAACGCTCGATCCTGTACAGAGAACAGGGTGTACAACAGCAGGGGCAAAGTCACTTTCTGAAGGTCCCTCATGGCTCAGTTGCTACAAGCTTGGAGGCATTAAGACGGTTTCATTTTCACTGTGAAGCAAAACTAAGAGGGGAAAACAAAAAACTTTTTCCTTTGTGCAAGCTGGAGCAAGACTAAAGATGGTTCACTGCTTTTCTAAGTTAGAACTAATTGTCTGTGGTGAATGCAAAATGAATGAATGAATGAATGGAACTGCATCTACTCTGCTCCTAGGAAAGTATACCTTGATGTCATAGGTTTGTTTGATCTGGCTGACGTCTGGAGCCCCTAACCGCATGGCCAGCTCACGCTTGGTCCGGACACAACGCTCCTTTAGGCGCCGTACATCCGGCGAAATCTACAGTCATCATCATTTCCATGTGCCCAGAGGCAACAGGGATGGTGATTTAGATCGATATTTACAGAGAGACAGGCAGAAAGACACAGAAAGGAGAGAGAATGAGGAAACAAACAGAGAAAATCAGAGTGAAAGCAGACAATCAAAATGAAAAGTGAGGCAAGGACTGCTCAATCAAAATGGACAAGGCAGCCTTATGTCTCAGTAAGTGCCTGTATAATCCAGTGCTTTCTCCTGTGACTGGCATACAAATTACACACGACAGCTACAAACAGAAGGAAACAAGCACACTTAGTATCCATTCCAGACAGTGCATTGATTAGTGTAGTAAAGCCTTTCTGTACCTGTTTTCAGTAGAGATCATGCATGACATAAAGTTTCGGTAAAGAAAGTGCTGATCAGCAGTGCTCACAGACGGAGACAGCAACCGAGAGGACAGACTAAAAATGAGCAAAAGCAGGAGAGGAACAGGGGAAGCCCAGGAAGGAAAGAGAACTGAAAGAGATTGCTGAGTGAAAAAATCCACTGGCACAGTGAATTAGCCTTCCTCTCCCCACCCAAACGCTGTCCACAAACCATGGCAATCAGCACTGGCTGTTTGTTTGTCATGCCACAAATATAAGGCCAGTGTGGTTGATGCAGCAATGTATGTATCTGACAACAGCTACATATTGCCACCTTGTGACAAAGCGCAGAAGTGATCAGCTTTTAGTTTGGGCCCTGTTAAAGTGATAGTTCATAGTCAAGTTTCCATTAAATTTTGCACATACCCCAAATGTAGTCAATGATGTCAGAAGTTTGTGTTACAGCTACAAGGCTAATGTTGTTAACAGGCAATAGAAGTTTATAGCCACCAATTTAGCCACATGCTTAAATCATCACACGTGCTTTATTAGGTCATGTCAAACGCTAATGTTATTTCTGACACTGTTTGATCAATTGTTTTGTATAAAAATTCAGCCTTCAAGATAAATACAGATATGCAACTGATTTAAGGCAACTCTGGCCCTGTTCATACCTGGTATTAAAGAAACAGTTAAGTAAAAAAAAAAGCAATGTATATATTACCCCATTTTCCACTTACCCAAGATGTAGCTGATGTTGCTAACAAACACTAGAACTCAATAGTCACCTAAATAGCCTACATGGCTTCTGTAAAAAAAAATCCCAAAAACATTTCTCAACCTGCTCAAACTGCATCCAGGTCTCTATTAAGGTGGAGCAGACTTGCCGATGTGGTTTATAGCACAGTATGTCACTGTAAGCTACAAAAATAGACATAACTTCATTGGAACGGTCATTGTCGCAAATACTAATTAAAGATCAGCACTCTATTCCTAAGATGGTTTGTGAGTACAGACCCTTAAAGTGGCTGCCTGAAGCTTTGTTTACTTCTATAGCTCACCTTTAATTCAAAATGTGTCCTAAAACACATTGACAAGTCTGTGTGACCTTAATGAAGACCTGGATGCAATTTAAGTGGGTTGAAGGACATTTTGGAGATGTATTTACAAAAAAGATTTGTGCTGTTTAAGGGACTATTTTTTAGTTTTAGTGTTTGTTAGCAATTTTAGCCTCATGGTTCAAGTTCTAAACTAAAAAAGAAAAATTTGGATTCCAAACTTGTCTCTACTGATCGATTACATCTAGGGTGAGTAGAAAACTGTGTGAATCTGATTTTTCAGATTCTGTTCTTTTAATAGAATCTGAAACTATTCTTGTAACATCCGTCTCAAGTGATCAGATCACAAGCGGACTTCCAACGTAAAGCCGCTGACAGATAGCATTTCTATGTATCTCAAATGTGTCTCCAGTGACCGGTTGTCACCAGCTATGACCAGTGTACCAGCTATCACACTGTATTTGTTGTAAAACAACACTTTTTTTGGTAGTTGTTCTTTTAGATATTAGATAGCATGGACTGCTAAGCAAAGGTGGTCCTCTTGAAGACGCCTCAGAATGCTTTAGCATTTACACTACAAATCTTATGTAGTTATTCCCTCCCCCGACCACTTTGAAAGATGGTAAGAGTCACTGGATCACAATGTGTCCAACATGCACTTTCACACTTAGCAATGTCCACATATGACTGGTCCATCAAAAACATATGTTATTGTCTCTGTAATGATTTAGGCATGTGGTTTGCACAACTGCTATAAGCTTCCATTACTTGTTAGCTGCATTAGCCTCGTAGCACCCGTGCAAAACTTAAGAACCAAATGTCAGACACTAAAATGTCTTGGCTAATTTGGATTAATGGAAAGACTTCTTCAAATAATTTTTGACCAAAACCCATCACTTTTAAACAAAAATGGAAATCCCTGCTCTAAGCACTGACATAAACAAGATAGCAGAGACAGTTATGAAGTGTTGTTTATGGGAAGACTTTATAAAGCTGATAAAGTCCCTTGCATGACATCCCTTGCATCGCACCCTGGCCCAGGTATGAGCAGACACCCATGCTTGCCCACCTTGCTGCGGGTCGGCTGCTTGATCTCGGTGTCCGACTGCTCGTCATAACTCTCAAACTCACTGGAGCTCCAGCCGTTGTCCAACATTCCTGCTGACTCGTCAGGCCTCTGCACATCCTCATAGATCGTATCATCACCTACACACAAGAACAGGAAACACAGAACAGCTAGATAAGGTGTACAGCTGTGAGGGAGCTCGTTTTGACACAGGCATTGCCCATATTGTATGGAACATGTCTGAACAGTACATATAGTCCGAAAAGTGTGTTTTCTGTGCATTGTCCATATTTAATGTTTGTAATTTGAGTGACTTGTGACAAATGGAATTACATTATCTGTGCCTCAACTTATAACCTTATCTCAATTAAAACTTAACATGCACATCAAGAACTGGACTGAAAAACATTAGCCCATCTCAGTGCTGGTGTTTCTGCTATGTCTGACCTTTTAATGTGTACTGATGTTTCCAGTTTACAAAACACAGCAATGGGTCTGACTTCAGGATACAAACTAGCTAATATTTTGCACTGCGTGACACCGAAACAAGATATGCAACCCTCATTCATTATGCATGGCAAAAAAGAGCAATATGAAGTGTCTAAATTGTACAAGAAATGTAGTTTGCATTCTAACAAGACCATAATGTAATAGTCTGTTTCAAGAAAGCAAAGAAGAAAATACTGCACTGCATATATTTAACAGGATATTTATCACATTTACGCTGTCTGTTCTTGATTCTTGCAACAAAAAAGCAACCCCTTATGCTATTTGCCTTTTTGAAACACAACAGTTCTCACTTATTTGTTACCAGACATCACTACTGTCTTGTGCAAAGGTTTAAGCACCCCTGGTAAAATTAATTACTTGATTCTCTAATAATGAATAAATCAAATAAAATACATTCAGAGAAGTTAAATTATTATTTATATGCTAAATGTAAGATGTTGAAAAACAATGTTAAAACATAAAATGCGATGTGACCAGACACCTGCATAAGTAAAATTTTTGTGTTTTTCCCCTTGTATATGTTAAATTCAGCAAATATATATATATATATATATATATATATATATATATATATATATAGTGCATTTAATTTTTTTTATGTTTTCTGTAGAACAAATGTCAAAGAAACGTATCATTTGCCCAGCGAAGCCCAAACGTTTGCATAAGATTGTACATTCAGAGAAACCAGAGCTTGTCACTGACCTGGACCAGGAGAGGGGACGGTCTCACATGGGACGTCATCATAAATCACCTCTAAGTGAGTGGCCGGAGCTAGGTTCACCTCTGATGTAGATGAGGGCACGTTCTCCTCTGTTTCTATAACAGGTTTTCCTGGAGCAGAGGCATTCTTAGAGTCAGCAAATGAGCACCAAAATGTATGTAGTCCTTTCTTTTTCCAATTAGCTTCAAATCTGTGGTAATATTAAGATGCAAATAAAATGGGTTGAAAATTACAGTCAAATGAAAAGTGTTTGTACTAAACCTCTGTATGAACACTGATTCCTCACTGAACAAAGGGACAAATGCACTAGCAAGCACAAATATCAGTCAGGACTGATGTGCAAAGCATAGGGAGACACTAACTCTTTAAAGTCACTAGCAGACTGAATATGTTTTAATTAAATCAATCAAGACTCAACACTGCAGCTCAGGGGAGCAGCAACACAGGGTGTCTGATAAAGCCATACAGCCCTTATTTCTACTGCAAAAATAGGAACAGTGCTGCAGAGAGATCTGCTGATAAGGTTTGTTTTATAGATGGTGGCGCATGTTGTGTCTAACCATGTGGTCCTAAAGGAGATCTCAAAGACAAACGTTCTCAAACTGTTTGTGTGTGCACATATCTGAATGTCAAATCTAGAACTACAGTCTAGACGTAATTCTAGATTTGACCTTACAGTGTAAGTGAAGGCACAAGTGAAGTGTACTGCAATTTTTAATTGGTAAAGCCAATCAATATTTACAGTGTACACCTTCATTAAGCAGGAGGCCTGATTATATTTCTTATATTTCATAAATAGAGAGAATGACAGTAGTAAAGTCACAAAACAAGGGCCGACTAAATATTCCCAAAGATTAGCATTAGGGCTGTAAATTATACAAAGGTTTAATTAGATGACAGTTCTTCAGGAAACAATCAATGACCATGATTTGATTTTATTATTTTGATTATACAGAGCTTATTTTAAAAATGATTACACAAATGTGACAGTACAAAATGATTACAAAGTAGTGGAATACAATTACAACAGTACATTACATAGTTACACTTTCAGCTAGTTTGAGAATTTTATTCTGGCCTTGAGTGCATATTTTATTGAATTTTATTAAAATCGACTTTAATTGATTGGAACACTGCAGAACTGATGCAGTTGAATCACCACCTTCTGATCAATGCATTTTACGCCCCTAATAGACATACATAATTTGATCACTTTGGATGTGCTGTAGGGGTTATAGAGGATTGCTATTTTAATTTAGCCTGAGAGCAGCTACAACACAGACAGAGGAATCACGTCTGTTCTAAGGGAACGCACTAAAAGGAGGCCAGGGCAAGTTTTGGGAAACATATACCTTTGTGCAGTCGCAGTGTGAGCTCTGACACCACACTGAACCATTCCCGAGAGCGAGCTGGCACTTGAGCTGAACACATACACACACTTCACTCAGAACACTGCTTTATCTTTGAACTCTCACGTCACGGCTATGGTTATAGGCCCGATTTGCTGACAAATTACCAAAGGATGGAGAGTTGCATGCATAATTTGTTAAATCAGTCATGGCACAATGATGATCCAGTGCCACTATTTAATCGTTTATTAGGGCTAATAATAGAGAGAGACTATCAAATTCACCCTGTGACACCACCATTTTTTTTCTAACCTTTTTTATAACACTTCTATACAATAAGAATCGCTCAACCAGTTTGCATTGAAGTCCCTGTAGTTACTGAATAATAAGCCTTAGTATGTAACAAGTCTGGGATTTTAAGGGGTTAAACTAACTTTCAAATGTCAAACAATCCAACAACAGTTAAAAAGGAATTCCACCAATTTTTCAAAATCTCTGCATAATTCAATGATTGAGATGTAAACAAAGGGCCTTATTCACCAACCATTCTTATAAAGAAATTTCTTCTTAAAACCCACTGATTCTGATGTTCACCAAGGTTTTCTACAGAGCCCTGCTGGTGACATCCCATATCAATAAAAATAATGTGTGGCCACACCTTATTAACACATGGACACGAGATCCTAATGCATGGCCAACTTAATAAGGCATGGGAATGAGATAATTCCTTACTAAGTCATGGTCACACATTAGGATCTCATTCCCATGCCTTATTAAGTGGTGGCCACGCATTAGGATCTCATTCCAATGCCTTGCTAGTCGTGGCCATGTCTTAATTATCTTGTTCCCATGCCTTACTAAATCGTGGCCAAGCATTAATTTTTTTATACAGGATGTCACCAGCAGGGCTCCGTAGTTTTCTTATTTGGGGTTTGTTCTTAGATAAGAACAGAATCTACACACATTCATGAGTGCAAAGGTGTGAACAACTCTGTTGTTTAAGAACATGTCATGAATCTGATGTAGACTTTTTCTTAGGATCTTTCTCAAGAACAAATTTAAGAAAAAACTTAGGAAGATACTGGTGAATGAGGTCCAAAGTCCTTTAGAGTGTTCTGATATAAAATGCTGCATTGTAGAGAAACTTGTCCACTTACGATTTCTTTACAGTGGTGATAGGAACCAGAGGTTGCAATGCATACCACACACACACACACACACACACACACACACACATATACATACATATATATATATATATATATATATATATATATATATATATATATATATATATATATATATATATATACACACACTTTATTTACCATCCAAAACCACCAATAAACCTAAATGCGTGCTCTAATGTTGACAAGGGTGAAATAGAGGTAAACATGAAAGCGTTTGCCTTTCTGAATTAATTTTTAAAATACGTCTTAGGCCATAACTTTATCTCAAAAATATTGTAAAACCATGCCTCAGGCATATTCATAACCATTTCATTTAATAGCTTCCTGTGAGGGAGCTTCAAGAGGCAGTAAACTCTCCACATGATTCCCATCACCACTACCGTGAACATTTCTGACTCTGTAAATTTGTCTAACAAAGCATTTCACATCAAACCACTCTGAATGATTTACGCTGGGTTGGGATTTGTTCAATTTCAACAGTGGCACAATATTTATGAGTGGGTGATCAGGATAAAAATGTAGACATTTGCAGTAAGATTGAGAGCAAGGCATTCGTTGAGAAATTCCAGTACATTTTCTGGACGACACATGACCACCTTGTTATGAATAGTTGATCTGAAGTGAAGGGGAATTTGAAATGAACATGCGTGTTTCCTTCCAGTGAGCTCATAGGCCTCCTGGATTTGATTAGCTGAAGTCATTGTTTTGATCTGAATGTGCTGTATCATTAGCTTGGATTTCCCAGTCTTTGTGATGGTATCAGAGGACTAGTGTAGTAACACAGTTCCCCCTCAGAGCCACAGACCTGCCTGAGCAAACATGCGAACGTCCTTCTTTATGACGGGCGTACAGGAGCATTCGGGTCTTGAATATAAACCTATAGATCACAGACACAGAGCTGGACACTGGCAGTTGCTGGGAACTGTCTAACCCTTGAAAACACCCACACATTGTAAAACGGGAGTTGTATAACAGGACAGAGCAATACCTTCATAAATGGTGTTTCTCTTCCATGTACTCTTCATCTCGTCAGTGACTCTAGGCTCAGTAGAAACAGAGCTCCTGAAACATTGTCAAAAGTGGCCATTAGTCAGACCAGTGGACAATTAGTTACAGCAGTATTTATTCTTAAGAGTGAGGATAATGTCCTAACACACAGACTTAAATCACTGGCTACATGGCAGAACACAGCCATGGTACTGAAAAGTAAATAATAAACCAATATGAGGCTCTTGTCTACAACCACGGGTCATCATTGTAAATCATGTGAAAAATGTCTATGAAGCTAGGACTGTAAAGGTCTGCATAAAAGGTTCGCTCATTGTCGAACAAGAATGTGACCCTTTTGAACGGGTTTAACATTTTTTTCCTCCAAAATCTCTAAAACTTTTTCATACAATCATATCTTTCATGTGTGAATCTTAAGAAAATTCTATAACCTTTTATTATCTTTTTATAAAAAGAGAAAAGAGTGGTATAAACTTTGTCAACTTTACATGTCAGTGGGCTTGTATGAGTTGGATCAGTATCAAATAGTCAGCTTTACAGCCAACTTACCCATCAGGAGACTGTCTGGCTACCATATCTGGATAAAAAAACAGAAACAGTTTCATAAGCACATCAAAATCACACACTGCAGGTCAAGAAGTCACCAAATCACTTTTAATCTAAACAAACTCATGATACACACATGGCAACAGCTCACCTGGGCTTGTTATGTGTGAAGGAATGGTTTGGTACTCCTGACCAGCAGAGGTCCCTCCATTTATTTCCTGACAGTGACTGGCTGAGACACGCTTCAATGCTTGACTGTAAAGTGCATTTGAAGCCATGACGACACCTCTGGGACCCTGTGAAGGCCCGGCTCCAGCAGGGGGAACTCCTAAAGCCTGATTTTCTCCAGAATTTCCAGCTGCTTCCTGTTCTTCTTCCTCACTATCATCAAACTGAAACTTCTCTCCCAGCTCCTCATCTTCGTCATCCTCCTCTTCCTCTTGCTGGGGTGTCTGAGCCACTCCAGTGGGCACAGACTCTAAAACCAAGCAATCCAGTTTAGATATTATTAAGTATACATAACAGGGAAGGCTGTAAATCTCTGACCTCATGATTGTATTTCTTTGTGAATCTCTGAACTTGATCTGATTTGATCTGACCACGATTGTTTAAGAATAATAATTCAGTGAATCAGGAAATCTCAAATTTCGTCATGAACTGTTGCGATTAGATTCTGTTGGTATAATTTAGGGTTATGTTTAGATACAAAGCACCTCATTAAACTGAACTCATTCACTAACTCACATACTCACGCATTCACTCACTAACGTTCAGCAGGCCAAACATTCTCTACCAGGGGGCGCCGTTACCAGTCAAATCACTTTTGATGCTTTAAGAGCCCATTTCATGGAAAACAATATTTTCATCTTTTTTTTTTAATAAAATAGTTTGATGTAGTATGCAAACAGCCTGGTTTGATTTCACTGGTTTCATGATGCCACAAAAACCGACTTATTTACATGTATCCACCTATTCAGCCTACAGCAGTTTATTCATTGCTACTTCATGCTAATGTTATAAGACATGTTTCAGCCTTGACTGCTTTTTGAAGCACAATATAGAACAACCAATCAGAACAGAGACTGTTTACATGTATCACACTTAAAGACACAGTAATAAAGAAATGAAGAGAGGTTTGAAAATGTAAATGTCATGTAAAAATAAATAATGACTGTTTTCGATACATAAAACCACACAAATGTGATGAGTGGGCCTCAGGGGAAAAGATAAAATATAAAAGATATGGGCCCTTTAATAAAAGCAGTGCTTAGAATCAGTGACACTGTGTTTTGTTGAAAGTTTACTGAACTCACAAATATTAGTAGAGAAACTGTTTATACAGTAGTGGAATATAGACAATATAAACAATACATTAAGATTGTTGAGAGAATTGGTCATGTTTGAATATAGCCTGAGAATTTTATTTTGGCCAAAAAATTAGGGCATACTTTATTATTAAATTATACCAATGGATTATAAGTAATTATACAACAGTTACTGCCCACGATCTGATTGGCTGAGAAGCGTTCTACCCATGCTGATACTTATGATAACTGTATGGATGTGTCAGTTAACTATTCAAGGTACCAGTATTCGATAACCGAATTCACTGCTCGGGATGGGTACTTGTTCTGTTTCATCATGGGAAGACAGAGAAAATAAACAAACAGAAACACCACTGTTTAACATGACAGTAAAAACTGTGAAGACATTTTCTTCATATTTTGAGAGCCTTCTGTGAACACAAAAGGTTACTACCTTATCTGGAGGAAGAAACTGCCAACATTAAAGCACATTTGATACAATGTTCGGGTTTTTAGTTACTTTTTTCTTTATTTTGCAGAACTAAAGTTTGTGTGGTTTTGCGAATTACATCATGGTTATGAATGAATTATAGCCGTGATGTTATTTGCAATATCACACTCCCTCTCATGCTCTATTGCTTAATTCTCACATTCCAAAATAAGTTCATCACCTTCAGATCGATGAATCAAGATGCATTCATGCATTTTTACACCCCTAGTTGGCTCTGAGGCCAGGTTAATTTTGAACTAAATACCCAGGGAACATAATTAATAAAAAACTTCAAACAAACTTAGCATTCAAGGGAAAACACTACTGATGGCGCAACATTCAGAAGTCACATGTACATCCTGAAAACTGCACCTCACATTTAAGCCTGTAATTGCTGGATAGCAAACCATCTAATGTTCTGGCATCACTCTGGCTCATCAAATCCTTACACTGCATGCAACAGAAAGCAAAAGACTGTTTGTGCTAACTACAGTCAGAGAACTGAGCAAATTCCATCCCACAGTTACTGTGGGCTGCTTTCAGTTCATAACAAATGTCACCGTTCCAAACCCAAGACCAAGGATGATTATGACCTACTGGCTCAAAATAACACACACACACACACACACACACACACACACACATACACACACACACACATGCATACCACATGACTGGAAACAAACAGCGACGTCATTTCAGGAGAAAAAGGTAAAACTAAGACACACTGCACTGTTCTAATGATCTTACATCGAACAGAAATCAGGTCTATAGCAGGGAGGCTATGTGTTACTGTGTTACAGTGAAAACAAGAGGCGTGTGTGGGTTTAGTCCAAAATTCTACAGACAAAAAGCAGGCCCCTTGTGAGTCATGCAGGGTGTTGGGTGGAACAGGCAAACAAGCTGTAAAACGTTCGCAGAGTCCAGCCCATGGGTCAGAGTAATGTACTGGATTCCAGTCAACTTGATCATAATGCTAAACTCAGCTGACTCAATGTTTTTCATGCAAATGCAGTGAAACCATAGTTACATACAAAGACGAATGAAACAAAAAATCATAGCGTTCGATTTTCAAATGCTTTCACAATTTTCAGTAGTCAGAGACCACCCCTTATTTATTTAGTCTCCAGTTTAACAGCCATTAAGTACAAGTTATCCATTTTTCAGGAGATATTTCTGAGGAGATTAGATAGAAGGTAATCTACTTCCACAATAAGTGAAAACACAGGAGTTCAACAAATGATTAAAAGATGTAGAGAAAATCTGGCTCCTAACATCTGTGCAAGACCTGACAGACCACCATAACTCTCACCATCGGATAAGCAGTACTTAAGGCTTTTGTTAGTGAAAATCAAGCTCCACTCTCCCACTAGTTCCACTGCTTCAGGTCTGAAAAAATCCACAGGACTTTCTGTCTGTTCCTTCAATGTTAAAAAGCTACTTTCAGACTGCAGGCAAATCGGATTTGTTTCTCAAAACAGATCTTTTGAGACGACTGTCTGCACTGTTATTTGCAAGTGATCAGATCGGATTTGTGTGTCCAGACATCACCAGCTTGTCTGCATGGGTTGCTGTGGTAACAACGTAGGCATCAGTAACTATATAGCTACGCTGGTGATGCAGATTCCAAGCGCGGGAGAGGTGGAGGTGCATCATCTCGCCCTCCAAACCCTTCAAAATTCTCTGGCATAAGCATGAATTCTGTCACTCTGGGTTTGACATCATTCTGACTGATGCAAAAGACACTTTAAAATCTGATTTAATTGGAATTGGATTTCAAACCTGATTTGCAAAAATCGTATTTCATGTGTTTTTTTTGCTGTCCAGACTATCAAAAGTCAATCTGAATACAATCTGGATATGCCAAAAATCAGATTTGGGCTGGCAGTCTGAACAAGGACAAAGAATCTGCTGGTGTTCTTAATGGAACAATGAACTGGCCACCACAGATTCCAGACCTCAACATCACTGAATGTGTACTTGGATTGTGAGAAGCAGAAAATGCAACCAACTTCTAAGACTGAACTTTGGAAATATGTTTTTTTTGAAACACTGAAAGCAAGTCTGATAAGAATAGATGCTGTAATAAAGAGTCCATACACTAAATGTAGAAAATTGACATTAGATTTAGTTGTTATGGTTTTGTGGAATTCTCTGTTAAATCATCTTCCTGATGCTCAAAAATGAATAAATCATACTTAACTTTTGATGTAAAATCAAATAAATGAAAGGGTGCTCTCTGACTTCTGTACTGACTACAGTACTGTAGGTACATAGAAAACACATGTTCCTCCATATTTAATAAGTAAACAGAAATGGTCGAACCATGTACTACACACTAAGAGACAATAAGAAACAGGGGATTACTGTTTCTCCAGAGTGGATATAAGGGCCCATGGTAGGCAAAGAAGGGGGATTACACAAACTGACCATATGGTCCCTTGAAAGCATATACAAATAAAAGCGCTCAGGGCAGGTATGCGTTTGGTCTTACTGTAACTTTCGCAGCAGCATTTACCTCATCTAGTCAAACAAGAACTGCATTCCATTCAAAATCACATGGCCTCAGTATAAGCCTAAGGGTCGATGGCCTGAAAGTTAAACTATTCCACCCTTATTCAGAACTACCTTTGCATAAGTCTTTTAAACATATCTAAACAGTATCAGGTCATTACCTTGCCTTTTGTCCTCATCGGCTTCACTCCAGCAAAAGTAGGAAAACCTCTTCGAACCTGCCAAGTGAATTTTTGGCGACACCAGAAATTTCAGCGACTGGGTCATACAAGCGGTCTCCATGACTGCTGGGTGTATGTGTGTCAAGTCCAGGTGGCATATGGTATAGATGCAGGATCCCTCTGACACAGCATATGGTCAGCTAGCCTTACAACAATACTGTGCTCTAACACTTTCTCAAGCCCTCTAGAGATTAAGACAGTCACACTGCATGGCCTGAGCCAAATACATGGAAGTCTTACTGAGCTGAGTGGAAGTACAGACCGAATCCCAGAAAAATCATGCTGTAGCACTGAACCTACAGAAGCTATTGCAACCAGCTCTGGTTTGACTCCTGGATCTTTGACTGTATCAAAGAGTTTAAGTGTTGAAGAGCATTAAAGCAATACTGTAGTTCAAATTTGCATCATTTTTCTCTTGCCTCAAATGTTGTCGATCAGCAAAAAACACATTTAAGGTCCAAAGTTCTCTTATTTAGTTTTGTACTGGAGCTATGAGACTAATACAGCTAACAAATAATGTCAGTCTACAGCCATTAGTTTAGCATCACGCTGGTTGTTCTGCTTAACATCCGTTTGGCAGCCTGTTTAAACATTAAACAGCAAGGTGTACCGGCTGATAAGGCTGGGCAGTGCACAGCAAATAGTATCTGCTTTGGTGATGCCAGTGTGGTGCGTAACAAACATTTTAACCCATCAGATTTACAATCACTGCTGTGAGAGCATGGCAACCGCAAAAAAGTCTTGTTGTAAACCACATAAGCAAGGCTATTTGAGATTACTTAAAGACTCACTTTGCTTATTAACATAAAGTCTGTACGTATGATCTACACTTCTTCAGTGTCAGTTCCTGCAGGATTTGCTAGACCACACAGTGGCATCAAGAAGATTTTCAGATATGAAGCACCTAATGAAACCGGCTTCTAACCAAAATCCTTAGAGGAAAGTCTGT